GAGCTGTTTATAATTTCCTCTGTATTATAAAACGGTTAAGCTCGTTAATATTTAATACCAGGAAATCTAAGAACTAATGTGGTCCCTTGCACTAAAAGCAAAGTAGGCAGCTGGGTTATCGTTTTGCAGAATCTCATTTTCCTGAATCTACACAGCAAGACTCGAAACTGAGTTTTCAGTAACTTTCACATTGGAAATTGTTTCTGAAAATCAGATTTGCTCACGAGACTGCACAGTGGTGCCGTTTCTAACAACAACAGCAGAACAAATGTTTGAAAGAGCGAGAAAAACAAAGGAAATGGACACTTGAAAGACTTCAATCAATGAGCTTTCTGATAAATAGCTGCCTTTTCAAAAATGACAATAACTGTAATAAAAACCAACTATATGCCTTGCTGCAGCCTCCACGAGTGAAACATGTGCTGTCTGACTTGAAATCTGTGTGTATGCGTGTGTGTGTGTTTTGCCCTAAAACTATGTGCGGGGAATCTTGCACTCATTAGTGCAAAGCCTCAGTGTAGACTAGCTCCAGTTGCAGCAGTAAATGCTGCCTTTGAACTTTTAATAGAGCCCTGAAACCCAACTAGGCCTTAAAAAATACAAATCTGCAGGAGAGAAAGGGGCAGAAATAGCAACTCAGGAGAGCGTGAGACGAAGACCCGCTGCAGGAGTTAAACCGCCGAGCGACAGAGCGATAATTGATTATTTTAAATAATACCTGAAAAGTGGGTCAAAATCGCTCCCGATGTGGTCGCACGATCGAGGCACCATGTTGCACCTGTGTGTGTGTCTGTGTGTATGTGTGTGTCTACACCTTGATGCAGTTGGATGCAATTAAAACATGCAGCTTGTTCTGTGGGGCAGTTGGACTTGTGGGCATTTTACCAGAGTGGTTTCTGCTGCCAAACCATCTGCAACAAACAGATGTTTAGTCTTTATGAGGTCTTTACAACAGGTTCGGCAAGTGTGTGAGCGTGCGCGCTGGCGTACACAGGTTTCTGTGTTCGACCCAAGATGGAAACCCCTCATCCGTAAGCTGTAAAAGAGCAGAAATGGAAATGAGCAGGAAATTCAACTTTTTTGCTCCAGCGGCCATCGTTTTACAGGTTTGGATGTACAGGAGGGAGGTAAATCCCAGGCCAGCTGTGCGCGTCTTACGCCGAGCGAAAAGCAAACAGTGCGAGAAGTGAGCATAAATTTGATTTTTCATCATCGCTCGGATTATTGGTTTATTTTCCAAGTCTCTGTGGCGACGCGAGGATCTGCTCGGCGATGGGAGTGCAGCGGGGGCTGCGAGCCGGACTGTTTATTTGGCTGGGTGCTGTTTACGGAGGTGGGCGCTGTGGAGCTGAGTGACAGCAAGAGGAAATTCTTCTGATAATATACTGACATGCTGAGAATCCAGCGGGGAGCTTGGCTCTCCAAAATGAACTGAAAACACGGGATGTTTTATGAAAACCCGTCTGTTAAAAATCTGACTTTCTTTAAAGTGCAAAAATTGATCCAAGTGTGCTAACTTCTGGTCATTGTCACCTTCCTAAAATAATGGACTACAATGTTTGTTTGTTGTTATTGCCAAAAGATAATTTATGTTTAAAAAAATAATAGAGAATTATGTTTGGCAAAAAAAAAAAAAAGACTTCTGGAATTATTTTAGCAAGGTGATGAAATTAAATGACTAAATTATCATCACAACAAATTACAGATCTTTTCACTTTCTAACCACAACTGAAATGTTGCGATGGTGTTCTTAGTCTGGAAATGTTACTCTCTGTTTGCCTCAAGGTGTTTCTATCATTGTTATACCGTGGTAAAAGTGTATCACCGTTCAATATGTGTGACAAACAAATACAAAGATTCAGAGTCTCGCTTATTTTTCCCAGCACATGTTACGACAATGACAATTTTTCTGGGACATGCTGGAATAAAACGGGACAATATTAAACAAACCGTTGTATAGGAAAACAATAATATAAGGGGAAACCCAGTTTCCATCTTGGAAACTGGATGGAAACTGTTCACCACAGCATGATGCAGCCAACACCATGTTTAACCATGGGGCGGTGTTTTTAGCATGTGGTTCCTCTTGTTTGCCAATAGGGCTTTTTATGTCCTTTGTTTTAACAATGGATTTTTTTTCTTGCCTTAAAACTACAGTAATTTGTGCACAGCTATGGATCTCTGCAGCTCCTCCAGAGGAACCGTGGACCTCATGTTAAACGTCTCCTGCTGTTCTCTCACAAACCTCTTAAGTCTTCGCAGAGAAGCTTCGTTTACACCGCAGCTTCTCCTCACAAAACAGAAAAAATAGCTGCTTTTAATGTTACACCTTAACTTTAACTCGCCCCTGGTTTCCCTCATAACAGCTCTCCCTGCCTCCCAGCTAACAGCAGAGTAATAGCAATACATAAAAGTTTAAATGATTAAAGTTCCTATATAAAAAACATTTTAGGAGGCAGGACAAATTAAACCCACAGTCGCTTGGAACCTCCTGCTGGCTGAGCAACGATCGCCACCTGAAGCCGTTGTTAAGAAACTGACTGATAAGTGCTGGGTTAGAGGCCTGACGCGATGACTGTAGACGCTGTAACGCTTAAGAGTCCAACATTTATTGTCTGCTATCAGCGGTCCAAAGAGGAAATCCTGCAAACAGAGAAACCCAGAGCGTTTACACAACAGAGCCGAAGACCGGCGACAGCTGGAGACGGAGCAGAGAGCGAGCTGCAGGCTTTATCAGCCCCAACGTACAAAAACAAATAAAATAATAATAATGATTAAAAAAACACTAGAGGGGGAAGAAACACAGCGAAAACGATATAAAATATGGGAAGGCGAACAGAGCGGAGTCTGGAGGTTTTCTTGCACAATATGAAAATAAAACCGCCATAAAACTGCACGGGGCCTTGATTGTGGTCTATGGAGAAACATGGAGGGAGGCCAGCGGAGCCAGCTCGGACCGAACGAGACGGAAGAGGAGACATATCCACAGATTTGGAGATCGTTACAGTCAAAGCAGTTCTTCACATGTGACCACAGTCTCGATCTATACAGACCCCGGCTCCTTTCATATCCACAGATGAGAGGGACAGAACCTCCCCGATCCTGTTTACTGTGCTCTTTACGATAAATCTTTACAGCCTCGTTTTATGGCAGTCATCACATGAAGTTAAACTTATGGTCATCATGTTGACGTCTGAAAGCACCTTAGCCCTATGATGAATGCCAGAGTTATTTTAAAAAGCAGTGAGTGATCCACCATTCGGCAGTGACAATGGAGAGAGCGGAGGTCGACTTTTCTTTTTCTTTTTTTTTTAGAGCGATTCCTCATTAAAAGATATAAGAAGAAACTTCAGAACTTCAGTAGAGCTTTTAACAGTATGAGTCTCCTTTTCTCCGTCCTATGAAAACATCCCATCATACTGTGCTTTATCCCTCTTGGCTGGAGCGACGCATCAGATGTGGGGCTTTTCACAAAGCGTACCAGGGGACCGGCGAAACCAGAGACAACAACAACAAATACGTCCTTGTATTTTTAGGTTGTGATTATAATGCTCATTTCACAGTTTAATGCTCTAAGGAAGTCAAATAAACCTTGCTCTACAGAGAGGAACCGGCGAGATCCGAGATCAAATCTCTACTGCTTCCAAATGGGTTTGAAAAAACAAAACAAAAACTAAGCACACAGAAAACGTCTGACAGTCCCAGTTTGAGGGACATCTAAAAATCCTAACTATTTGAGACACGTTCCTTTTTATATTTATTTCATAATTAACCTATTTTCTTTCCGCCAGTAAGCTGGTTTACATTAAACCAAAAGTGAACTTGCTGCCTCTCGAAATACCAATTTGTTTTGACTACGAGTGTTTCAATTGAGAGCGGTCTTTCTCTGAAATGTTCTTGAAAACATCAAGAGACAACATCAAAAGTTTGGACAGAAGGCGATCCAGATTGCAACACTTACACCCCATCTCTGTTTGCTGACTGTTACAGTTTGCTGCCACCTACTGAGAAATCAGAGGCACTGAAACATTCAAATGCCTTCATTAATATACAAAACACTGTAGCAGCTAATAGTTTAATACTTTCATTATTATTTGTACAATGGGCCTTCAAAAGTATTAACTCTGATATTTGTCCCATTTTACTTTTTAAAAAAAATAAATAAATAAAATAAAAGGTTAATAATTAATTTTTATATGTGGGACATTTACTTACATTTTACTTAGTTTTATTTATCAACCTTTTGCAAAAAAAAAAAAAAAAAAGTACCTTAAAGAAGTAATTTTACTACATTGTTTTTCTTTTGGTGTAGTAAAAGTATGATATACCACCACATTTTAATTGAATGGAATTTCTGGGTACTCTATCAACCTTACAGTGTTAGTAAAAAATAAAAACATTTGACTGAAACTGCATACGACTCTGATGCACACAGTTCAAGTTAAAGCAACAGTTTGTTTGGTATTCTAATCCTATTTCTATCTGCTGAGCCTGTTGTGCTATTTGAAAGTCAAATAAATAATTTCCCTTCGGGCTCAATGAAGTACTTTTGAACTGAATTAAATTTAAAATTAACTTCAATTTTAACTTTGATAAAGTTAAAATTAAAGTTAAGTAAATTACATACACTGTTACTGAAATTACTTTACTATGCTTTAGTTTTTGTTCCATTAGTTTTACATTGGGGAAAAAACAAAACTTGGGAAAAGTGCTTAAAATGTGTTATTTTGTATTAAGTATACATCTTTGTAATGTTTTTTTTTTCATTGAGCTTTAAAATACCAGCATTTGCACATAACTATTTTTTTGTGGAATCATACTAAAATATTAAATAATTCGTCATACACTGTATTCAAGGAGCCATTTTACGTAACACTTTCTTACTCTTGCTCGAGTAGGTTAGCTTTAACCTACTCAGAAAACATAGCGGACTACTAGTTAGTGTACTCACCGTTAATCTTTGCACTACAAGTCCCAGGAAGCCTTTCGCCTGTCGCCATAGAAGCGGGAAGTTCGTTTGAGCATATTTCCGCTATGAACGCCCCGGGTCGCGTCTTCGCCGCTGTGCCAGCGGCAGAAACGGACGGTAAAGACAAACAGCGGGGCCAAGAGGTAGCATGTCTCAACAAGCCGGTGAGGGAGGTTCAGGTGACCGGGGTGGCGGAGGTTTCCTGCCCGGCCGACCGAGCGTGGCTGCTGGTCAGTGTGACCAGCACGAAGGAGTCGATAAACGAGGTGACAAACAGTATTTCGCGGCGACTGGATTACATTTCCCAGACTGTCAGGTAAAAGCAACCGAGCTTAGAAAGTGACACTTTCGTGTCGTGACGTTAACTCCTTTCATCTTTCCGCACTTTCGACACGTTGCAGCCATGAAACTCAATATTATTGCGCTCTAATATAGCAAACCGAAAGGGAAGAAAATTGTTTTCAATGTTTGTCATAAATAAAACTGCGTGGATTTTTTTTAAATCAAGGAGTTCCTTAAGATTTCAATATTACATGAGACAATAAAAATAAATGTATAAAAATTTATATTGAAATTTGGGACAAACAAAAAGCATGTTTAACACCTGCTTCAAGATTATTTTCAAAAGGTGCTTCCAATCTGACAAAAGAACCTCATTGGAAAGCATATTCAAATTTAACATATATTGTCACTCGCAATAATGTTGCCAAAACAAATTATTTGACAAATGTTGCAACCTTTCAGTACTAACAGTTTGCCTACTCAGGATGCTACGAATCCACTCCTGCTATTAACAAAAAAAAAACAGTCACTTATATTTAGTCTGTGATATAGTTTTCTTTCTCTTTAGACAACACGGCGTCAGTGAGGAACACACTACAGTGAGACAGACTCTTCGCCGACATGCTGAGGCCTATGTCATGGATGCAGAGGTGAGGTGTTTGGACGGCTGATTGTTTTGTTTTTTTTGCAAGAGTAGAGCTTCCTGACCTGATGGCGTTGCCAAATGTTCCCACAGGTCCTGGTGACCTTCTCAGAATTCAAGAAGATGGAGCAGATGTGTCGCGTCCTATTGGAGAAGCTGGATAAGAGTGTCCAAGTGGGGACGCCTCGGTTCTTCCACAGCGCCGCGTGCCTGAGTGAGCTGAGGTGCTTACAGCTCCAGACGGGTGTCGTCTCATTTAAATCAAACGCAGGAGTTGTAACCGGTGTGTTTGTGTTGGGTGGCGTTTATTGTTTTTTTTTTTTTTTTTTTAAGGCTTCGTGCGTCTGTGTCAGCAGTTGAAAATGCTCAACAGAAGGCCAGTAAGATCGCTCAGCTGCTGGGGGAAAGTTTGGGAGCCACGTTGCTGGTCAGAGAGGAGGAGACCAAGGAGTGGAGGAATGAAGAGGAGGCTGCAGGTGGGGAACGCAGCTCGCCGCACCTTCCGCCGCTCCTGCCTACAGCCACCGCCTCCTCGCAAGTGTCCGTTTCCTTCAGCTTCAGAGACAAAAGCAGGAAAAAACTCTAAACGCACATTTGGAGAGTTTGGAAACACTTTATTGCACGCTTGAACAGATGCTCAAATTTCAGAGTCTTTGCCAAAGTCGAGGCAGTCCCGGTGGCTTTCATTAAAAATATCTGCAGACTTTAAGCTAAAATACTGTAAAGTATATAAGAAAGACAACTTTCTTACATTCGTTATTTCTAATACCAGTATTTGTCTCCACATCCCAAAAAGGCAAAAGAGAGTCCCGGTGAGGAGAGGTTCAGTGTGTGTCTCTGGGTTGCACACCCACTGGTGTTTTGAGTTCAATACCTGTCTTGGAAGAAACGTCACGACAAACTGAGACCAAGCTCGGGAGCGCGATTGTGAGAACCGTCCCAGTCAGCTGTCGTCGGCCTCGTCCTCTGGGAACAGCTCCCGGAGCCAGTCCTGCATGACGAAGCGCGTCCCGTCAAAGTGTGTGAAGTAGTTCTCCAGGGTGGGAATGTCCGGCTGCAAACAACCAATCGTCAGCTCAAGAAGCGAGGAGTGTGCGAGTATAAAACAAACCTCGAGTTTGGCGGCAGGACGTCTTTACCCTCATCCCAGTGATGCGCTCCAGCTGTGTTTGAGGCAAATATGCGACCATCAGGGAAGAGGGTCCGGGTCCCCCGAACAGCACCTTGTAATGTGGCGTCTTCTCTGCCTTTGTGTCCTGTTTTCACACAAAACAATGTAAAACTTCTTCTTTTCTTTTTGTTTTTTAAATCAGCAAGGTCTCTATACAGTCTGATTGAACTTGACATCAACAAGCACTCCAAATGGGTCTGATATTAAACAGATAAGGATATATATAGAAAAGTATCACATGCCCACAATTGGGAATAGTAGAAGACCGTATTCTTATTTAAAGAACCTTGTATGGCATCAGAAGCTCTTTGGGATGCTGGGAGATTTTGAAATAAAATCAGTTATAAAACAGAAATTGTTTCCTGTTGAGTCTCCATACCAATAATGAGCTAAAAGTCAACCGGTTGCTTGGTAGTCTTGTCCTACCATCACAAATGCGAACATGGGAAGTTTACCACTTTGAATCCATAGGATGTTTAATTTCACTGTATTCTTTGGTCGGATGTTGCTAATTTTTCCAGCAACAAACAGTTTGTTTTGGTGTGAAACAAAACAGGGCTAGAGAATAAAATACTATCTTTTGGGATAGACATGTGATCAATATCAATAGAAGACTTGCGTGACCGCCACTCTTTGAGCAGCTGACGGTTATGTGGAGGAGAAAAAACAGGGCTAGGTGCCCAGCTAGCTCATCAAACGTGCTAGCATCCACTCGGATTATGGGTGGAGTTCGTCACAAGAAATGTAGGTAATAAGTACGCTGGACAACAAAATCTTGACCATCCGCAGACAATGCTGTCACTACTTATAAATAAAGATTGAGGTGGAGAGAAAGGAGAAAATGAGCGCAACAGCTCCAGAGGAAATGGTGAATAAAAGAGGAAAGGCCACGTCTCAATGCTGGCAGTACTTTGGACGATTCAAAACCAAAAACGACCAGTAATTAAAGGGATCAGCTGATAATGAAATGTTTATATTGTAATACCATTTCAGCCCTTAAACAAAATACGTGTAAAAAAAAAAGTAACTCATCCTTACTCATGAGTACATGGAGGATCGAGGTCTTTGTTAGAGTAACGTTGAAAAAACTGCTGTATTCTCCAATAAACTGAGAATGTGTTGCCGCATTGGCTCACCAGACACAAAGGCATTCTTAGTCTCCCAACCTAAATCTTACAGAAACCCTGTCGGGTGGAGAAAGCAAACCAGGGATCCTCGGTTATATCTAAGGCTGTGTAAAGAGGAATGAACAGCGTTCTCCATATCTGAATCCTCCAGGAGCGCTTACAAATGTGTCCAGTGCTGAGTCATTGAAGCAGAGCGACCTTGAAGATATGAACGAGTTCTGGTCACCAACCTCAGAGTTCGAATACATTCGGTCCACCCACTCCTGAGGAGCTCGCAGTTCTTCGTCCCAGCTCACCACCACCCCGATCATGTGGCCCTTCCTCTCCATCACCACCTCTCCGACCCGCAGGAACACAAACGGGGGGCGAGGGCGGCGCACTGCCTTGGAGGCTGCAGGGACAAAAGGCGTGCGAGTTTTTAAAGCAAGCACTGAAAGGGAAATTGAGACAATGGCATCAGGACCCCTTGTTTAAGTCAGAAGATAATATCCATTTAAGAAGTCAAGTGTCTTTAGTGGTGATAATACCTGAGATGCCGATCAAACCCTAGAGATTCAGAAATAACACTGGGTGGAGTTCGAAAGTCAAGAGACGTACATATGGTGGAATTTCACAAACCTCCAAAGAATCCATGATCATTATCAAATATCATGGTTTCTATTGGTCGAGACACTTGTTCCTCTTCTTGTCCCAACCCAACCAGAGACCTGCAGGAAGTCAGAATATTTGTTTACAGGAAGAAGCTGAGTTGGGTTGCTCACTAAACCTGAATGGAATGAAGAATGGAGTTTATTTCAAAACTTCAAAAGTCTCTACTCACTTAACTTTGGACAGCTGCTGGTTTGTCCAGTCACTCCACGCAGTGGCGTTAAGGTATGACGTCCTCCACTGTCTCCACATGCGGAGCAACCTGGAACGCGTTCAATAATACAGTCCTACATAATCACAATGGAAATACATTCCTTAAAGGGCTTTCATAGCGCTACCCCTTACCGGGTGGTTGCGTGGTAGCGCTGCGCCGCGGTGGAGCCGCACCACCGGGAGATGTAGTACTGCGCGGGCACGGCGGAGAGCAGGAGCGCGATCTGCAGCGCGGCGGCCGGGCCGAGCTGAGGCATGGCTGAGGGCGGACAGGCGCGTCAGGTGCATGCGGGGAACTACTGCCAGACAAACTCTATATAGGCTTTTTTTTTATTTTATTTAGACTCCGTAAGCTTTACTTAAATTTACTTATTACAATTTTAAAAAACAAAACAAAGTTTATAAGAGCTTATTTCTGTCTCAGTAGCTCTCTTACCTCTTTCTGGAGTCCAAACTTCTCTCTATCTGCTCAACATTGAGCTGCGCCTGAGCAGAGTGACGAGGTTTCACTTCTGTTTTATTTACATAAGCGGCAGCCCATGCCGCCGCCGCCACCTGTGTGTTTAGTGTTTCGGAAAGCTTTTCCGAAACAGGTGCGCTGCCCAATCACCGCGGCCCACGGAGGAGCGGACCGAACCTTTAGCGACCCGCCACGTCAGGAAGGCCCGTGAGGCCCGGGCGAGTGAAGAAGTGACACCTGCGCTTCAGCGACGCCAGGGGGCAGAGTTGTGCATCCACCGCCTCAAAAGGCCACTTCACAGGAAATCAATTTGAACAGCGCTGAGGATTTCACATTTAATCATATCTGAGTGAAACTCATATGATGTAGATTAATTGCACAATCTTTTCTTTCTTACAAATTTACTGATATTTTTCTATGGCTGCTACTGAAAATTATCCAAAAATTTGTTTCTCAGAAAATGATATGAAAACGGTAACTCTTCCCCATGATAGCTCACACAATCATGGGGAAGAGTGCAAGCGTATTCATGAAAAACTGAGTGGAAGGAAAAAGTGTTAGAAAACGCAACAGCACGTAGACCGTAACTGAAACCTACCTGCCTCCAAATGTCTGAAGCCTTTTATCCGGGCTGAGAGAAAGAATCAGACTCCCTGTTGTGATTCAAAATTTGCCTCATCATGTGGAAGTACAATTTGTTTTATTTTGAAATCAAGGTCTCACAATCTGGAGGAAGATCTTTCTGCTTCCTGAATTAACACAGCAGAGATACAAATCACATTTCTTTTTATGATACAAATAACAAAAAGTAAACTGAATATGGAAACACAACTGTTTATTTACTTAAAATATTGGTATGAACTAACAGGACAGTAGTACTCCCCTACACATACATTCTAGCTTTATGCCTTTTATTTATTTTTATTTATTTTTTTGCATCACTTCCTTTAAATATAAAAAGTATCCAAACTAACAAAGACAGCTTCATCAATAATTTCACATAAAAGACCCCCTCCCCCGTCCCTTCTCACTTTTATGTCCGACAGCTCCATAAAACCTAAAATTTTTTAAACATCTCAAAACGCTTCCTGGTGGCTCGCGTGCACCCACTTCACTCACACACACACACACACACACACACACACACACACACACACACACACCACACACACACACACACACACACACACACACACACACACACACACACACACACACACACTGATGCTTCAGGCAGGCGCCACAAGCAGCATGACTCTGCCACACACTGACAGAAACATAACTCATATTGAATAAATCAATGTTCTCATGAAAACATACATTTCTCAAGTGCAGTTCTGAACCGCCCAACCAGGGATTTAAAACGACAGACGTGTCTTAAGGGGGCCGGCGTAAACGTAGGCCCCACATCTCAAAGTAAAGAACCGCAGGTCAGTAGATTAGTTAATCTGTGCATTCGGACAGATTTATTGGTACCCCAGGTAAAGATGGATGAAACACCTAAAATAAGCTTTCATTGCAGGTTTATAATCTCACACAGTGTTTTTGAAATATAGATTCAATTAGTAGGAAAACAATCCCATTAGAAGTGATTATTGAGAAAATCAGTGATGGTATATTATTTGTTACCAACATCTGATAATGGCAACCAAGAGTGAACCAGAAAAACAAAACAAAAAAAACGTTTGTCCAACCAACACAAACATAAAAATTTTACCCTTGCTATTTTACTTCAATTGGGTTTGAACCAAAGGACGAGTATGTGGGAACCGCTGGAGGGGCTGTTATGCTGTGGGCCTTATTCTTGTGCAAAACCAGAATAATTTGAAATCAAATCTGCTGGTGTGTCCCAATAAACTTTAAAAAAAAGAGAGAGAGAAAGAGCCATGTTTGAGCTGGCAAAATGATCCTCAGCATGTTGCCAGGTCAACACTGAAGTGATTCACAAAGCATTGAATCAATACTTCATTGAACGTTTCAGCCCATGGGACTAAATCTGATAAAAAACTAGCAGCAAAATGTGTGAGATTATACCACAGCAACAATAGATGTATTTATTTTTAAGGTTTTTACACATCTTTCCCAGTGGTAGCAACAGATTTTTATAAGTCTGTCAACTTTATGTGCACATAAAGTTGTTATAAAGTAATATTATTATTGTTATTATTTTAAAAAGCCATGAATTAACACTTAAAGCCAACTAAATCCTGCACTCCAAATAAATACTTTCATGGGTAAAGATTGAAACCTCAATCGGAAAACAGATTCTGTCTGACCCTGTTGAGAAAAAAAAACAGTCGCTAGTTTTTGGCCCTTTCAGATTTAACATAAACTTTCACGAGGACATTATAAAAACAAAAAAAGAAGAAAAACAACAAAATCCTCGTATGCGTGGCAGAGCATAAAGCATCATTCTATCTCCATGGATCGATCCATTGATGTGTCCTCTTGTATGGCAGGGAGACAGACAGAAGACACGTAACGCACATCATATATAAATGAACATCCACAGTGGAGACAATTAAAGTTAGTTAGAAAACACATTCAAAAGCCATGTTCTAAAACTTCAGTGCCCACAGATAGAATTTGGCATTGACACACCTATTTTTTTTCTTTTTAAAAAAACAAAACAAAACAATGACAAACAGGATATATGTTCAGTAATACGTGAGCTATGAGATGAACCAGGTGTGTGTCGACGCTAGCATCCAGTCGGTCCCACAACACGTGATGAAACTCGCACATTTTGGCATTCTGTGCTGGAGGAGAAACAAAATACCGGGAACGGACGCGCCTTTATAAACTCGGTACCCATTACGTGTGGCGGAAAGCGAGTCCAAAGTTACAATGGTTTGTTTTTTTCCCCCATGAACTCAAAGTCCAGTTCTCAGGACACAGAAATGAGCAGAAACAAGAAGTCCAAATGCGAAATGATAAAACAAGGCCCCATAAGGAAAACAAAACCAAACAGGACTCACTATGCCAGAATAGCAAAGGCACACTATCAGAAACGTGAAGCTGTTCTTCCAGAAAAATGCAGTTCCATCCGGTTTCCCTCCACTGCCCGCTGTTTGGCTTTCCAAATCGCGAGAAAGTTGCAAGAACCTACGAGACAGACTTGTATGTGAAAAGTGAATGCCGTCGCCATAAAAGGGTCTCGACATTCTTTCAAACTTGTCTTCGAGACGCATCTGAAAGCTTGTGACCACTCTCTGTACCGCGGGGTCGGATACATCGACGGGTTAATTCTCCTCAGCAGCTCTGAAGTCATTTCTCTGAGCAGTTCCGCAACCATCGAGCTGTATGCCACTGTTTGTACGCTCCAGGTAAAGCCTGCACTCGGTTGTGTTAAAACCAACACACACACACACCAGCACACACACACCGTTGCCAGCCAGATGTTTACATCCACTCACAATGGGCATGAATGACGAAGTGCCGAAATATTTCTACAACTAAACACAAGAGCTGGTGCACAAGTGGAAAATTATTGTAGATTTAGAAAATTACACGTTTAAGGTTAAATACGTATCGTTCAGCTCCACTTGCACTTAGTGAAATCCCCTTTTTTTAGTTGCTAAGAAACCAACTGCACACTGAGGCTAAAAATGATTCTATCTTTTGAGAGATGGCCGCCTCATTTCCTGTTGGAAACAATTCCTTGTTTACCTACATTCTTGGTTACATGAGATGATTTTACATCTAAACCTGTCAGGTGTATGAATATTTCAGAGCTTAGCAGTAGCTGTTAATTTCAAAGTTTCATGGGAGGAAACCAAACTACAAATTCTACAAAAAAGTCTGGCCAAACGATCCGCTAAAATTACGCCAGAAACTTCTCCCACCCGTTAATCAGGTTTGAGCCGGTATGTATAACTTTAAACCTGTGTGGATTTAAAAAAAAAAAAAAACTGTTAAAAAAAAAATCGAAAATTGCTCCAAATTCTTGTTTTTGAAATGAATTCAAGTTGCATGTTAATTCACCCACAATGTGAGGTGCCCCAAATTAAGATGACATTAACGCCCATGATGACTGGATGCAAACGTACGACTGGAACTGTACTTGCGAAATGCAAGTTTAGACAAACAGGCACATGTAGAGACATAGCACACATGCACACCCACACACCTTACGTGTAAAAGGCACAAGGTATTGCTAATGCAGAGGACGCATTCCGAAATGATATACAAGCGCATCAATGACTCCTTTCACTCATGCATCATATTTTTCCACCTCACAGTAAGCTTTCAGGAAGAAGACACTTCCTCCCTCTAATTAACATGCAGAAAAGAACGAAAACACATTAACAGTACACAAAATGTACAGATGTACAGTACCGACAAAGGTACGCCATTTGGTATTTTAGCACAAACAGACACGCTCAGCTCAGCCAATGTGTAAGACTTGCAAATCAGAGGGACGATCATATGAAATTTTAGAAAGAGCAACGAAAAGGTTGTATAAAAAACAGAAAGGATGAAGTTAGGGGGACAATATGTGGTCTTAGGCCAGTTGTTCGCGTAGGTCACACCGATTTACTTTCCGTCCAAATCTGACTCTGAACTGTGTTTAAGGTCCGGCGGAGGAGAGGTTCGTCGGACAAAGTGAGAAACACCGCCTTCACAGAGAGATTCTGTGTGCTCCTGTGGGATCCAACATGGATCAATAGAATAGGAGGTGTGGGAGCATATGAACATGCAGTGCTAAAGTGCTTAGTGGGCAGAGAGGAAGGTGGGGTCAATGACGAGAAGGGTAACAGGTAATGGCACAGTTTGCTCTGCGTAACGTCAGCCAACTGAGCCTCCGTTTGGTCTAAAGCATCCGATCCGAAAATCCCGCCGGGAACTCTCGGCCCTCTGAGCACTCGAGCTTGTGCATATGTTTTTTTTACCAGCCTATGAGATTGGCTTTGGCCTTTTCTGTCAGTTTGCGGACGCGCCCCTTTGAGGACGTCCCAAAAGTGATCGACGAGTCCTCAAACAGCAACTGCCTCTGTTCCTCCTCTGAGTCCTCTTCCATGTACCAGGCGGACCGCCTTCCTTGGTTACGTGTGCGCATCGACCCTATCGTCGCCTCTCCAGAGTCGCCCTTTGGAGACTCTTTCCGACCCGATCGCTCGGAGGAAGTCTGGGGATGAGGCGTGGCGTCCTCATTGGTTCTCCTGCTGCTCCTTCTCAGCGGCGAAGGCTCAGGCGACTCGGCTGGAGAAGTCGATTCCTTCGTTTTTACTATCCGCGGTCGGCCTCGTCGCCTAGGTGTCGCCGCCACGCCGGAGTCTGACGGCGCTGACGTTTCCGGGGCGGACGACGTGCCGCCTTCGTCCCCTGTGGAGTGGTCCAGCTCGTCATCCGGTGTGGAGCTCCGGCGACTCCCACTCCGTCTCAACTCGTCCTGTTCCTGCTTGCTCTTTTTGCCTTTCTTCTTGCCAGGCGGTCGACCTCGGGGTCTCGAGGGGCTGGCTGGAGTCAGGACTTCTGGAGGACTCACCGGTGAGTCCATTCTGGACCTTCGCCCCCTTCTTCCCACGCCTAAGGTCATGTGTCCGCCGTGTCCGTTCAGATGGGCCGTACTTTGAGTCGGGGGGCTGGAAGGAGAACCTTAAAAAGGAAAAAGATGGACAAAAAGAGAAGATACAAGTAGAGAGGATTTATCGTTTTCTCTGCAGGTTCAGACTTAAACCAAAGCTGTGTAATTTCGTTTGATGTTGGAAACACCAACCGGGTGTGTGTCGCACGGGCGCCCTGAGTTTCCGACGAGTGCTTCCACCGCTACTGTCTGCTGCTGGAGGAGGCGTGACCTTTTCAGGAACTGGTGGCGTTGAAGCTCGGACAGAATTATGAGCCCGCAGTGAGCGAGAAGATTCTGACAAGAGATACAGCAGTTTGACAAACCGTCATTTCGTGACGGTATAAAACAGCTCAGGGTTTTAACTGTTACACCTTTATCTTTTCTCACCAAGAATCTGAAGACATTCACTGGGCCGGTCTAAGACCAGATCAGACTTTGATCTAAACTACTCTATCATGAGTATTTGATTTAATCTCACCTCCTGTGCTCGGTGTGCTGTTAGTGATATTACTCGATGAAGGAGGTGATGAGTGTGCAAAGTGGCGTGCGGAACTACGCGTCCGTCCCGGAGCTGGGTTATCCGCTTTACCGTTGACCATCTGTGGAGTCTGCTTTAGAGGGACATGCTGTCTGAGGGAAGGCGGCCGGGGCGGAGCTGGTGATGGCTCCTTCTTGGCGGTCACCCTGGAAGATACGCGTCTTTTCCTCTCTGGGCTACAAGCAGAGGGAGAGAAAAGCGACGGATCGTCTTTAGCTTCAGGTTTGATTGGTAACAATTAAAAACAAATAGAAACGCTTTACATTTCTTTCTTTTCTTTTTTACCTGGATGCATTGCTGCTCGTGGGTGATTCGCTCCTCCTTCTCTTTGTCGTGTGCCGTGTCTGTCTGTCTGCGCCGTGTCGCGTCTGTCTGTCTGTCCCTCGTCTGGTCAATTTATCCGTCATGCCGTGGATTGCCTTGTAATCAGAAAGGATGGGGCTGATATGCTCTTCAAACAGCGCAGAAAGCCGAAGACTCATGCTGTATATCTGCAAACACAAGACACAACTGAATATCAATTATAAATAAAAGAAGGAGCTGACTGTAGAAATTTCTGTCTGGATTTGGAAATGTCTTTTTGCGAATGATTCTCACCCGGGATTTTTTGCTGGGTGTGTACGCTTTGGAATTGCTGAAAATGAGTCTGACATCCTTGCAAAGCTCAATGGGAGACGGATAATTTCCTTCAGTCAGCTTTTTTAGAACTGTGCCAAAGTCCATCGGAGAGTCGACTATTTGCAGGTAGTCCTACAGGAGTCGAAAAGGAAGAGAGAAAGAACAAAGATGATTAACAATATCAGCTACAGACCTCAAGCAGCACAAGGCATCCGTAACTTGGGGTTTTGAAGCGTTTGTACCGGATACTCCTGTAGGTCCACAGGTTCTCGAAAGGGCTCAGAATCTTCACACTGAAAGATGAGGTCCAGCAGCTCCTTGCAGCGTCCTTTCCAAGCATGAGGATCGTAGGACCGAGGACGGTTCCGTAGCTGGCGCTGCATGGGCTGACGGTCCTTCACAGTAAATCCAAAGTTAATGGCACACAAATGCATGAAAGTGACCACTACGGGTGTTTTGTTTTCACTCACGAGCAGCTGACACAGATAAAGGGCAACTCTAGGAAATTTCTGAAGAAATTTAAACGGGGCCTGCCAAAATTGGAACCCAACTTTCTGATGCTAAAAATGAGCATCAATGCTAAAGTAAGCTACAATGTACTCAATAGCAATCATTTTGATCACAGTCCTACTCCATTGAGTATGTTCAAATTAGTGTAGAAGCTAAAACTAGCCAAAATGCTAATGCTAGCCTAAATGCTGCCAGTGGCATGTGGGGAATCATTAGCATGTTGTCTTACAATGACTTCCTCCACTGAGTTTGCTAAATGTGGCTACTAAATATAACAAGAGCTCAAAAGCTTAATTTAGGGAAGAGGACACGGCTAATGTGAGCAGCAGCTATCGCTAATGTACTGTAACGTTCAAAAGTTTCACAAAAAAAGACATTGCTTTTTAAATACAGTACACTAATGATTAAACAAACAACTTTATTTACGTCCAGTGCCGTTGCTAAACAGGAGGCTCATCTGAGGTCTTTGGCAGGGCAGTACTGAGGCTCTATAAGCAGCTCTTTTGCAAGAGTAAAAATCAGATGTTGACTTCGTGGCACTTGGTTACCAGAAAACGTGCTCATCTCTTAGCAACAGATTAACAACAAATATTGTTATTTTTCAAAGATGTAAGATTTATTCTGATCTTTTGTAAAAATACTTGACTTATTCTATTTAACAAAAATACTTGACTTATTCTATTTAACATTTTCATTTTCAGAAAAATGAAAATGCTTGTTTGGTTGTTTTTTTTGTTTTGTTTTGTCATTGGTGATGAATATCATAGAACTGACATTTGACAAAAAAGTAAAAATCTGATTTATACTTCGTGAGAGTTTGCTACCTGAGAAAACCCCCCGCTTATCTCAACACCAAATTATTTACTGTTTATAAAACAACCTCTTTTGAAATACTCTTTATCTGCTTAGACATAAGAAATTTACAGTTGGTAAATATTGCAAAAGCAAAAATCTGATGCTGACTTGTTTTTATTGGATGCCAGAAAATGGGCTCATCTTTTAGCAACAGATTAACAACAAATATTGTTATTTTTCAAAAGAACATAAGACTTTTTGTCTTTTCTTTTTTTTTAAATACTACTGACCTTTTACTACTTAACAAGAATTGTGCAGTTGGTGAATTTGGCAGAAAAGTGAAAATGTTTTGTTTTTTCGGTCAGTGGTGGTAAATATATTATAAATGTGTGTGTAGTAAGTGTTCCTCCGTGGCGCTCTGCCCTCCTCTGTAGGAACTGAGTGTTTCGCCGTCTCTGTACTTCTCTATGTATCTCCTCAGTTGCTGTGGTAATTAATCCTCTCTGAAAACTGTCATGTGTGAGTGACACACCGAGGGGGAGACACACGATTCTATGTTTTGATTTGAATTCGGCTCGTTTTTTGTCTTGTTTTTTTCACTAGTTACGTTGCCATGGTCACTCAAAATGCCACCAGAAGAGATGTTTACATATTTGTACTGTGGGGTTGCACGCAGCAGTACGCGCCACGTTAACGGCGAAAGGACGCAGCAGTTATTTTGAGGTGTAGAGTAATAGCTGCCTTCCATGAATTGCTATGGCAGGCCCCAATAATTGGCAATTAGTCATGTTACCTTGTGGTTTCGGGTTGATGTTCCTGGAGCATTATTATCCTCATCATCATCCTCCTCATCCTACACAAGACAAAAAATGACAAAGGGCCCATTATGAATTATCCCACAGCCAACTGCGGCTATATTTCAAGCAAGATGTTTTCCAATTTTTTAAATGGAAATAACTGTAATTTACTCAAGCAACCAGCAGAGAAGCAACAGTCAAAACTAAATATATAGAACAATTACTAACCACACCTTTACCATACTGTAGTAGCATAGCATACTAATGTGTAGTATTGTATATTATAGTACTGTATGACATGCAGTACCATAATATACAGTGTAGTATGACAACGTATAATATATTGTATAACAGTATTATACAGTGTAATATGGCATGTGTATACGTTGCATAGCAGTTGATGCATTGTAGCAATGTATTCACAGTATAAAGCTCGTCTTAAAACCCATCTGTTTTACTTGGCTTTCATCTCCAGCGAGATCTAGTTTTACATTGTATGTTTGTTTGTTTTAAACTGTAAGTTTTTTAAAATTTGTTTTTATTTATTTTATGTACAGCACTTTGTATCAACTGTGGTTGTTTTAAAGTGCTTTATAAATAAAGTTGGTAGTTATATTGTTGTACACTATGGACTAGCATAGCAATGCCATACTATGCTATGCTAGTAGCATTGTACTAGTGCTGTAATATACTACACATTGCTACACATTGTATAGAAATGTACAGTATGTCATGGCACAATATGAAATAGATCTAGCATAGTATAGTACTGTATAGCATAGCGTAGGAATGTATGCTATATTAGAGTATCGTATACTACAGTGTAGATAAACCAACCTCATCTTCAGAGTCAGAGAAGGTGGCCTTCTTCATGGTCTTGTACAGAGGCTTGAGATCTGTGAGACTTTGGTCCCTGCAGAGCAAAGGCAGAAACAGAAAGCAGATCAGCAACTAATGATTGGACAGGTGAAGAATTCCAGTGAAAATGCAAGTTTACAGATGAAATACATATTAAACATAATGACTCCACGTTTCAGCTCAACATACTTAATGAACGCCAGCATGAGGTCGGAGACGAACTTGGCGGTCGTGACGATGAACGATCCCGGCTCGTTGAACGTCTGGGCGTTGTGTTCTATGTAGCGAACCTCCCACATTAAAGAGGAAAGGCGTCTGTAATAATAACAATATGTTTTGTGATTTTTTTTTTTTTTTTTACAGACTTGCTCTCGTTCCTACACACTGCTTGCGGAACAGCCTCCGGTGAGTTACCTGTAGAAGCGGTTCACCAGCCTTTCACGTATGGTGCTGAGATCGGTGACATAGGCCACGACCGTGCAGTACGTCGGGTACGCCTGTAGGTCTACCGGGAAGGCAAACGGTGCCGCCACGTCTGAAAGAGGCCAATATGTTTGACGGTAGACAGAGAAATAATGAAAAGCGGTTAGTGCTGGTGTGTTTTAAGCTGTAAGGAGCTCTGAAAATGGGAAGAGTGAAGGGAACAAGAACCTTTGATTAGCAACAAAATGCAGATTAGTCAGATTACATGTTGCTTTAAACAAAACATAAAAGTCTGTTTTTTGGGGTTTTTGTTTTCCTAATTTACATTTAGCAGATGAGATAGCTTTGGTCAAACATGGAAGGCAGAAAACCAGTGGAATAAATAAGAGACGGCTGCGACAGAATGTGCTCGCTTCCACCAGGGGGAGCCCTCGGACTAGATTTCCTTCACAGTTTAGTATAACATTACAACAGTTAACTGTAATACAAGCCAGCTCTTTGGTGTCTTATCTTAATACTGAACCAGTCTATTCCTGTGTTGATGAGCTCAGAATGGTGACTCAAAGCTGCTGAAAATGAGTCTGTAACTCAATTTTACTTTCGCTTAAAGGTAACTGGTGACATCATACCAAGCGTGCAGAGTTGGTCGATGGCTTTGATGATGCGTTCGCACTCCTCGGCCCGCGTGCGGCAGTTCCATTCACCATCCTGCGGGACGTACAGCAGGTCTTTCTGCTCGTCTTCTGTCAGCGGGACGCTCGTTCCCAGCTCATCGGGAAACGTGGCTGCAGTATGGAGAAGGGGCGAAACAGAAGGGAAAGTTTTCAAAATGATAAATGAAAGGGTTGTCTGGAGTTGGCATCTCAACTTTACGATCTTTCCCACATGTCTTGTCCCTTTGCTATTCTGTTTGACAACTGTGAAAAAAAAGGCAGGTGCCACAAAGTCTGAGAAAAACGTATTAAAAGTATGAGACGCGTACCGTCGTCGGGGATGGGCTCCATGTCCCACGGGCTCATCTTCTCTGTGTCACCGTTATCCCAGCTGCATGGAAAACATCAGGGATCAGTCCTCTGTACCCTCACTTTCTATTTCTATTGATTTCGTTTGCATTTCTGCTGACATGTATATCCCCCAAAATAAGTGACGACAGTGCATTGGGAAAGTGTTCTCTCCTTAGAGATCTCATCTTTTTGAGCTTTACTTTCACGCTTATATACCTCAGGTTTTCAAATATCAATATCTGGCTACGAGTAAAAAGAGCAGTTTTTAAATGATGTTTTCTTTAATTAGGAAAGAATAAACTGTGGGGAAAAGTAACTCCTCTAAATTTAATAAATACATATCAAACAGATTTAGGTAGAGGCTTTTTTTTCTCCTTTCATCAGTCAGAGGTGGATTTCCTGATGTGTTTTTGGATCACTGTCGTGTGCATAGGCAAAGTACGCCATCTTACTCAAGTCGTCTTTTTTTTTTTTTTTAGCTGTGCTACTAACATATAAGTTCCGCCCACTGTCAATCCTCATTTCTGAATCTAAAAACAGAAATGTTTTTAGAAACTTCAACTCTTTCCTTTTCATCTTGACTTCTCTCTATTTCTTAGAAACACGTTTCACGTTGTTCTCTGGCTCCATTATGTGCGTACAATGTTTTTAAACCTGATGGTCAAATAAAGATCCCTTGGCTTTTTTTCAAAACCGCAAACGTTTTTGGGGAGTCTATGTGACAGTTCTGCAGTAACAGACTGCTTACAGTGCAGCAACCAGGAAGTAGTTGCTGCACAAAAATGTACACCTTTCCTGGTTTATGGCAATTTCACAATATGCAACGCATCTGCTTGCCCATTTCACTGCGACCCAACTGTGAAGTGAACAGGAGTTTTACCAGACGTTGTAGCACTGGAACAAGCTGTCGGGATACTGGAGCTGGTAGGGCTCCTGACTCTCAATGGTCCCGAACCACCAGGCGTCGTCGATCACTGACCGAAACCTGTCGCCTGAGCACGCGACACACAAGAAGTGTTTAGAGGTTTCTACCACACACACGCCACACTTCCTGAGCCACATCCTGCACGGAGCACTTCTATGCACAGTGAAGTGTGAATTTATCTGACCTATAGTCCACTGCCTCCTCCTGGCGTTGTCGAACTGCTGCCGCAACACCAGGAAGTCAATAACGTCTGGCATGTCATGGTACCTGCAGACACGGTGTCAGTTAAAGTCAGAGAAAAGATGCTACAGGACAGATCTAACAAAAACATCCAAAGATATGACCCACTTAAACGCAAACACACTATCAATTAAACGTAAAAAGCTGAAAAATGACAAAATTCCCAGCATTTCTATGTATTTGCTTAAGTTAAACTCTTACTTCATGGAGAAGGAGCCTCCTGTCAGCTTCCCTGTGTCAGGGTCCAGAAAGGCCAGCTTCAAGCAGCAGAGTGTGGGCAGACCCACCTCATATTTGATGCCAACTATCTTCATCAATTCCTGCTCCTGAAACGCAAAGCGTTTCAAAAAAGATCAATCGGCTAACCTTGAAATGCAAATATTTTAGATACAGTTCCGACCGCGTGTTTGTATTTCCCCCCCAACATTTTCTTTCCATGGGTGCTCTGGTTGCATTTTTCTGGCTGATCACTGATCTCTAAGAAGCTTGAAGTGAAAAAACATAAACATAAAGATGATACTTCGGTTATCTGAACCAGCAAATTTTTTGTCAGAAACCCATTTGGGGAAGCAAATCAACTTGTGTGGAGCCGTGGGTTTGTTCTTAAGAATTAAGCTAAGGATGATCGTAAAACTTATTTATGCTTAGATTTGTCAAATAAATGAAAACAATTTCCTTGCTAATAAAGAGAGAGAGAGAGAAAAAGAAATAAGATAATTCGTATTTTAGCCAATAGCAATTTTTAGACCTTAAAAGTCGCTAAATATTGCGACAGAACAAGTCGATGAAAGTGCTATGACTGTTATTACATAAAGAAATGACCAGGTGGGCGGGTCAACACCTTCTCTACCAGGGCAGAGATAGACATAATTGGTGGATAAGTTAACTCTAAACTGATAAATATAATTTTCTCATGCAAGTATCGGCGACTTGCATGACTTGCATCATCCCAAAATTAACGAAATCTGGGCCGATTCATTGCCGCACTCCTAACCTTTTCATTTTTCTGCTGCATTTCACGCCTCATGATCAGAAAATTCCCAAAGAACACACTGGAACCCTAACACAAGAAAGTCTGCTACCCATGGACAAAATGGAACTATTTCCACTTTGTTGTGTCAAAAGGGACTTGACACACTGCAGAAAATAAAATCAAGAGTCACAGTGAAGTCGGACAGTTCCCTTCACGCTCCCAGATGTATTTCGACTCAAACGGCACCTTTTCAGCATTTCTTTTAAGCACAAACATATTTTTAGAAGACCTCCGATGTGAAAGTGAACACAGACGCGCTGTTTCTGAGACTAAGACTAAGAAAAAAGAATAACTAATTGCAGACAGCAAAGAGACAGTCACCTATGATAAAAAAAATGTAGCAGGTAATACATTTTCAGAAACTGCTGTCTTTGTCCTCATCCCTTAAAGGCGACTAGTTTTGTTTTTCCCTCTGGAGCCGCTTACAGGACTCCCATCAATTACAGTGTCAGTGTTAAAATCACAAATGTTTCAAATTTAAGATCTGCTAAATTATTTGCCACCCACAACGCGTTCAGGCGTCGCTGTTATTTATTTAGTGACAATTGTGATTGAATGAAGCAGAAGCTTCTTTAAGATGTTTTTACTACTGCAAACAGATGGACGGAAACACAAAACTTAAGTCAGCGAAGTTTTTTCACCAACAGGAAAGTGTTTTAAGAAACGCAAAAGATACAAGAAGCTGTTCGAGAAACATATTTGAAAAAAGTTTTTCTACTTGGTTTGCTGTTCATTCAGGTGGCAACAACAGAAAGACTTTGAGTGAATAACAGGAAGGCTGAACAAAAACACGGCAAGTTTGAAGTTTTCCATCTTGGTCTGTTATGAAATATGCTGGGTTATGAAATGTCTGGGACTCTTCTGGCGAAATCAAAGTTAAGGTAAGGGTTACATTTAGCTAACAAAAATTACAATTTATAATAATAACAAATATTATTATGAATAATAATAATTAAAAAACTATCAGGTTGTTTGGATAAAAACTTATGGTAGTATGGGTTTTAAATCAATTAGAAATGCAAAGAAAAACGTTAAATATTTTTCTTTCTTTAACATTAAAAAGTTAGAGAAAATTTCCAAAAATACTTTTCTGTTCAGTTCACGTCGAGCCACAGACTCAAGACCCAGCAGTGCCTATGAAAAGTATTCACCTTCTAAATATGATGAGTATTTATACAAATGCCTACTTTATGTTCAAATGTTTTTTTTTTTTGAAGAAATCAGTTTTCACGTTAATTGAAAGCACTATTTTTGTACATTTTGTTTTTGTCAATAAAGCCAAATTCAAAAATATAAAACATCCAGGGGCGAAAACTTTTTTTTTTTTAAACAGTTGAATTAGCCAGTTTCTTACCCGCAGCTCCATCTTGTGCCAGGGCTGTTTCTTAGGGTTGATGCTGAAAATCTTCTTTTGTTTGGCCATTTCGACGTACGCTTCATGACCCTGCTGGAAGTAGTACACCTGCAGGCGAGCGCGAAAATGCAACTGGTTACGTTCTGCGTGCGTTTAGCGTCGCAGCCTCGGCGAGCGCCTGGATTTGCAGGAGAATTTTAAGGAAGCGTTGCGTACCTCGTCTCCCATCTGAGGAATGTAAGGACATCTGCGGGGAACCGTGTCTGTGATCCAGGCGGAGGGAAGCCATTCCTCCAAGGTCAGCCCTTGCTCCTGAAATTCATTCCTCTGAAAGTCACACACCGGGATAGATGTACAAAAGTATTCTAAACGGCGTTAAAAAACACAAAATCCAGTGAGTGAGAGTCTAACAGACCTTCCTCTTCTCCTTTGGTTTCGTCTTCTTTGGTAATGCACCATCTTTGTCTGCTTTCTCTTTCTTCTTCTCCTTCTTCCCCTCCCTTTTCTTGTCGCATTCCTCCTCGGAGCCGCTGTTTTTCTTCTTCACTTTCACGCTCTTCTTGGGCGGCTCCAGGTTGATGCCGGCGTCTGCTGTCCAGTCAGAGTAGTCGCTGGAGTAATCGCTGCAACAGAGCAACAACAACAACAACAAAAAAAACGTAGAAGAAATAGTAATCAAACAAAATTGTTTATGAAAATGCTGTTTATGCAAGAAAAAATGTTCAGACGTTTTGTCAAGATACAACAAAATAATGTATAATTAAATACATTCAAAAATGCGCCTCGATGAGTGATCTTTGTCAGCTGAAAAGTAAATTTTTATTTAATTTTCCTTTGGAGTCAATAAAGTATTTCTGAATTTAACTGAATTAAATAACCTTTTAGCAGTTATTAAAAATATGTGTTATTAAAAAAATTTTTAGTCCAATGTAAGACAGCGTCAGCTATAAGCAGAAAATGATCATAATTAACAGGGATTGCTGTTTCAAGCATCAATCTGTGTAATTAATCTGTGTAATGAGATACAAGTTTCTACAATAAATGGGTTTTCAATAATATTCTGATTTTCTGAAAGAGTCTGTCCAAGTGCATGCCTTTCTTTTAATGTCTGTTTGGAAAAGTTATAACTTAATGAAATGTTGTTGTACTTCCTGTCTGTTAGACAGACAGGAAGTAGTGGAGAGGAAATCCACTCATCCTTCACTGCACCCTGGGATTCTGAATTAAAAACCCTTAACGTTGCTTTAATAACAGATATTGTCATGCTTGGATTATATTCCTCACTCATTTTAGAAGATAAACTCAAAATTTTGCAAAAGAAGCATTATTTGCTCTTTCTCCCCAATCCGGGCGTCGGAAATTCTGAATTTCTGTTTCCCAGTGATTGTAAATTTATTGTAGCCTTCGGTTAAATAATAAACAAAAAAAATCAATCAAAATAAATATATGTAAGTAATGTTTCCGTTAAATGCAAAATTTCTGGTTGCGCATATTAAATAATAAATTACCGGTATTTACCTGGAGCTGCTGTGCTCGTCTGGCCACGGCTCCTTCTCCTCTTCGTTCTTTTCTTCCTCTGAGGAGTATCCGTTGATTTGCCGTACCTCCACCTCTGCCTGAAAACACACATTATTTTAGCGTAAAACACACCAGTAAACAAAACTACATAATATCAGGGTTCACACACTTTTTCCCACAGTAAAATTGAAACACTTTTCAAGGTGAGTTTTCAAAATGTGGACATAAAAAAACAATAGAAATCAACTTAAAAAGACAGTTTACAATTATATGATATAAATATTCATTACATTGAAACTATGCGACCAAATTTTGCTCAAATCACATGCTAAAAGAAAACATACAAAGAAAGTTACAAAACCAAATTATAAAAGATGTTCTTGCTGAGTTTTTGGGCATTTTTAGTCATTCAAACTAACCAAAAACAAGAAAAGTTTGGTCTGAAATTACTTCAACAGTCAGAAAAAACGTCTTTCTACAAGTCATATGAAAATATCTGGTTTCAAATGTAAATTACGTTTTCCAAATTTAGACTTGGCACGTTGAATTGCACTTCATCAAAACACTGTGCAGTTTGAATATCAAGCACATTTGAGGAGTTTATAGAGAAATCAAACAATTGAAATTCAAGCATTTCCAAGGATTTTAAACACCCCAGTTAACACTGGATTATGTCAACCTATAACAATAATAATAAAACTGAAAAATATCAATCCATATGAGTGTTATGTGTACCTCTGAGGCACTGTCGTCGTCGTCAGCAGCCTCTGCGCTCTGCCGGCTCGTCTCCTCCATGGCGGCGCGAGTGTGGTAGCCGTGGTTACCCTGACTCTTCCTGCCCTCGTCTACCGCGCACTCTGACGTCGGGTGAACCTTCGCAACAGATAACGAAGGGGAAAGTTTAGTTGATGCGTTACAGGATGCAGATAAAGAAGAGGGAAAAAAACCCATTTTGAGATAACTCCCGCACCCTGCTCTCCTTGGGGAGCGAGTGGATTGTGCGTCTCCTCCTTTCCGACTGATAAATATTGATCTCCTCGTCTCCTTTAGCCTCGCGCCACGTCACTTGTTTCCTGCGCACGTACACAAATCGAGGTATTCTTGAGAGGAAGGTCTTCTGGAAACTTCGACAGCATAGACGGGGATCTTTTAAAAGTTCTACCTGACGGAGGCGTCCTCCAGCTCAGGGACCAGCACCCGGCGGCTCCAGGCCACCAGGTCGCCCTCCGTGGCCATCTGGCTGCGGGGGGCGTTGCTGTGCATCTGGCGGACGCCCTCGATCTGGCCGCTGCGCCGGAGACCGACGTTGGGAGGGGAGTGGACCTCAGTGGGAGAACCAACAGAACCTAAAGGGAAACGGTGTCAAAAATGGTTTCATTTACAACCGCAGCATCCAAAAGATTTGCTGGGTTTAATGAGGGTGCAGTTACATGTACATTTTTTCACATTTGTACTTTTAAGGGATTTTATGCTATAGATCAAAACAAAGTGAATTGCAGGATAAATGAGTTTGAGTTCTATTAATAAGTATATATTAACATTAAAAGAGTGGCATGTTTCTGCATTCAGCTGTAATAGACTGAACCTACAGCTGCATGTATTTTGGGGAACGTCTCCTCCAGCTTTCTGCCTATTTTCCCTCCAAAACAGATTAAATAAATAGCTGGACGATGTGGCTTAAAAATAAAATCTCAGACTTTCTCATATCAAATTCAATTTCCTATTTTTCTTAATTTTTCTTCTCTTAACTCAATCAGTGAGTCAAGTTTATTTGTGCAGGACAGTTCAAAATGCTTTCCATCATAAAAAGACAAAAATAAAGTCAGAAAAAAAACATATAGTCACCAATTTGATAAGCAGTAGCAAACATTTCATTTGATCAAGTACAAATGACAGAATATATCTCAAAAAAAAGAACAACAAAGGTTTTTATTTCAATAATTTCTTCTTTTTTTTTTAAGTTGACCTGCATTCAAAGTCAAAATAAATAGAAGCTGTAAAACAAACAAGATGGTAGTTATTGGGTGGGCTCACATCACTATGGAAACCCAAGAAAGTGCAGAAAAAAGCCCTCTAGATTATCTAAAAGTGAAATCTTCAAAAACAGAAACATGGATGAAATGGAAACCAGTCTGACCTCTGCTGGTCCTGGCGTTCGCTCCAGACCCTCCGGCGGCGGCGGAGACGTCGTTGGCTCCCATCCTTTGGTCCTGCTCCTGCTGCAACCTCTGGATCATGGTGTCCAGTGGACTGGACCCGTCCACCGCCTGCTCGCTCACCACTTGGTTCAAGCCTGACAGGAAGTGGACAGGCAAGCAGGAAGTGAGGAAGCAAGTCCACAGAGAAAGAGCCAGCAGCAGGAAAAACATACTTTTTTGTAGAAAATGTAGCTACAAAGCCAAGACTTTAAAGTGGCATTACATTAAAATAGATTTCCATAACTACTGATTACTGCCAAGATTTAAACAGAAAATATCATTAAATCTGATTTTAATTCCAGTACCGCTTTTTCTTTTTAAAGCCTTTCATTATGCGCATTTAAGAAAGCCGAACATTAATATTAGGCTAACATGTAAAGTCTTCATCTTGACAAAGACATTTTTGATTAGCTGCCTGATGAGCAGATTGAGGCAGAGGACAACAACTCGCGTTTGTTCCTTCAGGCAGGCGTTTAATAAAACAACAAATGGAGACGATCTGAGCCGACATACCGGAGGAAGTGACCCCCATCTGAGGGATGAGCTGCTCGTCCCGGCAGCCCTCCCGGCCCGGCACCAGCCGCTGGTACCTGGGCGGGTGGGGGTTCCCGTCCACGTCCACCAGGAAGGGCGGGGGCATCAGGTGCGGCGCCTGCTGGGTCTGCTCGTCCAGGACGTAGTTGTTGGCGTCCCGGATCAGAGGCCGGTAATCGGTGTGGAAAAACATCTGGTCGGCAATCTAAAGGCAGTTGTGTTGAATATTAACAACAATTACAAACAACATGTTGGTGATGAATGTTAAAGACGGAGAACCTTGTCGTATTTGCCGCTGGAGCCAAAGCCGAAGATGAGCAGGTGACCGTGGGAGTCGGTGGCGGCGAAGTGCTGCCCGTCAGGACTACATTTGCAGTCAAACAATGCTCCGTGTCCCTGGCCTTCAATCTGCAGAAGAACAGCGAGACAAGGAAGAAGGCAGACATTTGTGGGCTTTCCAAACCTTGAAAACAACTAAGCATTTTCAGGGATTTCAAGCACCCATATGAACCGTGCGGCTGAAGGACAAGGCAACACAATGACAACAGAAAAATGGCATTTTCTGCACAGAAACAATTTACGGTAATTAACAACCTTTTATGTTTCCCAGTGAGTCATGTCACTACTCCACAAGTAGTGGAGTGGTTTTACTGTCTGCCCTTCCTGCCAGTAACTTCCCAACATGTCTGCTGACTAGAACCAACAGAGCCACATCCCAAAAAACCGAAGCTTCAAAGAGTAAAACAGCAGCTAGGCTTTTGCTGTAATTTTTGGGATTCACTCAACCCCACTGGAGCACTACAGAGAGGAAAATTTGTGCCCAGGTCTTAACTTCCAGGCTTTAATGTTGCCATGCTACTTTTTCCTTATGGTGTAATCTATTTTACAAAGTTCTCCAGTCCCTGATGTGGCAAAACAGCACCACAACACGATGCTACCACCTTTGTGCTTCACAGTTGGGGCGACAAAATGCTGTGAATTAAACTTGCGGAGGCCAATAGAGCCAAACGTTGGCACTGTGTCCAAATGTCAAAAGAAAAAAAAACTCTCCATCATTATTGTGGTTTTTAACGAGTTATTCTCATAATATTGAAGTACCTAAAACAGGGTCTCTGCCAATTTCACCAGATCAAATTTAAGACTTTTTAAAACAATTACAAATGGAATTTCAGACGCAACTTTGTCTAGCAAACTTGTGATAAATTTGCACTTGCCCACAATAGATGCAAAGCTAGCTAACTTATGTTAGCTAGCAACCTAACGTATGTTCGTAGTGAAGCCAAGACTACTAACATCTAACAAAACACCTCATGACCCTGCCAAAGAATAAGCGAGAAAAGAAAAATCCATAGAATATAGGCGACTAAACAATCGAGACAAAATTCAACACCTGTAAATACACTATTTAAGGCCAACTTACTTTTTCTTTTTAAATGACTAAGACATTCTAGATACATGACAACAGACTTAAATTTATGCTTTTTAAGGATGCATGGACATCCCGTAAAACAGAAAACTTAAACCTGATGTATTATATCTATTTCCAACTGAAACCGATTCCAACTGTAACTGAGCGTAAGACAAAAGGACATGACTATTGATACTGTTAATGCAAACATCGGCTGCCAAACACTATTAATTTAACAGTGTAGTTCTCTTCCCATCATCCACCTGCTGCTCATCTTAGTACAGACCCAGGAGCAGAAATTTAGACAAAGTTTGTGAACTTTACTTGCAGTAATTATCTAACTGAAATCCGAGCTATGCCTCAATCACACACTCTCGTTGTCTTTCAGCACCAAAACTGAGACCAGAACTTTTTGGCCAGCTGACCAGCTTCCTCAGTGACTCATGTTCTGAGACTGTAATTAGGATTGTCCTCGGTTCCCATAGAGACGAAGACAAAAGGATGCAACTGTAACATATACATTGGAAGAGTTCGGACAATGGCTCATTTCACAGAGGGAAACATAACAAAATGATAGAAAATTACACGGAGGTGATTTAAGGTGAAAGATATCAGGATCTTCGCTCGATTTGTTGCAGCACAACACAGATTAGAAAACAGGTGAAAAAAATGAGAGACCCACCATGTTGAAATAAGAGCGGATCTTGACTCCTCTCGCCAGATCCCAAACGATGCAGTTCCCGTCGTGACCGGCCGAGAAAAGGATCCTCGGATCAAACGGATGAGGCTCAAGGACAAACACCTCATCCTCATGACCCTGACAAAAAACAAACAAAAAAAAAAACAAAACAGTTACAGCTCCATTAAGGCACACCTGAGGCATGAACACATGCAAAACGCTGGCAATAAACATAATTATAGGGAGAAGTAATATCCAAGATTTTAGCTTGTTACCATAAAACTAAAAGCAGTTTAACTGGGATCTAAAGCACACAGATTAGAGTTTTGTTTTTATATGGACTATTGTTAGTCAGTGTCCAACATACCACATCCATCAAACGCCATCTGGGAGACTGTTGTCACCAACAATAAAATAACAAGACAGGGAGGTCTATGGCGTTGTGAAATTATGATCTGGAGAACAAAGTAGGCCCTGGAGGTTTCACCGACATCAGTGAAATTATGGCCGTGTTGAGCTACTACAGCGTATTAGCAGCACGAAATAACGAAAAACAAATCTCTTTTAATTTTAAGGTTTCACATTAAAGAGAAAATTGGATGAAAAAGGTGCACCGCTTCAAATCAGCTGCAAAGGCCAGTGAAGATTTGGGATGATTTTTTTCATCTTCATTTTTATAATATTCTCAGACTTTATGTATGAAATATTAACCTTACACAAACTTTAAAACCAGATTTTATCTTTGAAAATAACACTGATGAAATTGGCTTCTGGTTTTCATAGTGCGTGTCTGTAACTCCATAAGATCACCTTTATTTCATAACGTAAAACTTATCCAACCCTGGTGTGATTTTATTTTATTTTTTTTTAAGTTTGCATTCAGTGCTGCCTTTATTTTGCAAGTTATGCAATTATTTTTGCATAATTCAGGCCAACCCAGTTTTAGAATCCCAGATCCAGTTTAACCTGAATTAAAAGTGGCTCAGACACAAAACAGCTAGTAAATTTACCACTTTTTCAGTTTCTGGCTGATTCTGCATTCAGTCGGTAAGTAGAAAGCAAAAAGAGATGGGTGTACCGTTAGAAATTCATGCACATATTGTATATTTTTCTTCTCTAACTGCTTCATATGCTGTTATTTTTCCTATGTTGTAATTTTGTCCTAATTGTGAAGTTTCTTACTCTTAATTTAATTTAATTTTGAATTAATAAAGTTCAAAAGGTTTAACAAAGAAAAGTTCCATAATTGGGTATTTGTGTGTATAATATTCTATTCTAAAATAAAGGACAAAGCATGTCACATTTAAAAATCCCTGTTAAAAACTTTACGTATATTAACAATTATTAGACTTTTGCCCTTTAGAAAAAGAAGATAGGAAAATGTATGGATTTTAAAAAAAATACTTTTTCCACACATAATTTCCACAAAAACGATAAAAACTAATTCTGCACTTTTCCAGCATCATAAAGGACTGAGGAGTCAAACTTAAGGTCATCTGTCTAACAGCTACAGATTTACTGAAAGCGGGTCAAGCAAGCGGTGGCGGGAAGCCGTAGAGAAAATAAGGCCAACAATCTGAAAACAACGTGAGGGTCTGATGAAATCAAGCAGAAAGTGACTACTTGATGTTAAATACACATTCAATTAGTTTCAGAGCTTAAACGTTCAGATGCCTCTTACCATCAGGACATGGACCAGATTCCCGGTGATGGAGTTCCACACCTTCAGCGTCAGATTATTGGCGGCTGTGATCACAGTGCTGTCATGGCGATCCCATGCCACCATGGTAACCTTAAGCTTAGTGACCTTGTCTTCCAGTGGAGGAGGGTTGTATTTCCTGATGGGAAGATAAAAAGTATGCAATAAGACTAACAGCAGGATTTTTTAAATACAGTTAGGGCCAGAAATATTTGGACAGTGACACAGGTTTTGTTATTTTAGCTGTTGACAAAAATATGTTCAGAAATACAATTTATATAGTATGGGCTGAAAGTGCACACTCCCAGCTGCAATATGAGAGTTCCCACATCCAAATCGGAGAAAGGGTTTAGGAATCAAAGCTCTGTAATGCAGAGCCTCCTCTTTTTCAAGGGACCAAAAGTAATTGGACAATGGACTCTAAAGGCTGCAAGTAACTCAAAAGGCCTTTCCCTCGTTAACCTGTAATCAAGTAAGTAGTTAAAAGGTCTGGGGTTGTTTCCAGGTGTGTGGTTTTGCATTTGGAAGCTGTTGCTGTGACCAGACAACATGCGGTCAAAGGAGCTCTCAATTGAGGTGAAGCAGAACATCCTGAGACTGAAAAAAAAGAAAAAATCCATCAGAGAGATAGCAGACATGCTTGGAGTAGCAAAATCAACAGTCTGGTACATTCTGAGGAAAAAGGAATTGACTGGTGAGCTTGGGAACTCAAAAAGGCCTGGGCGTCCACGGAAGACAACGGTTGGTGGATGATCGCCGCATACTTTCTTTGGTGAAGAAGGACCCGTTCACAACATCAACTGAGGTCCAGAACACTCAGAGAAGTAGGTGTATCTGTCTCTAAGTCAACAGTAAAGAGAAGACTCCATGAAAGCAAATACAAAGGGTTCACATGTAGATGCAAACCATTCATCAATTCCAAAAGTAGACAGGCCAGAGTTAAATTTGCCCAAAAACACCTCAAGAAGCCAGCCCAGTTCTGGAAAAGTATTCTATGGACAGATGAGACAAAGATCAACCTGTACCAGAATGATGGGAAGAAAAAAGTTTGGAGAAGAAAGGGAACGGCACATGATCCAAGGCACACCACATCCTCTGTAAAACATGGTGGAGGCAACGTGATGGCATGGGCATGCATGGCTTTCAATGGCACTGGGTCACTTGTGTTTATTGATGACATAACAGCAGACAAGAGTAGCCGGATGAATTCTGAAGTGTACCGGGATATACTGTCAGCCCAGAGTCAGCCAAATGCTGCAAAGATGATCGGACGGCGCTTCACAGTACAGATGGATAATGACCCCAAGCATACAGCCAAAGCTACCCAGGAGTTCATGAGAGCAAAAAGGTGGAATATTCTGCAATGGCCAAGTCAATCACCAGATCTTAACCCAATTGAGCATGCATTTCACTTGCTCAAATCCAGACTTCAGACGGAAAGACCCACTAACAAGCAAGACCTGAAGGCTGCGGCTGTAAAGGCCTGGCAAAGCATTAAGAAGGAGGAAACCCAGCGTTTGGTGATGTCCATGGGCTCCAGACTTAAGGCAGTGATTGCCTCCAAAGGATTCACAACAAAATATTGAGAAAAAACTTAAGTGTTTGGGTTATGTTTATATGTCCAATTACTTTTGAGCTCCTAAAATGTGGAGTGTTTGTAAACAAATGTGTACAATTCTTACATTTTCTATCAGATATTTTTGTTCAACCCTTTAAATTAAACGTTACAATCTGCACTTGAATTCTGTTGTAGAGGTTTCATTTCAAATCCAATGCGGTGGCATGCAGAGCCCAACTCACGAAAATTGTGTTACTGTCCAAATATTTCTGGCCCTAACTGTAACTTCATTTGTCTATTTTTTTCCACTCTTTTATACAAAAAAAAGCTATTAACCATTAAAGCTCACAACAAATAGTTCTTATGCATGCAAAAAGAAATTAGATGTAGAGAACTGTTTTATAAGTTAGCCCCATTTTTATTTCCGTTCGATTTCTTTCAGTTTTAGAATAAATGCCATTTTTTCGATCAGAAATATTTTACAGAATTTAAAATTTTTCCACAAAAAGCACAAAATGACAACAACAAAAAAAACTTCACATGAAGACGAAAACCAAAACTAAACTTAAGTGTCTTGCTTTACCAGCTGATCAGTGATATATACCTTTAAATTTAGTCATTTTTTAAATCAATAGCATTAAGGAAAAGTTAGATTAACTCAAAACTAAGACCGTACCTTGTTTTATAAAATCTCCTGCAAACTGACAAAATTTAATACTTCAGCTAACACATCTAAACTACAAGAGAGACGAACCAAGAAATTGTCCTTTCTAATCAGCAAAGAAACACACAACCGTAAGATAAGCGCCATAGTGTTATGTTAACCACAACACTGCCTGAAGAAGATTAAATGTTAGCCATTTTTAGTGAGGTGTTTAAAAGAAAGAGCCAGGGAAACAGATCTAAAAAAAAAAAAAAAAAGAACTATTTAAAACAAAAGCTGTGAGATTCAAAAATGCTGGCAGCCTCTTAAAAATCTCAGAGAGAAGATCTGTGTTCCCTAAAGACTCCACAGAGGCTGGTGGTTGTACTTAATGACAGCAACGTCCCTAATTACTTTAAAAAAACAAAAGAATAAAAGATCCTTGACAGTTTAAAATGGCATCTCTGGTCCTTTAAAAAGTGTCTCAAACGCTTCTTTTTAAACAGACCATAAAATAAAAAGAAAGGTCTGACAGATATTTTGTATGAAAATAAACTACATGCATCTTGAAGAATATTTTTCATTTTATACTTTTCTTGCTGGAACCAAAGCAATTTTACCTTATGAGCAGTAATTTAAAGTCTGGCCTTGTACTTCCTGGAATTAGCATGTGGCCTTGAACGTGAATGTATCCGTAAATGTTTCAGGGTCTTTTTCTTCCAATTCTCTCAGCGACCTCAAGTTCAACCTCCATTGTTGCTCATCAATTGTTCAGAAGGAACGGCTGTTGCTATTTATGAACCCAATATTAAAATTCAGGCCTGCTTTCTTCGCAGCAGTGAGTACTGAATGGTGAATCCATGAAGGACTTACTGGCTGCCTCCCATCGAACCAGTAAAAATTCATTTTATACCAGAATTCTGCTTAGGGATAATAGAGGGTGTAGAAAAACCAAAAAATCGGGTTGCAACTTGCGGCGGTCGATTTTTACTTTAAGCCCTCGTCAGTAATTTGTTGGACAAATTGCAAGTTTTTCCCCCCCTTGAGTTTTTTCGTTAATCGGAAAAAGCTAAATCTTTTTCCGATCAGCAAATGCGCTGTGCCAAAATAACCAGTTTATTTGGTGTTTATTTTTGTACAATTGCCCGACTATACAGATCAGAATACAAATAAATAAATGTTACAGACATTTTAATATAACCAAAATATTCAGTATGTTGTGTTACTTAGAAATATAATTGTTGCTATTTTCTTCTCAATAAAGATCATGCTCTAAATAATCTGCATTTAACGATTATTGTATTGATCAACTATTCCATCAAGTATTCTGACGATTAATCAATTAATCATTTTAAAAACCTGGCACATTCTGTAGATTTTTCATTTAAATACTTACGCCTATTTATACCGTATTATAAATACATTAAAGATGGAAGTAAACAATTAATAAAATATTTTTAGCAAATGGTTCATTTGTTGAGTCTCTACTCCTGTCAATAATTAGTCGATTACCAAATTAGCTGACGATTATTTCAAAAATCGATTCATCACGATTATTGCAATTAGTCATTTGTGCCCTACCATTATATGAGGTAAAAGCTATTTGAGATTTTTTATGACATGCTTAGACCTATCTGTGGTTTATTCAGGCTGCAAGGGAGCGAGAGAGAGCAGGACGTTTCAGTAGGTAACAGTGAGGCTGAGAGCTTTCAATGTCATGCAAATCTAAAGGGTTTAGGTGAAGATTCAAAGACCTTTGGGAAAGACTGTCTCAAATAATAAGTCAGTCTTTTTAAAGGACTGCATCAGTCCATTTCACATTTAAACTAGTTGGGTCAAGAATAATAAAAACCTTCACCATAAGCATCAAATAAACAACAAATAATTTTTCAACAAGTCACTTATGTTTTTAGATTTCTCCTTTATAATGTCATTTCTACACTGCATCCTTATTAATTCAAGGAACCGATCACAATTTCCCAGGAAATGACATGTCTTTTATGTTGTTGCTTTTTTTGTTGTTACTGAATTAAAAAAGTAAACAAGGAAGCAAAGACTCCAAAATTATTTGAAGCATTTTTGGCAGCCATGCACACACACACACACACACACACACACACACTTACCCAGGCAGTTTGGTCTGCATATCCAGCAGAATGCTCTTCCAGCCCTGAGGCTGCAGCTGCCAGATCCGAGCCGTACCATCCCTACTGCCACTCACAAACCTACAACACATAAATATATATGAAGCACTGAGAGGGAAGACTAGTTCAGCTTTGTATTACAAATCATTTTCCTTTATGCACAGAAATCGAATAAAACCTGAAATCTATTTTCTGATATTTGTATGTCTTTCTCTCTGCTTAGATTAGGGCGACTCAGAGGGATGCGAATAACAGCTGAGAGTTTTTGTTTGTGTGAACCCCATGCGGGAACACTGAGCGCACACGGCGTGAAAGAGTAACTGAGTTTGCTTGTGTGTGACACAGAGTGAGTAACAAGGCGCATCAGGCATTATCTAAAGGTGGCGTATTCTGCTGACACAATCAAGCCGCAGCACCCAGAGCTTCCTTTAAAAACAGCCCTTCAACAGCGCTGCATATCAAAACCTGATATTTTTACCGTGTAGCTCTGAGGCAACAACTTACCTGTCACTGCAGTGGGAGAACTGGATGCTGTCAACTTTATCCTATGTAAAAATAATAATAAAAGAACTGTCAGAATTCACATTGGTTTTTTGGCTCTTTTTTTTTTTTAAACCACATCATAATCAATCACCGCTGCATTTAAAAATTCATATTTCTCAACAACAGAATGAAGCATTCACACTCACTGTGTGGGACTCCAGCTCAGAGATCTTCTCTGGTTGACCCGATCCAAAGTAGTACACCCTAATGATGTGATCGGTGCTTCCTGTTGCGAGGAACATCCCGCCTGGACACCAAGGGAAAGGATTAGAGGAGGATCCCTACTTGTGATTTCTGAGTCATTTGGAAGAAGGTTTGTTTTTGTCAGTTTCCATTCTTTATTATTTATTTTACATAGGTTGTTTTACGCCCAGGTACACCAACTGAATAAATTAAAGTTGTGTTGTTTTTACATGTTTTACCAAGCTACTGGTGTGTTAGCTGTACTGGTGCAGAGTCATCAAATAAACCAGTAATTTGGTACATTAATATCTGTGTTTTAAAAAACAAGAAAGAACATTTTTTTAGTCAATTCAGCGCTCTTTTTCTTTATTAGCCAACACTAAACGTCAGATATTTGTATCGGTATCGGAGGTGAAAGTACGAGATTCACACTTCAGTGCTGAAAATCATTTTAGTCATCATTCATATGTAGCACGTATTACAGCTTCCTTTCAGAAACTGTTGTTTGAGAAGCTAAATTGGTTCAATTGCATTTTAATTATTTATCAGAGTGAAGGAACAGAGTACAAATGTGCAAAAAATTACAATTGTAGCATGAAACCTGAAGAGGATTAAATATGGCGGTTTGACTGGCGATAAAGTACGATGATTCCATATTTCTATGTGCAGGTTCAGTTTTTAAAATAGGAACACTTGCGATGGATGATGACTAGATTAAGTGAAAGTTTTAATTTCACACCGCAGCACACAGCTGCTGTAAAGTCAGTCTCTTTATTTAATCACGTCACCGTGGACGGCTTGTTGCTTTCGTAATCAAAGCAAGCAGAGTTTACCTGCGCTGAAGGAGGAGCAGATCATCTGGACGCCAGGTCTGGAGCGCTCCGTAAATTTACTGGGTCTCTGGCTGCACAGGCATCAAGAGAATGACTTAGGATTTGCAAAGTAACATCACACAAATGCTTCATTCAGAGGGCGCGAATGGCACTTCGGCAAGAAGGACGTGCACACTTCTGATTGTTTTCCCCTCACCCAAATTTGAGCGTGCGAGCATCCCACTGCCAGAAACAGATGGTTCCGTCAGCTCCGGTGGAGGACAGGTAGCGCTTCGAGCCGCTACAGAGAGGCGAAAACTGCAAAGAAAACCAATGAGCATATACAACACTCAAGTGACCAAAAAGCTAAAAAATATACCTCTTAAACTTTTTAAAATTTTTTTGTAATAACCACAAAACTCAGGTGCATTTATAGGGAATTTATATGGTAAACTCATACAAATTAGTGCACAAACATAATACAAATTACAACAATCTGCTAAAAATACTGATTAATGGACTCTGAGTAAAGTTGCAAAAAAAGCAGACAAATCCTTCCGCTCCCCCCGAAAATGTTAAAATGTGTAATTTTCCTTCAACTTCATATCTATGCACTGCATTGTGTTGGTCTATCCCATCAGATCCCACTGAAATACACCAAAGTTAGGTTTTACCACGAGTTCAAGAAGTGTGAATACTTTTGTACACCTGCTGGCCAGGTCTGGAGCGCTGTGCAGAATTTAGTGGTAAAGTTACATGTTTGAGCTATTACAATAGCGGGATTAAAATAAACTGGTGCTCATATGGAAAAAAGACGAGTTCCGGCCACAAACAAGAGCCAAAATATAGCCAGTTATTAAAAAAGCCATGAGAGTACAAGCCGTACAATGCAAAAACACAAAATCTTACCAAGTATTTATGACCTAGTTTCTAGTGAAAAGTCTTGGTATCCTTGAACTAAGATGAGCAAGAAATAGTGTTTTGAATCAATAAAAAAAGTACTTTTTTTAAGAAAATACTTTTTTGGCAGATTATTTCATTTGTAACTTGGAAAAAATGTCTTGTTTTGTGGGGGGGGGCAAAACAAGGCAAACCCAGACTCCCTCCTACCTGTAGGGAGGTGATGGAGGCCGCGTGCCCCTCCAGGACGGCCAAAGGTGCGCAGGTTTGTAAGCACCACACTCTGATGGTCTTGTCGCAGGACCCGGCAGCGATCATGGTGTTCTCGTAGCTCACGGCCATGTCGGAGATCTCAGCAGCGTGACCGCGCAGGGTTGCCAGCAGACGGCCGTCGTCGGTTCCCCAGATCTTCACCAGGCAGTCGTCTGAGCCCTGGGAAAGAAAACAGAAAAAGAACGCAACGGAATGACTGTCACATGTGAAAACAACACCGTAGAATGGCTTAAAAACAATTAAACATAGGAATATTGGATTAGAAGTTGATGGGACCCCAGTAAAGGCTCAGGAAGTTCCAGTGGCAAACTCCACCATGACTGACTCTGTCACTGTCCAGCTGGGTAACTGCCTTCTGGAGGAAGGTTTTATAGTCAGACAAGACAATTACTAAGCTTTTTGGCCAAAATAACAAGAATCAGGTCTGGAGGAGTGACAGGTCAGATTCGCTACCAGTTGTACTGGTGCATTCCACAAATCTGGAGGAGGACGAACTCCACGTTGTTCCTCTTCACTGCAGATAAACAGTAAATTGATCTGTGTGGTCCAAAAGGGCAATGAGCCCAAACATGCATTCAGAAAAGAGGTTCTAGAACCTCAGCGCTGTACAAGACATCTGCAGGTTTCACCAAGGCAAATTTAAGACTTTATCAGACCAGTATGAATGGAATTTAACATCTATATTGCAAAAGAAATGTACAAACTTCATTCAGCCAACTTGCAAGTAATTTGCACTCATTCAATCATAGAAGCAAAAAACTCTATAAGTAAATCAACATTTACTTATTTAGAAAATACTTCACATCTATACACTAAAAAACAGAACTTAAAAAAAGCAGAATGTGGCTGAAATGATATTTATGTCTGATTTGTGTCTTTTATCGCATTCGGTTGCAACTGAAGGTAAAAAAAAACGTTGACAATAAACACCGTTCTGATTTTTATCTGAATCTTAAGTAGCAACAGAAATCACAGAACATTTGAGCTCCACATCAAATAAGGTTGTAAGAAACTTAATAAACAGCACGAGTGCAGCAGCTAGAAGGTACCTGTCCGATTAAAAATCGTTTCATTAACATTCTTTAGTCTGAGCAGAACATCAAGAGCACAACTCAGGCATGAAACCCGCCTTCAGAGGTTGGGTGAGGGGAGAAACTCAGCTGAGCATTCCTGTCTGTGATCCAGCCTGTCGGGGGTTAAAGTGTTTTGCAATTCAACGTGCTGCCAGATCCATCTGTGCCTTGATTAAGCTCTCGGCTTCATTTAGAAACGCAACAGGTTACCGCCATTACGATGCAAAAACACACATCAAATGTCTCCAATTAAAAACAAGAAGGTAGGACTTCGGAGGGTGATTTTCACTTCACACATGAGTTGGTGGGTAATGTTGTGTTTTTAATTTTTATCTGAAGAACATTCGACTAGAAGAGCCCAGATATTGAATCTAGTTTAAGAAAAGGTGATAGATGTTTAATCTGAGGGAGAATTGTATCTGTGAAGGACATTTTTTGTATTTTTCCAAACATTTTCCGACTATGCAGAAACTCCAATTTACCGGAATAAAAGCGTCAAAGTTTGGAAAGAGAAATATAACAGCGGAACAAAGAAAACTACAATTACAGAAACTTCTCATCCAAACCAAGACGTCTCCAGATTTGTCATCTCCAATGACCCTGATAATGAGCTCCAACCGATTTCTGAGCTATATTACACAAATCAATATGGATGCCTGAGAATCTATGGCTTAAGCAAAACCGCTTGTTCACAGAATAATCAGTGTGCTAAGGCCCCACACACACACACAACAATCTAATAATTAATTAATAAAAGGTTGCAGCTGAAAGAGCAAAGAGATCCAAAAATAAGCAAATAAATAAATAAAAGTGATGAGAGGAGACAGCAGGAGAGAGAGAGAGAAATAAAAAAGAGAGAATGAGAAAGTGACAGAGAACAAAAATGAATTTTAACTCTGGCACTTAGCCAGTCCCTCAGAGGAAATATTTTCTCCAGTTAAGAAGAGGAATATTAGGAAGGGGAGTGCTGAGGGGAAGGGAACAAAGAGGGGACAGGCCAGGATGAAGATGGGTTGGAGAAAACGAGGGACGGATAACAGACAGAGAGAGACAGTCTGAGCTCCCTCCCTCCCTCGTTCGTTTGTTCGCAGCAGCCAGCCATTTTTAGAGATTTAAGGAGCAGACGCTGGAAATGGTGTACTGCAGCAAGCAGTGTTTAAATCAACAACATCAAACTCGCATCGTCCAATTGTCGGACCAGTGTTGACTCGGCACGAGACGTGGCTGTTAAATCACAATTTGTTTCTTCCGTATCCCGTAGCTGCGAGTGACGGAGTACAACTTCTGTGACATAAGAGAAATGACCCGAACAGCAAGAAAAACAGATGCTTAAGGGTCAAATTAGGTAAGCACAAAGCCACCGACTCGTTCAAAAGTCAACAGGCTCCTTTAAACACCAGAACAAACAGCTGTGTCCCACCTATAGCGGCAACTAACAATTATCTTACTTATCAATTAATCTATGGATTGTTCTGACTTGACAATCAATCGGGTTAAGAAACTGGCACATTTTCAGTTTTTTTTGTTTAAGAAGAATTTGAACCTAAAACTACTTGAGGAGTTTTGGGAAGAACATTTTACCACACAAAGGATTATTTTATTTTTTTTATCTTAAACACAAAATGTATCTATAATTTGTATACAGGTTTGGCTAAATTACTGCTCTGAGTGTGTTCATCTTTCTGGAAATGGCCATTTTTTAAAACTGTTTGCTCCAATCAACGATTCATCGTTTACTAAATTGGTTGACAATTATTTCAATAATCAATTCATCACGATTAATCTGATTAATCCGTTCAGCTTTAGTCCCTACTAAGCTCAACTAAAGATGTAAACATATATCAGCACCGCCAAATGCAAAAGAAAAAAAAAAAGAAAAGGCCTTCTTACTGTGAAGATGCGGCGGCCCGTCCGGTCGAAGGTTACGCAGTACACCGACGACAGGTGCCCCAGAATCCTCTTGTGCATCTTCATGTGTTGGTAGACGGCTGTGGGCACCAGCTGACGGAGGCGGTAGGAGCCGTTCAGTCGACGGCTGTAGCTTGTCTCCACTTGGTGGGCAGAGAAAAATCAAGAGAATCAGTACGCAGCTCAAAGAGAAAAGAGCTGAGGAGTGACCTCGAGAGGGACCGGTCAGGTTTGACCTGGCCGATAACAAACTCTGGGTTTCTTTGAGGCCTGAGTGGCAAATGAATCCAAAATAAAGCGGAGCCTTTCCAAGACGACACCCTTTCACGGTCAGCTGATTTTTATTGTAGTGAAACAAGTGGGTCAAAACTTAAAGAATATAAAAAAATACAATTGTTTTCAGTACATTCAGGGAAAAATTGCCCAATTCTGATATGTGACAGTTTGATTGGTGCAGCTTGGTGTCAAGGTATGTCAGGGTTTCAAAACGTTTGGGTTTCAAAACCACAAAGTAAGGTTTCCTAAAGTTGACTGGTGATAAGCGACACAAGAGGGCTGAAGGAAGCAGCTCGACTTTTCTTCATTTTATAAAGAATACAAACTCAACTGCAGAGCTCTGACTGATGATTATTTTAGTCATTGATTATCCTGACAATTAATCAGGAAAAAAACTAGCACATGCTACAGATTTTTCTAAAACCACTTAAGCCTTTTCACACAGTATTAGAAATACATTAAAGACGCAAATAAACCAAGAATACAATTCCTTTTGAAAATAAGAAAATAAGCATCTCGGTAGATAGAATGCAATAGCATAACTTTCCTTTAAATAAACTGAACCAGGTGTAGCTAAATTATGCCACTGGAGGAGTTTTGGGTAAAACATATTTACAAACAAATGTGTTCTTATCTTAAATGCAAAATGTATGCATATTTTGTACAGTTTTGGCTGAATTACTTGTCCATTTTTTAGCAAATGGCCTTTTTTTGAGCCTGTGTACTCCAATTAATGGATAACTAAATTAGCTGACAAATATATCAATAGCTTAGTGATACTTATGTGCTTAGCCTACATTGTAGCTTCGATTAGGCTGTCCTTATGAAAAACAACAAACAAATTAAAACTACAATACTCAATTGTACTTCTGCAGCAGTAAAAATAATAGTTCCTTTTTCTGTTTTAAATTTAAAAAATGGATCAAATGCTGGTGTAAATACAGCGACGTAGTGTAGTTTTACTTAAGGTTATCACACTGTGACAAACCCCTCCAGACCGGTGCATGTTCAAGATAAAAAACATAATAATAATTCATACCAATATTGGGTGGACTCCCATAAATAATAGGTGGCTCCGGGGGTCTTCCACAGTGTAGTGCTGCCAACGCTGAACCTTTCCACACAACATGTTTGCAGCCTGGAAGAACAGAGGAAGCAGAACCAGTCATGTTTTAAAGATCATTGTGCGGCACACCGTTAGTTTGGTCTGGATGTATTTAAGCCCCTCTATCTTTAACACTTTCAGATTTCGTTCCCAAAGGTTTCCATGACAGTCTGCACATGTATAATGTATATCCACTGGCTTGTGTCGATGTTAAAAGCAGCTCATGCATTGTTCATCCACTTACTGTTGCTGGTGCGCAGGAGGTTCTGCCTGCCGGCCCCCAGCAGGCTGGTGAGTCCCGGCACGCTGGCGGGGACCTCCCTCTCCAGCAGCGGACATACTCTGGAGCAAACCTGCAGCAGGTGGTCTGGAGCGACGTGTCTGTACAGCTTCACCTGAACACAAGCGTTCAATCAGCAACCACTGTGAGCAGGACAGCAGAGAAAAAATACAGAGCTCTCTCACCCTGCTAAAGCATCGTTGGGTGTCTGCTAACGATGCAGAAATAGATAGAGTTCCTCTCATTAGAACAAGCTTTAAAATACAACTATTCAGTAAGTACAACTCGATTCGAGTTGTTTTAACTTCATGCAGTCTATGTTATGTGAAAAATTGATGTGAATGGTTTACCCAAGGGAAAAAAAAAACTCAAGTTTGAGATTTTATTTTTTTTTAATAGAGAGCAGCGCCATACAGAAGAACGTGTGTGTGCAGGCAGGTACGATTATTTTCTCATCCAACTTTCCCATAACTCTCACATCGCGCAGTTAATTTTAAACATACTGAGCAATTGCTGAGATGTAATTATGTCGTTTATATTCTGGCAAACTCGCTTTAGTAGCATTTTATAGAAAAAATACTGTTCTGTAAATCCAGGTTAAAATGTCAGTGAGTGAAAACCTCATTACAGCTGGTTTGTACTGGATGACATTCAGCTTTAAGTTCATTGTGCCATTTCACGCTTCAGGCTTAAATGATGAAGTTGTCGATTTATTTTGCTTAACTCTTTATTCAGCACTTCTGTCCTTGTTTTTGTATTTCAATGTATGATGCTTGCATATATTTCTGCTACATTTAGACATCCAGCCATTGGTTGTTATAGTGATGCTTTCTGTCTCCTTCAGCCAAGGAGGGGCTTACATGTTGTTTTCATCTCATCTGTAACAACTCTCCATCAGGCGAAGTCAAGCAGACCAGTGCAAGATTACCCAATGCGGTCACCTCAACGAGAAATAATATAATGTTACCAGACAACAACGATCACTTTTATTAAGACAGTACACTAGATTCATATTTTTTTTTATTTAGTCTTCCATATACATTTGTACAAACCACATATGCAGGCTGGAATCAAACCTGCAACAAGTCAACTACTCTACCCACTGAGCCACAGCTGCAGGTCTGTGAAGTAGCCAACCTGTTAGTACAAGGTTGTTATATAAGTGTTGCTCATGCAGAAGATAAACATGACGTATTTTGGAAAACGGGCATAACTCTATTTATTGGGTGTTCATTTTATGCTGTTTCTTAACCTTATAGATTAAAAAACAAACAGATAAATGTTATAGATATATCTTAATCCATCCATTTTCTAACACCCTTGTCCCTAGTGGGGTTAGAAGGGGTGCTGGTGTCTATCTCCAGCTAACGTTCTTGGGTGAGAGGACAGATCTAAATATAATCTTGTATTACTTTCTAGCACAAAAAAGTAAGTGTTGCTCTTTTCTCGTAAATCAAAGGTAATTGGATCATGTTGTAAGTTTTTGTGTTCAAACTCAGGTATTTTAACTCAAGATTTGGATACCGGGAGAAATCTCACGCGACCCCGTGTGTGAGCAGGTTATTCATAGTATGCCTGCACATGTCAAAAACGCTGAAACAATATTTTGGGCAGTCGTGAGTCTGAGCTTGAACCAAAAAAGACAAAACTGGACGCGAAACTGGCACATTTGGAGTTTGTACTGATAACTGGAAATGTACACCCAACAATGACTTATGATGAGCAACATCCAGCAACATCCGATTAAAAAGCAAAGGGTTCCCTTTTGCAAAATGCCTCAGCATCTCTAAGGCATTTCCCAGAAACAAACAGAACGAGGCTGAAAAAGACAACTAACCGCTGATCATATTCCTAATAAATTACGTTTCCTCTAAAATGCTCAATAACAAAAGCACACAGCCTAAAATGTCACATAGCTAATGCTCAGCAGCAGAGAGTAAGGGGGTTGGTTTCTGGGGGGGCGGAGTGGCACACAACATAACCATGAGGTGGGAAACAGAAAGAAAGCCTGTTATAAACACAGTGTGTCAATGATTCCACTGACACCTGGGGGACTCTCTCACACGGCCTACTTCTGAAGAAATGCACATGCCTAGATGACTCAAAGAGCATGCAACACACGGAGGGATTAAAGGGAGGAAAAATAAAAGCCTGGTGTTCATTTAAGGAGACAAGATTCTGTGATAAAATATCCAAACGCAATGAATTTACTCTGCATGTCTCAGCTGGTTAAATAAGCCCACTGTTACACATTTACTCCTAGAAACTCGTTTGCTTAATTTCTTTATCTAATCCGCAACCGTAACTTATTCCTCATGGCACACACACACACACACACACCCACACACACACACACGCAGATACCCTTTAATTGCTTTCAACATCCTTGATGGCGCTGAGACGTGATCGGTGTTGCCAAGCACATATCAGACCCCATCTCAGGCTGATCTAATAACGGCACATAAAAAAATAAAACAACCACACACACACACGTCCTCATATACATAAGTGAAAGATGTGCAAAAACAACTGGCTCCATTTTCCTTCAGAACACACCCCCGGCCATGACTGCACCAACACTGAACACATGGTCCCTCACACCCACTGCAAGTTCCTCTATTTTTTTATTTATTTTGTATTATTATTCATATCTTACACCTCCTTGGGTAACAATGAAAATATGAAACTGGCAATAAATATGTACATGTACACCTTCTAATTCCAGTTTAAATGAATCGGTCTAAAAATCAGCCGAACATTAACGACTATATTTTGAAACAAATCAATAATTTAATTGATCAGCTGCTAATAAAGTAACAAAACGTTTCAGTCTTGTTCAAAAACGCTATGAATCCGATGGAAATAATAAAAAATCCAATTACCCCCCCACCCCCTTTCAATTAATTAGCCATAATTAATATTGTTAATTACAACAATATCAATGCGTGTGCTCTTCATCGCTGCCCAACCCCCCCATCCCCACTCGTCTCTCCTTTCTTTGACAGAAAAGCAGAACATCGAGATCTGAAACGCCCCATGATCCTCTTTCCGGTTGTTTTTTTTTTTTTTTGGTCGAATAATTAAAACCGCGTCCGCACGATTTTTGTTTTTAAATACTCTCCACACAACAGTGGATGTTACACACAATGGACCGGTGAGGCAGGCTGAGGAAGAGGAGGAAGAGGAGGAGGAGGAGGAGGAGGAGGAGGAACGGAGAGACGAGCAGGAAGAGCGAGAAGAAGAAACGCAGCCAGGCAGAAGAAGCGCGCCGTCAATTATTATTATTATTATTTTTTTTCTTTAAACCCTCCAAGATTCGGTTCGGTCGCGAATCGCAGCGATTCGCCTTCCGGTCGCCACGCGCGCGCGTTTCTCGTCAACAGGAAAGACACCGCGTGTTTAAAACGTGTCACATTAAATTATAATAAATAAATAAATAATGAATATTAAAATGAAAGACAATTAAAAACGCCAACAAACAACAACAACAAAAACGAGTCGACCACTATCACTTCACGCGGGGCGAGCCGAGACGTAAATATGCACGCGATAACAAACGGTCTCCACGCCCCCCTGGCCCCCTCCCGCGTGCGTAAATAAGCGCTCGGAACCGTTTGTTTACATGACAATTAGCAGCTCTAATACAACCTATCAAGTTACCTCTCGTCTTTAGCTCCAACTTGCATCCAAGTTCCCCCTAAAAACCCCAGAACGCTTCCACGCCGAGCAGGAAGCTCCGACAGAGCAGCTTTACTGAAATCTGCTGTTTATATCTCCCCTCTCTACTTAAAAAAAAAAAAGTAATCTTTTATAACTCTTGCCCCATGCAACACAAATGCTGGTTCTTTGCAGGACAAGAGCGCCTCCATCTCTCCCAGAGCTCGTGGCGCAGGGAGTCCCTCCTCCTGATCCTGGCGCTCCCACACCACACAGCCCTCGTGACGTATCAGCATTTCGCACACTATATTCCCAAACAACTGTTTAAAACGCTTTTTGGGTCCTGCGTGACGCTCGAACCCGCGCGCCCGGAGGGCTCGGCACTCGACCCGGTCCGTGCAGCAGAACGACCCCCCGGCCGGGAGCCAGCTCGCCCCGGGAGCGCTTTGGGGGTTCTTTTCTTTGCCACCTGATTTAAAAAATTGCGGGAAATTCAATTTTTATCTTGCTCTCTAAAAACTTTTTTCCTCGGTTATAGAGCAGCCTTACCAAATTTCTGTAGGTCCCGGGGTGCTCCTGCCCCGTCCAGTCCAGCCTTCTGGGTAGCAGCTGAAACAGAGGAATAGCGTGGAGGGTGACCAGCCAGCTCATAAATGCGTGGCGTGATGTTTTAAAACGCTAAATGATCATTCAGAGAGAAAAGGCAACATCACACAGTGCAGTGCGGAGAGAAGCATCTCTCTCGTAGTGTTGACTGCTTACCTCCTTCTCCTCCACCTCCCTTATCAGGGTCTGAAAATGGGATAAAAACGCAAAATTACACCTCGTGACAATTGTGGACATGTTCTAAATTAACCTGAAATGCAAAAACACCAACCTCGGCGGCTTTCTGGCACGGTCCAGCCTCTAGAAACCGGGCTATTAGGAAGTACAGTTCTGGTACGGTTGGAGGGGGAGAAGAGGACGGGAGCTGCGTTAGAAGAGGGCACCGAAGAACATTTTGTGGGCTATTAAAACCGCCGTGACACACTCTTCGCTCTCACTTTACTCACCAGAAGTCAACTGCGCGATGTGTGTACTGTCTGAAGCCATTTTGGGTGTTGTTTGCCAGGGCAGCGCCAGAGCTTGTGTGCTGGGTCTAGGTGGCTGCCCTGTAGCTGTCACTGTTTATCCACCAGGAAGAGGCTGCCTCCATTCAGCCTCGCTCGAACATAGTCCCGCCTGCGTTAATATTCATCCGCCGTGCGTCAGCTAGTGCGCGCCGTACGACTCGCTCCGCAGGATAACGTCCTTCAGATGTTGGCGACGAGTGGCTAAAATGTCATTATGTGAACAGCCGCTTCCGCTGTATTTTATTTCCCGTTGGTTTGCATTGTTTTGTTTATTTGTATTCATCACCCCCTGGGCCCCCCCCATCCCCCTCAACGAAAATGGCGGAACCACACAAGCAAGTGCGTCTCACTCGGTCTCTGTAGAGCTAGAAATGGCAGCCTGCTACAGCAGAGGACACACTGCTGTAGCTTAGCCGTTACGACGAAATTAGTTTGTACTAACCACATTTTACGACAACAACAAAAAAAAAAGTATTACATAGTTGTAATTTCACAGAGGACGCAGGGAGCGTTACGTAATTTCTGCGACATTGTTTCCACATAATTTGTTGAATATCACGGCTCCCGTCTCCGGGAAGGATTTACAACCGTTGAATCTTAACCGTACAATGTTTTAGCTCCGTAAACGTGTGAATATGCGCGTATTTTTTTGTTTTTTTTTTTTTTGTTGTTGTTTTTTTTACTCCGCTCGTCGTTGCCGTCGTGTATAACACGTCGTTGTAACACACCCACCCTGTGGCCGTTTGGTGGGGAAGTCGTCCATTTCTCTTCCAAATATTGCCAGGCAGTAAAATGGGGGGAAGGGATGGGAAAAGGGGAATGCAGCTTAATGAATGAAGCCCCGTGAGTTACAGCAATTTAATAACAATGGAGACTGATGCAGGGCCCGACCATGGAGGAAGATTCACAAGAAAAACACACACGCTGCAGGACGACTTGCTGATAAGAAAAAGAAACAGCAGTCAATTTAAGCTACTTTTTTTTTGCATCATTTGCCCCAAAGTTTTATTAAGGACTAATGCTAAAACAAGCGACTTCTTTTTTCTTTTTTTTTTTCAGTGTCCATGCTATTGTTTTCTGTGTGACCATGCAAACTTTGGGGAATGTAAGCCAAAAAAAAAAGATTAGCACACAACATGGAAGCTGAAGCTTGTCTCACAGAAGTCAAAGGTCAGCCTGGAGTTTCGGGTTGGTTTTAGTCGTATCACACGTCTGGAAGTGCTGTTTTGAAAGAACAAAAAAAGAAAGGCCTGGCTTTGATCGGACCTTGGGCCACTCTCTCACACACACACACACAGACACAGGTACGCTCTGAAACCATTCCACTATTCCACTTTCGTTTTCCACTTTATTTATCTTCGTTTTATCTCCTCCTCAATCCCCGTAAGTCGGAGGAAACCATCCCCACAGCAGCATGCTGCCACTGCCGTGTGTTAAGAGTCGCAGAAGTGCGAGTGTCTGTTTCTTTTCCGGCCTTGTCTGTCCAGAGTGTTTGCTTCCTCCTGTTTTGCTGCGTCCCTCACACGTCTCGTGGCAAACGACCAGGGCATTTTATCACGATTTTCGTTTTGTCGTTCTTTCATAAAGGCCACATTAGTGGAGTGGATGACTAATTCTTCTCAGGCGACCTTCGTACGGACACAGAGACGGCTAGCGGCAAGGTAAATCTTCCTTAAATGTGTCTCATTACGAACAACACTTGAACTTAACAACTGCCACAAAATGTATAATATTTTGATTTTAATAACTGTTGTTATATTCATGTGTTTACTTAGAGCAAACACCAGCCAGGAGTTAATGTTCTCCCAACCTGAAAAACACAACAAAAACAAGTAATCTTTATGGGGTTTTTTAAGACAATAAAGTAAGCAAACCAGAAAAAATTTGTTGCTCTTTTTGCCAGGTTGTTGCAACCATTTAAACAGAATTTTTTTTCATATAGTAGAAAAGTTTATAACAAAAAACAGCAATTTTCATTCAACAGACTAGATTATCCGCAATAAATAGCTTTTTAGTGTTCAACGTTCAACCGCTTTTATGATTAGATGATAGCTCCTGACATAACAATGTTACATTTACTAAACCAAGGCTTTATTCAAACATAATTTGGAAAACAAGAAAACCCTTGCAGGTTCGTTTTGTTCTGTTTTTACACCTACACGTTTTAGCTCATTCAGCTGATTTTCAAAACAAAGATTACCTCGATAAATGCAAAATGCAGATTTGGAATAATCTGCTTGTTTACAGAGAGGTAAAGCAATCCAAACCAACAGCTGAAAATATAACTAACTCTATTTTTAGACCACATTTTCGTACTTTTTTTTTTAAATATCACCCAAACCCGATGAGTGTAACACTTAAAGAATCAAGAAATCACAAACAAAAAAACAACAGAAAAAACACCCCGTTTGACATCATAAAGTGGGTTAAAATGCGGCAAAAACAAAAACATTGCATTACGATTGAAAGTAAACCAAGAACAGAACAAATTGTTGTAATCCCAAAATTTCTGATGTCAGTTTCCTCCAGCACAGATTAACCCAAAATGAAACCCGGCAAATTTAGAGATATTTTCTTTCAACCAAAATATTTGCTCGAGACGGGGATCGCTCAAAACAAAATAAAAGAAAACAAACAGTGTCCGTTAAATAATAATAATAATAAAGAAAATCCGTCTTTCACTCTCTTTCCAACGTGACTGAAAAGTCTCTGCATTTTTTCACCTGTATTTTTGTAATTGAACATTGGTGAGGAGCTCCAAGTCTCTCTAAGGTTGGAATCCCTACTTTCCATCACCCTAATCTTTGTCTTCACAGATTCCCTGTCTAGGTAGAGTTCTGTCATGACTTCAAATCAGACGAAACATGTTGTTGAAAGCATTGTATACATACATTTTCCAGTGTTAGGATTTAAAATGAATCGTCGTAGCATTTGATCAATGTTGAAAATGTAGGGAAAGGTGGGGGGGTCTGCCATTAATTCACATACATTTGTTCAACAGAGAAAAAAAAAACTCTAAGAAATAATTCTATTTAACAAAGTCACTTTTACTTGAAGCCTTAGGAATCCCTTTCGCATACATGCTGAAGCATTTTTAATCATTTCTAATTAGTAACCTTTAAGTGAACTGAAAATGTGTTAATATCTCTATTAGCAAGATAGTTTTATAAAACTCTCATTCAAACTAAGTTATATTAGAAATAAAGCATAAAATTATGTTTTTGCAATAAATTATGAGCTTAGATTTTTTTTTTACAACAATAGCAAATGTGCTCGCAATTTTGACCATATTATGTCTTCCTTTGTTTTTGTTTTTTTTGTGTCTTATTTGGAGGGGGCTACAAATGACGTGCATTTGAAAATAAAAAATGATTGCTTCTTTTAGCTCGATTCAGGAAAATTACTCCATTCTCTCATCTAGAACAGAATCGAACGCAATCTGTAACAATGTAACCACACAGCAAAGTGGTTTTGCACTGATTAGTAGATATGCATAGAACAAAAAAGTTATCTCAATTTTATCCAATGTAGATACGTCTTATTTAATAAGAGAGAGCTAAAATGACAACAAAAAACAACAACAAAAGAAAAGGATACTAGTTAGGTTGCTGACCTATGGAGCGACGCGGCCACAAGGAGGCGACCTCACCCTCATCCACCCAGCATGTCACAGGCAAAACAGTGGAATCAGAGGTTATAATTTATTTTGCAAACTGGCAGACATTTTGGGAGCAAATAGAAACTGAATGTTGTTAACTGATATTGAAAGACCTTGTTAAGACACTGCAGCCGCCATATTTGTTTCTAATGTTCGTTGTCTTAGCAATTCTGTTGTTTCCACAGTTTTTACTAGCGCTTCCACTAAAATGAACAAAGTGCTGCAAGGGGTTTAAGACCCATCAGTTCGTCCCTTTGTGACGAGGATTCAGAAACGCAACACAAATGAAAGCATTTGCATTCCGTCTTCTTGCAGATGCTGCAACGGAAGACCCCGGATTTGGTCAATCACCACAGGTGTCTGATGTTGATGGAAAGTTATTATTTTTAATTGGGACAAAATGATCACAGACAAAGCAAAATCTTCTTACAGTAGAGAACATCGGCTCTACACAAAGCGCTCGTCTCTAAAATCCAAATCCTGATTTTTACTGCCCACAATTGACTAAATTACACTTTTTCAAGTTGATACATAGAAAATTTCTAAAATTACTTTCAGTTAGGCAAAGTTTTCAAATTGTGGGCATCCATTTCTAGCAACAACTACTACTAAGACTACTTCATTTAACTAAAGAGTTGCATGGCTGCTTGGTGACAGAAAGTGTTTTTTTTTTTTTTTTTGACTCTCAACTCCTTTTAACTTGAAGATTTTGGCCCATGTGAAGAAAAGTTTGGACACTCCTGGTTTATGGTTTTCAACGACAGGTCAAATGAAGAGGCTGAACAGTTTCACTGGTCCCACCACTCCAACAAATGCTGACCTTTCACTTCCTGACACAGCAGTTGTGTTTAACACTGCCACGTGCCCCCTGGCGACCTCCCACACACACACAAAGGTGTAAAGATGGACACACACACACACACACAGCGCTTTAAAAAGTACTTCTAAACCTGGGCGCATTGAAGCGGTGCTTGGGAATGCTAACCGTTTGTCAAAATAAAGCCAAAAATAAGAAGATGCAGTTTACCAGGGGAGACTTGCCACAGAAAGTGTTCTGTTTAGGTGACACCAAAAAAATTGGAACTTTTTTGGGGGGAACAAAGTGTAAAAAAGCCACTTTGGAAAACCGCAGCACATTTCCCTAAACCACTGGTCCAACCCTAAGAACCATTTCTGCCCAACAACACTTTAGAGCCAGAAAAGCAACATGACTCTTCAGAACGCACCTGCAATAGGAAATGTGTTTGTATTTTTAAGTTAGAGAACAAAAGAAAATAGATTTTTTTTTTCAGAGTTAATACATTCTTTCAAATTTTCTAGAAAAAGTACATAGTTTGCAACAACTGAGAAAAGAATATATATATATTTTTTATGTCGTTCATTGTGTAAATGTTATGGATAGGTTGGTTGCTGATGCCGAGGCCTGCCATCAACACAATAGCGAGACATGGTGGTGGCAGCATCATGCTGTGGGGAGAGCTTCTTCAGCTTAAATGGAGAAGCCAGTGGTATTGAAGAAGGTTAGAGAAAAAGGTTAGAAAATGTACCTTCTTTTAGGAAGACCTACAGTGCAGTAGTTCAGGTCAATGGGCTAATTTGAAACAAGTTATTCTAAGCTACTTGCTATATTTAGCCAAGTTTAGTAAATTTAGTAAAAGCCGATTTGGGTGCAGCAAAGTCAACATTTCAGTATAAGTGTTGGTTATAAAAGGCTTAGTTGTAAAAACATGAATAATTTGCGTCCTACTTAACATTTTCCACTGAAGTCGGTAATAATTTTACCCTGATTACAAAGAAAAATCTGTCCAAAGGCCACAGATAGCCACCAGGATGTCCATTGCCCAACACACCAAATATATTGGTGTTAGGACGGACCAGTCAAAGTCCACACCTAAATAAAATGTGAACGTATTGATCTTGTGCATGCCATGTTTCCTCAGATTTTTTGGGGTCATAAAAATTTTAGAAACCACAAAATCTTTTCATCACTATCATGCTTCGTTTCATTTCGCCACGTAAAACCCCAAACATAACCACACTGAACTTTGACCCGGGAAACCTCACCTTTGTTCTATTTACGCTAAAAGAAAGAAAGAAAGATAGGGGGGTGGGCAAGTATGTGTGATGGACTTTTTCTTTTATTTCAAAAAAATTCTCTCCTAACAGAATGAAACTCCGCCGAAGCCCAGAAGGTCCCACGCCGACGGAGCCGCCCAGAACAGGAGCTTCACTCGTTTATTGCTGGCACTCTCTGCTTCAGGACAAGGTGTTCAAACAAAAAAAAAGAAAGAAAGAAAAAATACCCAAAAACATTTCCACTCCAACACACAAATACAAAAGGAGCCATGTGGAACAGCGTCAGGGATTCTAAAAACTAGGAATTGTTTTTTTTCTTTTATTTCAAAATGCAGATGTTTCTTATGTTGTCTGATCTCCCACTGCTCTGCATTTGTAATCTTCCACGTTACCCCAAAGAGTCTGGGGGGGCAGCGAGGGAGAGGGGTAGAGATCAGGGCATCTCCTTATGACAGGCCAATAATGGTGACCTTCTTCGCAGAGGAATAACTACAAATAAAAGGCCAAGCTGGTTTAGAGATCTGGTAACAGTCACATTTATGGCCCCGAATCCCCTGTTGTTGGTTTTTTTTTTCAGGCATCACAAATAACATCTGCAACAGTCTGATAAAATCACTTCAATGTGCCTTTGAACATCTAAGATGGACGCTGTATTCTAAAGCAACACGGGATGCAAGAGGGAGGATGAGGGTTCTGCTGGTTGTCCATCGCTATCGCTAATCGAAAGAGAGAGAGGGAGAGAGAGAGAGAAAACATATGGCATGGTACAAAAAATCATCGGTAAAAAAAGATGCTTTGCTGCCATGGAGTTGGAGCGGACGAGTCGGTGGACGAGTTGGAATCCTCACGCCTTCTCGTCGGTCGCCTCTTCTGCTGCTTCAGAGACCTGCCGGGAAGAAGATGGCGAGTTTTAGATGATCTGGTTGATTTCAGAGGAAACTGATGCCATCCAAACGCTAAACCTAAACCAGGATGTTAGGGTTAGGGAAATGGCTACAAATGTTAGGGTTAGGTCAAGTATGTGTGGGAGGTTTGCGGGTATCAGATCATGTTGAGGTTTAAATCAGATGATGTGTAAGAGCGATGCCTGTCATTACAAAGTTCGCGGGACGATAAATTGCCACAGGAGTTATCGCGATTAATGATATCGCAGTTTGGAGACGACTGTCCAGAGATACAACGGTAATAGCAAAATGGTGCAAGAACACATTCTCAAAGATAAACTTGAAATTCTAACGAACATTTAGCACCGGAAATGGAAGACATTTTAAATATCCAAGGTAAATAAAGAATCAGGGCTGGTTTGCAACCCCTGCATGTACGATAACTCTTTGAAAAATTTGAATTAATATAAGTTACAACATTTAATTTCTCTTTAGGATCAAAAAGGTATTCTTGATGTTTTATTAGAATTTTATTTACTACAGCCATGAGTAACGTCATCATTTGATGAAGAGATGTTTTGCGTAGCCTGATTGATTCGCTTCGAACCAGTACATGTAAACACACATAAACTTGCTTTTTTTTGTTTCGCAATATTTAAAAAAAAAAGCTTAAAATTACATTTTTAAATGAATTGGGTTGAAACATAGATGGTAAATGGAGATTTTTCACCCTGCATGCAGCGCGGTTACTGCATTCTGCTGGCAATACCTCATCTAAAGTGTCATGGAAACACTGAGCTGCACAAGACGCCCCCTGGGTAACGAGTGGGGTGTTTCTGAATTCATCAAAAAACAACAAAAAAACCTTCTAAAACCAAAACTACAATATGTAACTGCTGCAGGACTTACAGTTGAAGATAAATGGTCACACACAGCGCATAAAAAGACAAAACTCCTTTTCCACTGGTAAGACTTTAAACCAGAATAATTATTTCCTTTCGGAAATAAATTGGCTACACTATATGATGATGAGGTCACTGCTGTTGGAAGCTTTCCGATTACGTTAATTTGCAACATCTGAGTTGAATGGAGGAACGCCTGTAGATGTTTTTTTGTTGTTGTTGTTACAGGACACAAAAACACTGCTTTGTTGCGCAGCATCATGGAAAATCTGGACCATCTTTCCATACCTGGGGATGCGTTCAAAGTTCAAACAATGATTCTGTAGCACAAACGAGGTGGGAATGTCCCGCCATGCCACCGTTCAGGTCCTGCGTCGCAGAGATGAACGCAACACACATTGGTGTGAAATGTGTGAGTTTGGTGAATCTGGTAAGACAATGTGATTATCCATAGTGTGGCGTGTCTTGCACAAACATGGCCAGAAAGGCAATTCAGTGAGGACAAAGCCGTCCAAAGAGCAAGCTGGGTTATGCGTGGACAGAAAGCTTAATTTTGAAGACTTATCTGTGGTGTGAAAGTAAAATCGAAGTGTTTGCAGCTGATGGTCATTCTTTCATTTGGAGGAGAGAAGAGAGAAATCTTGCAGATTGAAGAGGTTTAATAAACTTTGTGCCTTCATTTTAATCGAGGCGAGTCAGCTGGTCCTTCTTCACTTATTAAAAGAATGGGGAATCAAAGGACTAGCTTTGGTGAAGCCTCGAATGGTCTTAAAAGTTTGTTTATAAATAAATCTGACATTGACATTGAGGTCATAAGTGCTCAAATAAAATATAATGACATGACATGTCCATAGCGGGACACAGTTGTTTTCCTATACTAAATAGATGCATTACATACAACCCATAAGATGACATCTTTGGTTCTGTCCTCGACCAAAATGCTATGCTAACATGTGTCGTGCTTGTCGCGAGCAGGAACGTTTTGTGTTCCCTAAAAATTGGACAATACCATACCTTGGTTTAAGGACCCACAACTAAAGGCGGCCCTTAAATGGTGTGATACTTGTTGGTTGTATGATCTGCGTTTACAATGGTTTTGAATTCTGATGCACTGATGGAGCTGTTGTCAGGTGGTTGTTTTGGCAACAGGCCTGCGGGTAGCCGACGCACAGAGCAAGAAAAAAGAATTTGAGTGGTTTTGAGCTGTTTTTCTGCGTTTTTTCTTGCATTATTCCTCTATTTGCTGTGGTGCACCACACTGAGTTGATAACATCTACACATCCAGGTTTCATTTTGCTAACAAAATTGTTCCACTGTGGCAGCGCACCGATGCATGGCAGGTAAAAGGATCATCTTGTCGCCCTACAACATTGCGCGCACTCGCAAAATTGCCAGACCTCAAATTTGTCAGCTTCCTGCTGAGCACGTAATAGATTTTGATCCGGAAAAGTGTGTGCCGACTGAATGATTTAAAGCTTTTTATTCCTCCTCATTATTTTCTAACCAGCACTTAAACATCTCCGGCAGTCAGTTTTAACTTGAAAAGGAGGATCCAATGTGTCTGCTTCCTCTGAGTGACTACTGGAGGGACCGGCTGTCTGAGAACGCAGTGACCCAATCACATTTCACTTCACAGCTTTGTGCAGCAGCAGTAAAAACTCTGTCCTTGGCTCACTTCACTGCAGAACAAGCAACACGTCCTCCCCGGCCGACCCCACCCCCGCTGGCTGAAGTCACATTTTCAAACATACCAACAAACTCAGCACTCCACGGCACACTGGCTAAACGTTAGCTACGTAGAAATGAAAAAGTGGTTAGTGGCTAAAACTAAAAAAAAGAAGAAAAAAAAACACAAAGGTTAATTAGGATCACTGCAGCGTACCCTTAACTCTGACTGTCTCGCTCTGCCCTTTCACTGACATCAAGGAGGGAGCCATGCTTCTGATGGAGGACACACTCACAGATGGACGAGACACATAGATCTATGTTTGTGTGTGTGTGAGGAGGAGATACATGATATGATTGTGGTGTGAGTTACTGAGGAAAACAGACGTTAAGTAATTCATTGAAAAGATGATGTTTGAATACATTGACATAAGAATCAGCTGTCAAAGCTTTCTATCCCTTAGGGAATAAAGGATGCTTTATATTCATAACCCTCCTTCGTACCTCGTTAGCCTTGGTTTCCCCGTTCTGGGCCGGACCATCTTCCTTCTTCCCCTTAGCGCCGCCCTTCTTGGCCTTTGCTCCTTTTTCATCCTTCTGCCACGAGAAAAAAGACAAGACCCCCAGGTTTAAGGAACCAATGCGATGCTGATTTCAGTTTCAAGGAAGCGGCAAAATTTTATTTTAAAGGCCGTCTGGCATCTCAAATAGTTATCACAGACTCTAAGAGGAATCCAAATTCATTTGTCAGAGAAACAAGCCCGCAGCATCACAGGTTCTTTACCTACTTTGTATTGTTAGCAAAGAGGCACTTTTCCACCATTTGTTTCACACCAAGCACACTGCTGCAGGTGTTTGTTGTTAGAAAGCTTAATTTTGGTCTCATCTGACCAAATCAGTAAATCTGGCATATCTTGTAAATACCTTGTTAGCCTGGAGACGGCATTTAAAGCCTGATATGAAGACTTTTAAACCTTTCATTGACATGGACATGATTAGAAGCTCATTATTTGTAGCCATTTCCAGACTTTCAAGTCCAGAACCTGTTTGCCTTAAATGGCATCTATTGTCGTCTTTCCCATTTAAAGACTAGAGATTCTGGAAGTGGGATTCTGGATATCTCATCGTACTCATATCCCAGGGAAATAGAAAACCCTGGATTACAAATTAAGAGTTATTCAACTCTCTGATCAACTTAAAGTCAAAACAACATAAACTAGGAATATGTTTCTGTTAATTTTACTGGGATTTTTGTTTTAATTTGAATTGTAGCGCCTGTGATTTTGTTAAACGACTCTCCTCCCCCCGAACTGAGTCAATACGCCTAAAATAAAAGTTTCCACTTAGTTTAGGCCCCAGCAGTAAAAGAAGAAAGTATTTCAGTGCCTCTACACGTCTTTTACCAGGGATGACATTAAATGTGGAGGGAGCGTCCCACAGTGTCGCTGAGGGAACCAAGTACTTTAAGCTTTTAAAGCGCGGCTGAGTGGGCTCCTCACCTTGACAACGGTCTTCTTGGGCTTCACCTCAGCTTTGGGAGGAGCAGGTTTCTAAAAGCAACAACAAAAAACACATCAGTGAGAACTGACGATTCTCACATTTTGTCGGAATTATTTGATTCAGTCTCTTTGATCTGAGCCATTTTATGACAGCTACAGTACCCTTAATACAGTCGATGGTAATAAAACTCATGTCTGACAAGAATCTTGATTAAAAGCTAATGTACTTGGATTTTGTTTCGTTGCAAATTTGTGACATTCCTCTGCATCTTGACCTCAAACAACAGATCAGTGACACAGTTGCTCTGGAAAATGAGCAAATTTGGAGCAGATTTTCCTACAGTACTGAGTGTGGACGAGTGCACCCTGAAGCCATGTTCTTCAGTTAACACTGCAGCCAAAAAAAGTTAAATCATGTGATTGTTTTTTCTCTTAAGAATATTCTTCCTGTACAGAGGATGAGCCTTGTAGAGCTTCAACAATGGTTCACTGTGAGGTTAACTCTTTAAACCAAGTCCTGAGTCGGGCAAAAAACAATGAATGGCACCGTTTTCATTTTATGTTTCCTATAATAGTGTTAAATTCAGCATGGAACATAATATGCATTTCTATTATTTTCTCAAAAGGCATATATGTATATACTAGTCAAAATATGTAGGATAGCAAATGTGTGAACCAATAAATCTACTAACGTCCAAATTTAACCCTGCAATACCCTGATAAAATAAATAAACAAATTTCTATTCAAATATTGTTGATGTTAACATTAAAAAAAAAATCTGTCATTGTTACAGAAAAGTCTAGGCTAGGAATGCAACTAGCTGCTGAATTTCTGTTTGCCAAAAAACACAAAACTTTGCAAACAATGTTGTTGCAAAAATATGTCAATCTGTTAACTGTGACAATTCTAATGATTATGATTGTACTTAAAAAAAATAAAATAAAAAATAATGTTATATTATGACCATCCTACCCTGTTTTGTGTCAAAAAGCTGCTTCGGAAAAGTACATATATTTCTGTTTGTGGGTATTCTTTTTAACTTTCTGTTTGTGGGTATTCTTTTTAACTTTCAACTGTGACAAGCAAAAACCAATGTTTTTAAAGTTATGTTGAAAGTGACTTTAAAAAGTTTGTGATCCTTTTCTGTAAACTCTTGGTGAAAAAGAAAAAATCTAGTTATTCCAAAATATGTAAGTCTTATTCCTTTAAAGGATCGATATTATCTTTTTTGTAGGAACATAGTAACATTGTATAGCACAATCAATGCTATGTTAACTTCAATTGTTAAAAAATTGCTCAATTTACCAAATACGTCTTGTAATTAAATTTGGCCTCTGTCGCTTTAAGAAACTCCCGCTCTTCCTGAAACTCCACCTTGGAGATGTCGTCACAATCTCCTCTTCTGACCTTTTAACAACATTTCAAAATGTTGTTACTTCTTCACTGAGAAGTAGCTCCTATTATGACTTCAGCAGATGTGCAATTACACCAGGTATTTGCTAATTGGAGCTGGCTAGTCTGAAGGAACTGAGTGGGGAAGTAACAGGGGAGGGAGAAACTCAGTGGCTTGGAAACTGAAGCTTCACAAAAGAGCTGTGTCTCTAAGGTGGAGCTAAGGTGGAGACTTAACTCTAAGGTGGAGTTAAGCTTAATGGTTGCCATGGAAAATAAATGATTTCTCAAACATGCATGAAAGAATCAAAGCAACACTCTAGGCACGTTTTGATGAGAGAATAACATTGTAACATGATGTAAAGCTTTAAAAAAATAAATTTTACATCAAACTGCCCCTTTAAAGTAATCATGCAAACATGCAAAAACATGCAAAGACTCAACAGATGGATAAAACATGCAAAGTACAAAACACAGAGAGAGAAGTCACTTGTAGGGCACAGCTGAATGACCAGAGTCACAGGTAAAATGTAGAATATCATCATTTGTCAGATCATTTTTGCTATGATTATCAATTTCCAATGTAACCTTGAGGTTTTAGTAATTTGGCCTGATTAAAACCAGCCATGCAGCAGACCCGGACCACAGCGGACAGAAACAATAGAAAAACAAAACAAAACACATGCATACCAAGCCAGAACTCGGCCCTCTGGGATAGGGGGGTGGGGGATTGGGGGGGGGGTTGGAAAACGATCATGAAATGTATAAACACCGACTCAGTTGATCAAAGCCGCAAACTGGGACCTCAGCGACGGCTGTGAGGGGAGTTTCGAAGAGAGCGGAGAGAGGACAGCTACAGAGGTGAAGACAGGCAGGGGGAGAGGGAAACTTACCGCCGACAATCTCTCTGACCTTCTGGTGGGCTTGAAGGAACAAGGGATGAGAAAAGAGAGAGAGAGAGAGACGGAGAGAAAGAAAAAGAGAGAGAGAGACATATCAAATACACTCTGTGGGCAGCTACAAATGTCCTAATTATCAAGCTGCCCTGTTTTCTCATACATATACATACACCGTCAATACGGTCCATACAAACCCACAGCATGTCACAACAAGCACACAGCACACACAAAAACAACAACTTTCATGTCATGTCAAATATTTACCTCTTGCTTTGTGACTTTAGAGGCTTCCTTACCCTCAGCACCCTCTGGGGACTGAAAGAAAATAAAATAAAAGGTTGGAAACTAAAGGTTTAACTGGATTACATTGATTATCTTGAACGATGAAGGTGATTTGGTTGATAAATGTTTATTTCTTTCACAAATGAACAATAGAAGAAAGGGTTTACTGCTCTTAAGTTTAATAGAGATGTTCTTATTCCTAATTTTATAAAACTGAAGTCAAAAATTAAAACATACTTTTAATCCCAATTTCTGTACTTTAATAAACTTAAAATACACCCCTTTAGGTGTTCTTTCCCCCCTAGGAATTCTTAGATTACTAGGAAATTATAATGAGTGAAAGCAGTTGTAGGATTTATAATCTTTTGCTTTATTGTTGAGTTAAAATAAATTACAGGCCTGCTTTGTCGACCCCTGGGGGGAAAGAGCTTCAGCTCTAAAGGTTTACAAAACTAATTAGGATTTATCAATCTGCAATTTTTGCATATCTAATAGAGCCCAGTGTTTGGTAAAGTTCCACCAGAGTGATTTAATTACCACATTTCTCTTCTTTTTATGAGTTGGAAACTGCTTAGAGATGCACTACAGGTTCATGTTGTGTAAATGATATGCACCGTGATGATGCTGGAAGCTCTCCGGTGATTTCCATTTTAATAAAAGATGCATCTGGCCGACAACGGAGCTCCGTCGCGGAGTAACGGGCTGCAAATAGAACCGGCCCAAGGCATAAGTGAAACATTCAGCTGCTGGAAACGCTTCCGCCCCTTTAGATCACTTAAGATCACATGGGACCGGCTGACAAACGTAATATCTGCAAGAGCGTGGCTCACATTTATGGCGGGACGAGATTCAAATTTTGAATTGAGTTAATTGTAGGGTCTTCACTTAATTAATCCCAATTAAATAGTTCAGAATCTAAAATTACATAAATGCAAAAGAAGCAGCATTCCAGATTCAAATAAACAATGATGATGCTAAATTATTGGATAACTTGAAGTATGTGCTCAACAACAATCTGTTATTTAGGTAATTCAACCATGAGAATGGATCAAAGTGATATTATACACAAATTAGCTTTCAAATGTTTTATTACTGTAATTTTTTTTTTTTTAAATGCTTCTTGAACTATGAGCTGGGGACGCTGACATTTGGCATCGGTGGCATCTGTGCGGTTGCATGTTTAGCATTGAGCTGCTATTTAGGTTAGCTTCTTTTAGCACAAGTTGAACACAAAAATAATCTTCTCCAGCGTCAGACTTACGAGCGTACCAAAAACGCACAAATACACAGGTTCCAGTCAGGACCTTTGTGTCCCTGTTCATTCAGGCACATCTGGAAAAACCACAACCTTTCAAATTTTAATTGGTTAGTTATTCAGTTAAAATGGAGGAATATCACAAACGACAAAATAAAAGACATATGACAACTTACGTAATCACAGTTAAGACTACCGAAGTGACAGGTTTTCATATTCATGGAAAGTTCAGTGGAAGGTAAACATGTCAACAAAAAAAAAAGGGAGGAACAAGTTTGAGAGATAGCTACAGCACTGACAGGATTGTGAAGCTTAAAAAGTGGAAGAGTTTATGATAAATTTATAAGACATGAAGTGCAGATGCAGTCAGTGGTTCAAGCACAAACACATCCAAGCAAGACATGGCTGACAACTGTCACATTTCTTGTACCAAAAGCATCTTATCTGGAACTGGAAGAAAACGAACTGGACTTTAGATAAAAGTAAAGTTTGTGTTTCATTTTTAAATCAAGATTCCAGAGTCTGGAGGAAGAGCTGGAGAGGAACATAAAGGAACAATCCAGCAGACCCAACAATGCAGATGACCTGAAGGCCAATAGCGTCAAAGCAATCTGGGCTTCATTGACAGCCCGGAAATACATATCTACAGACAAATAATGACACTTTATAGCGCAATCAAAGAAAAGTTACCTTTGTTTTAAAAATGCTGATCTATATAAATAAAAAATGACATAAAAGAGATTTGACTTCGCAATTTCACGCGTCTGTCTCTTTAAGAAGCTCCTACTCTTTCCAACATTCCACCTTTAACACTGCTCTTCCATTGGGCTGTTCGCAACCATTCTTAGGAGAGGCATCCCCGAATGGTTGGGAAAATCAAAGACTCCTCAAACATGCATGAAAGAATCAAAGCAGTGCACCAGATATAACAGGGATGTTACTCAAATATCAAGAAAGATCCTGAGTTGGTAAGAATGGGGTGACTGTTAACTATAAATATGTAGACATGACCTGGTCGGCCGGTTTGCCAGTCAAACCTCTCTAACCGGAGCAAAGAAAAGCACAGTGGTTGATTTTTAGACCTTTGCCGAGGTTGATAACAACGGTGGATGAGATCGGCTTCACATGGGAAAGTCGGCAGATCACCGGCCTCCAAAACGTAAGGAAATCAGCACCGATAAATCTGCTGACCGATAAATCGGTGCACCCCAACAATGTCATAAACATTACATTGGTAAAATCAGTTGAGATGAATCCACGTTTTCCTCCTTCTTACAGAATATTAGCCAGGAGTTCAAGTCATTTTGCAATGTTGTGCAAACTGATATTGAAACAAAACATTTGCGATTTCTTGTGTCGCTGAAATTGGCTAGGAATTTTACTCTTAGCTCATTAAACACAATAAAACGAGTTATACACTTTGTGGTTATAGTTAATCGCATGGAGGGAAACTTGTTAGCCCCCTTAAATGCTCTCCCGTTTCGCCCTTTGTTGCAATAAATGTTTCAGATCATGAAAACTAACTTGAATATCAAGCAAAGATAATCTGAGCATATGATGATGATGATTTCATTAATTACAAAAAAAAAACTAAAAAAAACTATTCATCAAAACAGGACGGTGTTGGCCCACTCTTCTTTGTAAAAATTTGTTTTCATTCTATTAAGGTCATCCAAAAGCGTCCAGACTTTGTCTAGGCCACTCCAAAAACCTTCACTTGGTTTTCTGAGCCACTCATTTGTCGACTTACGACCGTTGTTCTGTTGTTCATGTTTACCTTTTTGAAAATGACCTGAGACATTTAAGTGTGACAAAAAAAAAGAAGACATTTTCACTAGGATGTACATTGAACATCCCCTCTTGGATGCAGGTGTAGGTACACAGCAGTCAGTTTTACATGCAGTTTGACAATCGCATCATTTGCATGTGGGCGACCCCTCCGCCTCTAAATACCCCCCCCCCCCAATCCCTCTCCCTCTCCACCCTATTCTCTGTCCTCAGAGATTCTGCGCAGACAACAGCGGATTCCAGGTGATGCAAAACGCCAAATTCCACGTACGCAGTAACACAATCCAATTGCACTCGACCCGTGCTGCTGATCAGACAGGAGAAGAGGCAACAGCAATTCCCTGATCCTTCCTTCCTTGTCTTTTTTTTTTTTTTGCCTGCTCTCTTCCTGAATATGGGATCGCTCATTCGGGTTGGCGCCTACCATTTCTCCAAACTAAATTTAGACCAAGGGGGTTGCGATGTGATTGTTGTTGTTTTCTCTCTCTCTCTCTCTCTCCTTCCATTTGCGTCTGAAAAATATTCTGAGATGAAAAGTCTCCAGCTTTAAAGTGTCCGCAACACATTCACAGTCAAGATTCACGCGCCCGTCCATCCATCCATCTTGCGAGAAACCGTCTGACGTTCTCGCCAGTCCGCACCGTCTCGGACAGGGAAGTGGCAAAATAAAAAAATAAAAAAGACCAACACACAAACGCTGACGTGAGGACCGAAACATTTGTGACGCAAAAATTAAAATACATTTTAAAAAAATAGGAGGGGGCGGGGGGGAACCGCGTCGTAAAAATACACACTAAAAACAAGAAGCGTAGTGGTAGAGGGTTTCTTGAAACTTTGCCATCACCTCGCCTCGCCTCACCTGCCTCGGCGACGACACATTAACCGCGCGCCGCTATTTTCGTCCAAAGCGAGAGGTGGTGGTGGTGGTGAGAGGGAGAGAGGAAGAGGGGGGAAAGAAAAAAAAAACTACAGTGAAGTGCGCCGGCCGGAACTCACCTTTCTCTTCGGCATTTCTGCGCGTGAATAATTCTCCCAACCGAGCTCGAGGAAGGAGGAGGGAGAGGGGAGAGAGACAAATGAGGTCAAAGCCGAAGGGCGGCGGGAGGTGAATTTGAACTACCTAGGAATACCGGATCAATATCTGAGCCACCTTGGATAATATGTTGATTATATGCACTCCCACAAAACTCTGTGCCTCCCCGATCCCATTGGCTGGAGGGGTCAGAATCCGTGCGCTGTGACGACTCCTGATTGGCCGGGTCGGTCACTGTGTAAATACCAGGGCGGCGGGCATTGGCCAGGGTTTTCCCCCGAAGCTCTCTGCGATTGGCTGCGCGCTCTTTGTGCGCCGATCCCGAGTTTTGAGGGAAAGTGGAGACGGGCCAATGGGAGAAGGGGCCCCCTTGCTCTCTGTTTGGGGATCTAGGTGATGTAGAATGGGGGGGGGGGAAGAGGAACAAATAAAACACAAAGGACCAGAACCAGAAACCAAAGGGCATAATGGCACGAACGTCGGCCATAAACGCGGTCCAGAAAATTGTGTCTTGTAGGGGTTTCCCAGTCTGCTGTAAAGAACTAAATGGCTCGTAATGCATGGCGGGTTTTTTGCAATTCTGCTAACCGCATCTTTCACGCAACGCTATTGGGGAAGGGGGATGGGACAGGTTATCACCTACAAACAACAATTCTCAAGTACTGATTATATAGCATTGCCAATACAAAAAACTTCTACACCTGCATCCTTTATTGGTGCTAAAGAGCTGAAGGTTTTTGTTCTTCAGAAAGACATTAAAACAAACAAACAAAAAAAAAAAACACACACACAGGAGAAAATCCCCAACAGAACAAACATAATCTAAGAGCTGAATTAAAGGAGATGGCCGCATCTGGATTAACACATCTAATGACCCACTGTGTCCTAATCAACCTCCATCTGATCATTTTTAAAAATGGAAGCCATCAATTTTTTATTTTTATTTTTTTGTATCTTGCTCATCTTACAGTTAATGTAAATATTTGTAAATTATCTGTAAATTACAAACACCCATTTAATCCAAGCAACACAAACAGATTTGAACGATGTGTGCCGAATTATCCGAGGAAAGACGTTACACAAAGACTTTATTTGAAGCTGAATGGTAATAATCTGTGTGCACAGTTGAATGACAACTGCTTTTCTTTGCTATTTCAGACGGTTGAAGTTCCGCTGGCATCATTTCAGAATAAAATATCCCTCCAAGCATTATGTCGGAGCACAAACACGATAACATTTAAATGTCATCACAGCATCCAGTGGAACATTGTAATTAATTTCACTCATGCTCAGCACGGCAACCTTCTCATCTTTGATCAATGAGCCTCTGGAACTTCTGCACAAAACCGGCAGTCGGAGTGTTTTTGAAATATACGGGACACACTGTATATTACACCGTTTCCTTTTAGACACACAATGGAGCCGAAAGCACAAAAGCCAGAAAAGCAACCTCCACACTCTTGGGCAGCGTCACAATGTGCAGAGAAACAGAGAGAGCTCCATTGATGGAGCTTTCCTGTCCAAACAGGCCTTTTGACTCCGCAAAGGCCCAAATACAAAGCTGCTTTAAAGGTCCAGAACACACAGGGCCAGATGTGCGGATGGACGCTCCGGAGTTCTGATTCAATCTATCAGCGAACTAGAAGAAAAAAGAACGAAGTCGATTCACACAACAAACGCAGCAGCACAACATGCAGTCAAAAGATTTTATAGGTTGCAAAAACGGAAGAGTAAGAGAACCCAGTCAGCTTTGTGGATAATTTTTCACTTTTCCTTTTTTCATGCTGTCATGCTGGCAGAAAATTATACTTTTAATGTGTTTAGATTCTGTGTTACAATCAACAACATAAAACCCTCTATAACTTGGATTTTATTCCATGTATCCAGCGTTTAGTACAACAGCAACTTATTACAGTCCATCAAGCGTCTTTTCATTAGAAGAAGAATGACAAAGATTCATGGAACAAACTCATCAGTACAACAACATGCATCTAAATGGCCACTACTGCTTCAAATACCTTCAAACTACTTAAGTAATGCGCCACCAGCTCGAAGGTGATTGGTTGAAATTGGACACTATTGTAATCGAGAAAGAAAAGATAATCTGTTGCGACTGATGCTATGAGAGAGGGGATTTTCTTAAGCAGTAAAATAAAAAGAATACAATGTTGTGCAAAAATACATGCATCCTTCCCTAACAGAGTTGTGAATGTCATATCGTTCACCCAACGCACCTGCGTTATTTATATCAAAAGCATCATGTACATCTAAAAAAAATGTTACGATAAAGAATTGCACTGACTTCTGTTGTTAAATCACATACCTTTTGCATAGCTAAAGTGCAATAACTTAAGTTTTACTGTCTCAATTAAACAGCACATAACATGTCTGGTCGCTTCACTGCTCATTTCATATATCTCATTTAATGCATGTATGGTATACAGTGCAGTGTAATAATTAGTCGTTTAATTATGTTGTTTTAATTTTCTATTTGTGTTTTAGTGATTTAACACTTTTAGCCAGCTTCATATTCTGAGCTGATTGTAGTTTACATTTTGTCACAAACATTTAAATCTTCCCTTACTGTTAGGTTTTAAGTGTTTTGTTTTCTATTTTAGTGTGTTTAGAGTGATGAAAGGCTTTGCTGTTATTTCTTAGTGATTTTGGCCACTTCAATTGATCAAAATTGAATGTTTTTTTTTTTAAATAAATAAATAAAACATAAAAACATGTCTGATTTTTTCTCAACAATTGTGCGTCACTTTGTGTGCCTCTTGAATTCTCAAAAAAAAAACAGTAACGCAAGATGACAAAATATTAAATCAATCAATCAATCAAGGGGTATAAATACAGCACAGCAGTTCAACTCATAAGCATCAATCGGGATCATTAAAATTATGTGTTGCAAATTTAATTAGGCTAAAACAGACCTCTGCTGTCAAACAGAATGTAATTTCTTTTTATGGCACAATGCCTAGTCTAAGGTAGAACTTGGCTGACACCTGGTGGATAGTTTTTGTCACAGTTTCCATCCCTGCATTGCTTTTAACCTCAGATTAGGAGGTTGAGAAAAACTATTGATTTGGAGCAACATTGTAATGGAGTCTGATGATGATATTACTCCCTCTTTAGAGTTTAAAGTGCTGTCACTTTAAAAGACGCGTTTATCCGGAAATGGCTCTGCTCTTCTTCTGCTGTCCCCCACACCCCCGCCCCAGCAAGCCCCAACAACCCCCCAAAACAAAACAAATAGACAAGTTCCACTGATCCATTTGTTTTGCTAGTTTAGCCTCCCACCCGTCGCTCAGACCCCCTCCACCGCATCCCACCCACATTACGTCATGTGGACCGGCGCGCGCTCCTCTTGTGCGCGCGCGAGAGAGAGACCTTTACGCAGCAGCCATCAACCTTGTCTTCTCGTGCACCTGCTCGCGCGCAGCCTCCTGCCTTCATATTGTCCGGGTCCGGTTCTGCTTCCGCGACTGTAAATAAACCCGGCAGAGAAAAAAAAAAAAAAAAAAAAAAAAGCTTCGCACAACTAACTGCGAAAGGCTGAGGAGGAGGAGGAGGAGAAGGAGGCGGGACTTCCGGCGCGGGAGCAGAGCAGAACTACACCGGTCCGGCTGTTTATCTCTTTGTGCAGCCGGAGAGGACCGAGGAAAGGCCGGGTTCTGATAAGGTGAGCGCGCTTGTTGACTGTCATTATTTTAATTCGCAAATGCGCTTACTGACTTTCTCCCCGACCTGTCGCCTTCCAGTGCCACATTAACGCGCTCTGGGTTTTTGCCCACATTTACCCGGCTATTGTTTTCAATGACCAGCAGAGCTTCACATGCCTGGTGCAGAAATGTATCAGAACTTCACAGTCTGAATCCCGCGTCATTAACTGTCTGTGCAGGGTAATTAAATGGGATATATTTCCAAATGACATCATTTCTGCTGATGCGTCCAATTGCCAACCTGCTGCTGCTGCTTTAAGGTCAATCTGGGCATCTCAATTTACATCAACAGCTATGTTTTTTGGGGGGGTTTAAGCAACAAGTTTGGTAAATAGTAATAAAAAATAATTTTAAAAAACGTGTCAATTCCTAAAGTGAAATGCTTTTCTTTTCATTTTGAAGTGGTGGGGAGATAACAGATGAGGGCATAGCTCAGAATATTAAAATATTAACTTCAGGCGCATCAATTCAACGCCTTGCAAAAAGCATTTGTAACTCTTGAACATCCTTGCGTTTTTTGTTTATTATCACAATGCAACCACAAATTCTAATATTTTTGTTGGACAGGGAGCATCTGTGAATGGTTAGTTTCATAGGTTCCCTCCGTTCTCATTTGGATTTTGGTCTGGACTTTGACTGAGCCGTTTTAAGACATTAACATGCTTTGACATGGGACATTCCATCGTGATTCTGACTGAATGTTTAGGGTCATTGTCCTGGTGGAAGGACTCAACTTTTCCATTAGAAACGCTTCGATTTTGATCTGTTGAGCAAAGTGCGTGCCAAAAAGTCCCCGGGCCGGGATTCAAACCCAGGAACTCCTCGCTGCAAAGAAACAGTTCTAGGTAAAATCAAAATAAAATACATTGCGTGTTATTGCTGCGATGTTATAGAGTAAGGACAGGCTTATTGAAAAGTGGTTATTGCGCATTTCTATAGTGAGGGAAGTGAATTTCATTACATACATACTCAGTTGTTGTGAGCTATTTTTAGTGCTCCACTGTTTCCTGAAGCACATCTTGGGATATCTATGTGGGTTGGAGGGAGATTGTTAATGAGCTTTCCAGTCAGCCTTTTTTTTATGTGGAGATTAAAATACAGAGATCTGCAGTTGGCTGCTTCTGAAATATAAACCACTGGCACATATCATAAAGGTTGGCATATAATCGAACGCTGTTGGTGCATCACTTCCTCTTTTAGCAGCACTCAGAGAGCAGCTGCTGCTCTCATTGTTTCAACTGAGCCCATCCAGATCACATGTGTAAAATATAGCACATTTTTGCTGACCGCTGTTTCGAGCAGACATGAATCTGCCCAGCTATTATTATCATGAGCTCAATAATTAACAATAATATCAGAGTTGCTTTTTTTTTTACCCTAAAAGTCTACGTCCCTCGTTTGTGTATACACAGTATCATCCAACATTACAGGAATGCACCAGTTCCATCATAGAGCCAGCTGTGCTACACTGTAGTCGAGCAGAATGCATTTGCTGCTTCGGTGATAAAATGTCCGTACATTTCAGATTCAAAGACATAAAACGGGTAGAGGTGTTTGTGGTGTTTTAGAAACGGCTAAAAATATCTCAGTGCTCTCCGACGTTGTGGATATTATGGGAAGAATGGCTTTCAAAAGAGATAATGTGTCAAAAAATTACTTATAAAGAAAGGACTGAGCTTAAAATTTAGGGAGTAAAAAAAAGAGATTTCAGTTCAAACATTCATGTCACTGATGTCTAAATTTTTCAACTTTAATGCATGCATTTTTAAGAGTTAGGAGTGGGCGCTACATTAATTCAGCTGAATTTTTGTTTTTTGAAGATTTGATTTTTGGAAAATTGGGATTTTTTTCACCAATATACTCTTTGGGCTTCCATAGTTTGTAGCGATGTCAGCACAAACCAAGGCCAAGGGCTGCCATCGTGTTTGATAAGAATGGTTTAACAGCTTGGACATTGGTTTTAGGTCAATGCTACGACAAAATATAAGGGTCAGGCTCAGATTTTTTTCTTTTTAATTACAAAAGGTCATAATATTAGGAAAATGGCGTAATACTAGGAAAATGTAGCAATTTTATGAGAACTCAAACGTCGTCTGTCATTTTAGTAATCACATCATTAAAAAAACAACAGTCATTTTATATGTTGTATGCATAATTCTTCCAGATAAATGTTTGCTTGAGCAGGTTTAGTATTTGTGTTTTGCAGGTTGTGTCTCTACAAGCCACACTATGCTGAGCTACTTGACGTCAGGAGGCTGCAGACTTCCTTTCTACCTCTTCGCCGTGGTTCTCCCCTTGGTTTCTCCTCTCACCCTGAACCGCCATCAACATCAGGAGGACGGCGACAAGGAACGACCCAAGCTGCTCCTCGTGTCCTTCGATGGTTTCCGCTGGGATTACATCTACCGCGTCCCGACTCCCAATTTCCGCAGCATCATGGACGAGGGCGTGAAGGTCGAGTTTGTGGAGAACATTTACATCACCAAGACCTACCCGAACCACTACAGCATGGTGACGGGGTTGTACGCTGAGACGCACGGCGTCGTGGCCAACGAGATGTACGACCCAGCTCTGAACCTGTCCTTCTCCATGGAGACGGACAGCGTTTATGACTCAAGGTGGTGGGAGCAGGCCGTGCCTCTCTGGGTGACGGTTCAGAAGGACGGAGGGCGGAGCGGAGCGGCCATGTGGCCCGGGTCTGACGTAAAGATCCACGGCATGTTCCCCACTCGGTACCTCCCGTACAATGCCTCGGTGTCCTTTGAAGCTAGGGTGCGGCGGATTATCGAGTGGTTCTCGGCGCCCGACGGGGAAGCCGTGGATTTTGGAATTCTGTACTGGGAGGAGCCGGACGAGAGCGGCCACAACCTGGGACCTCAGAGCCCGCTCATGGACTCAATCATCGCCGGGATCGATGAGAAGCTCGGGTTCCTCCTGAATGAGCTGAAGAAGGCCGGGCTGTATGAGAAAGTGAACCTGGTTGTGACCAGTGACCATGGGATGGCCCAGCTTTCCCCCGAGAAGATCATAGAACTGGACCAGTATGTGGACAGAGATTTGTACACCTGGGTGGATAAGAGTCCGGTGGTGGGAATCCTCCCCAAAGAAGGTAACGATACATTAAATGGTGCATGAAATAATCAATAATCAAAAATGATCACATATCTCATTACGATATATATTGTTATTGATTTATTCACCAACCCCACCCCAAGCTTTGTCAGATATTGTAATAACATTTTGTTTTGTGATGGATGTGTGAGCCTTTTTCACATGATGATTTGTTTAATTTATTATTTTGAAATGACATGGACTACTTGTCTGGAAATAAAGACGTCTACATCTCTTGGACCATTGCAATTTTCAGTGGTTAGGGACTCAAAGTTAGTCATTCTTAGTATCAGTGAGGTGTTTAAAGAGGAAGGAATCAGGGCTTTAAGAAGCTTTGGAAACAAAAAACGCATCACTAGAGACATGTTTCAGATTCATTTAAATTGTGAGAGAGCAGCACTTGCAGCAGATAACAGGAAGGTTGAATAACAACAAACTACATAGTTTAATTGGATCCTTTTGAGCTTTCAGTGTATTAAATAGTTGTTAGTAATGCTAACTCTTCTAATCGCTAACTTAAACTTTGAAGAATGTGTGCTACTTTTCTCCCCGTCTCACACCAGCTATGTAACGTTACCTTTTCTCCCAATATAAAATGCTCATGTCTTCATGAATGCTGCATTGTGCAGTTAGTAACACCGTTGCCTTACAACACAAAGTTGCTGGGTTTGAATCCCGACCTTGGAGTGTTTCTTTATGTTCTTCCTGTGCATGCTTTCAGTTTCTACAGAAAATTCCACAATCGAAAACCATGACTAGATCGATCTCTACTCAGTAGAAAGGCTACAAGAATATATTACATATAAATCTTATATCTTTTCTAGTTTTAAGGAGAACTCAGAATTGGCTAACTTAAATAGTGGCAGGTCAACGTTTTAACCCTCTCCAGGCAGGTGTTGCAGATTTGCAACAACTTAAACAGTCTTTTCAAGTAATTTGAGCCTGAGAGGGTTAAAACAAAAAAAGAAACTAAAGCTTAGAAATTGGACAAGAGCTGAATGCTACATTAATTTTCTAGAAAAAGACTAACAGAATGACTCAGACCAGGAGACAATAAAACAAATTCATTTTTTATCAGCAGGAGTGCAAAGATGCACTTGTTCCTGACCCACTTCTTTAGTGTCTGTATCATATAAAATACTAGTTAAGACCATTGATGAAAAAGTCATAAACATATTTGCATATTTAATATTTTTCACCGTATTGTCACGAATGCTTACGTGTCACTGCATCACAAATAAGACTCGACCCTTTGCTGTGGTCTGTCTCGTAGGGAAGCTCGACGAGGTGTTCGAATTGCTGGCGGACGCCAACCCCAACATGGTGGCGTACAGGAAGGACGACATTCCCGAACACTTCCATTATCAGCACAACGTCCGGATCATGCCCATCCTCCTGGAGGCCAAGGAGGGCTGGACCATCATGCAGAACAGGACCGGACTCTTCATGCGTACGTCTAAAAATGCTACCTAGTTACTCTGGTTATTCTGCACATTTTTTTCTTGCTTTCTTTTTTTTTTAAATCTAGCTTTAAACACCAGCTGTTTGCCTGCTCTAATTATAGCTTCACAGGTGATGTATTTCTGTCCCTGATCCAGAAGCTAGCACAAGTTACACCGAATGTAATTAACGAAGAGGGGGGCCAGATTCGTTTTCTTATGGGACCGGAGAGAACAGGGCGGTGGGGGTTGGGGTTCTGTGAGTTTTATCACTGTGCCTTCCAGCGCTTTTCCTAATTAAATAAAAAGAAAAAAAAAACTCCCTTTTGTTCAGATTAGAAATGTCAGAACATATGTCTCAGACGCAGTACCACACTAGCTAATTACACTGCCTGTCTCCGCCATCGCTGAAAGCCTGTTAATCAGTGAAGCTGCACCTTACAGGAGAACAAGCTGACTCTTTCTTTGGAGGATAAAACAACAGCAGTACAGTCTGGCAGTGCTCTCAGTGTATCATGTATTAATGGACAGAGTATTGCCATTAAAATTAAGGAATTACTGCATCGTCTTTCTCATCAGCGGCGTTTTAAATTTAGCTCCATTACTGACTTAAAGTCTGCTTTATGGATTTGGTTGAGCTGAGTTAAAGAAGTAGTTCAGAATTACTGAAGCAAGATTTTAGTAAAAGGTCATAAAAAGTAAATATGTTATATAATTTAGTATAAATTAAGATTAGTTTGTTCCACAAACCAAACTAAAAATATTCACAAACCAAGCTAAAACAAAAAAAGTGGATTATTCTGCAATCAGTCATCTCTTCTCCACCAGAACAGTGAATGACAAAAAGTTCCCAAATTAGTATCGTAAACAGGGCTTATTTTCTTTTTACAATGGGTTCCAGATTTTAGTCTCAATTTTTAAAACCCTCAAAGCCACATGAAAAATAATAATGTGTTATTTTTGGACATTTTCACTTGTCCACTTATGTTAAACCCCTAAAAACTTATAAAAATAAATGCTTCATCTAATTTGGAACATAAATAACTCTTACACATTAATAGTTCTGCCTAACTTGGAATCTATTACCTGATGGGTCTTAACATATGAAAGTATGTAGATGAACAGAAGTAACTTATCACAACTTTCACGCCTACTTGTTGTCTTTTTCCTCCTCAGTGGGAAACCACGGCTACAACAACACCTTACGCGACATGCAGCCGGTGTTTGTGGCCCGCGGTCCGGCCTTTCGCCAGAACTATATCAAAGCCTCCATGCGATCTGTTGACCTTTACCCTCTCATGTGCCACATCCTGGCCATCCAGCCTCTGCCAAGCAACGGCTCGCTCCTAAACGTCCGGGACCTGCTGTCCTCGGAGCCGACCACCTCAGCGCCCGCTCTGGCCCGCTCCACTCCGCCTCCTAAGGTCAGCAGGTACTCGTACGCCCCGGTTGTGGGTTCGTTCATCGGCGTGGTGATGGTCCTGGGATTCCTAGTGGTCTACGTCATATTGGTGACGCTAAAACAGCGGCCGGTGCTCAAACACAGAAGTTGGGAGATGTCGCAGCCCTTATTGCAAGAGGACTTGCACCTGTAGCTCCCCGAGGTTCGCTGTTCGGGCCCAGAAGCGTTCTCTAAATGTTTCCCTCGCGGCAACAGATGTGGTTGTGCAAGTGAAATATTTATAGGGTTTGCTTCTGGTGCAGGTTTGATAAAAAAAATAAAATAAATAATAATAATGTAACCATGCTTTGATGTGAATTTAACTTAAGGTCATGTAACAACTTCAATGTCACTTTCTGCATAGAGATTTAGGACTAAGTGTGGATTTTTAAACTGTGGTTCTGAGAAGTTGGAACTTTTGGTGGCAAAAACTATGACTTGGGATAATGCAGAGGCATCATTATGATCAGACTGATAATCTACCAAAGGCGTTTTATAGTTGATAGTCAAGGTCAATTTATGTGTGCTTGGATATCTATCCTTGTGGAAAAAAAGTTAATTTTCTGTGACAAGAATAAGGATTTAAGATATTCAAAAAAGTACATTTGATCAAATCGAAGAAAAAATGGCAAAAGTAGAAATACCTGCTTTTGCACTGGTGAGGTCTTTGCTCACACTTATTAGTACACTTGTTAAAAAGGTGTGGAAAAAAAAAGTTAAGTAATTTTGCATTCCTGTAACATTTTTCTTTCAGAATACCTTAAAAATATGTCACAATTTTTTTTTTTAATTTAGTTGGACAAAATTTCAATGACAAAATTTGGTTATTTTTAGTAGTATATATGAGGAGAGTAGATATCCAACTTGAACAACGCTGATCTATGATCCAGATTATACGTATATACATAAGTAGATACATTGGCAACTATGAAAAAGCCATTGGCTATTAGGATCTAAACAAATTAAGCATTTTTAAAATATTTTTTGACTTCTTTCTTAGCTCCTACTATAGATTAAATTAATTGGGGTCTGCATGAGAGTCCACTGTTTGGAACCAGCTTTTATGACCCCATGTCCAACATGGAGCAAAGAGCTAGTTATGACAAAAGATGCTGAAAGCAACAGGTGGGGGAATCAGATAACTGGGTATGCCTTCAGACAATCTTTGCCTTTTAAGCGTTCATAGTTTTTACACAGAAAGAGTCCACCAATGAAGTGTGCGGAGCATTTTTGCCGTCTCTCGTCGACTTGTAAGCAGAAAGAGGTGGAAACGTGTCGGAGATTAAAAATAGCTGTTCAACATGATACTTTTGAGCTATTCTTAGGCGGCAGGCAGTTTTGATTTGACATTTTCAAATCTATGCAAATCAGATTTGTATGTCACGAAGTAAAGGAGGACCAAAGTCTACTTAGAATTTTCCACCACTTGTTCTGCTTGCGGTTTGAGCATCGGAGAAGATGTTACTTTATACTGGAAATGCTGTGATTCTGCTAAAGTATTAAAAAAAAAAACTGCTCTAGCTTCAGGAGACTGGTCATGGTCACTGTTCATTTTGAATGTTACCTGGAAAATTCACTCTGTGTGTCAAGCTACTTCATGTGTAGGGCATTCACGTCACACTACCTTGCTCTTTCTTAGTCAGCTACCATTTGCCTTTAAACTAAAGAGAGTACACCTCTCGAGCGTTCATTTTGTCTTCTGGTCTGTTATGCCCTCTTCACACCAGATTAAGGTGGCCCTAGTCTTCTGGATTTCTGTCGCAGTTGGAAGTTTACAACAAATTTACCCTTGGAAATTTGGAAAACCTAATTTTAGAGTGAAATGTCTGTACTATGTGATGGAGTACATCACCTTTCTCTTCTGCGTTTTTGACTGTCCTATCGAAATACTACCAAGGTATCTCTGCTTTTTACAAAGTTTTGCATTTAAATTGCAGCCCGAATAATAGTGCAGCCTTCTTACAAACTGGCCATACACGCAATTTGGAGGTGTGTGCGCCTAATCTGACCGTATTGGATCCACTCATGAAGGCATTCAAAGTAGAAGGTCTTTCATGGCCTAGTCACAGTCTGGTGTGAAGGGGGCTTTAATTGTTGACTGTCTAGGGAGGGCATTCTTTTTCTTTCATAGATGATTGTGTATTTCGCTACTTGTCGTAATTAATGTTGTAACCATGGCCATATTGTCGGTGAAATGTGAAGTGCAATTGCAAACTGTCTGTACTATGTCTTAGGAATTCTAGGTTTTGTTGTCAATTTGGTGGAGAAGACCTTCTCGGAACGACTCGCAAGACATGATCCCCTTTTGCACTACAGGATTGAAACAAGTTGTTGGACGCTTCTTAGGACATGTAGCCTCTAATTTACACTTCTAGTTCATCGTAGCCGTTACAAATAACGAAAAGAAGAACCGACTCTTCCTGGAAAGCTTTTTAATTTGCATAGTTACAGAAAAGACTTGAATCCAGATCAGTTGTCTGTCTATTTTTGCTGCACCTTGTAGATATATATAAACTAAAAGATTGGTTTACTTTTCTCCGTTTGCTTTTTGAATGGCTTAGCCGTGCCCAAAAACAACAGACATCACTGTGATATAAATATAGATATACTTTTTACAAAATTTCAATTCATAAATTAAAAGCATTTATATGGGAACTACCTACTTTCTCATCCTTGTAACGTTTTAATAAACAAAAGTGTTGTCTAATAACTTTCCCAGACCCACTGATATGGAAGTGAAGTATTATATTTCAAAATCATTCAAGATCAGCAGTATTATATTTCAAAATGATTCATTTGTACTTGCTGAAAAGAATAAGAGTTTATTATTATCGCCTTGGATTTGGATACAGTGAATATTTAATATGAGTGACAGATTCTATCTTTGCCATGTTTCTGCAGTTAAGAGTCTTCTGAAAATAAAGTGGCTCATAAAAACTTGAACCTTTGTCTGAATGTTTTGTTTTGCGTCTTGGTGTCCACATTGTTTATTGTGATACGATATTGGCTCCAATCCCCTTCAAAGTAAGTCGACGAGATAACTACTTTTCAGCTCTTCCATATAAAAACGTTAATTGTACGACAGGCTTACTTTGAAGGGAGTTATGTCTTGATCGACACTGACACATTGATGTTAGATTAACTTCAGTGTGAAGATGATGGTCAATTTCACAAGGATAGGAGGTTTTGTGGTTGTTCTGGAACAACCACAGTTTATTTTGGTAACAGTTTCATCAGTGGTGACATTTCAGCAAAACACAAACAAATTTTGAGCTATCAGAAACAATTAAAAAAAATCTAACAAAACAAAGGGGAATTTTTGAGTTTGAAGCATTGCTGATCTTCACCAAATAACTTGCAATTTCTGAGTTTGAAAAGTCGAAAATGTCAGCAAAAAAATCAGAAATTTGGAGAATAATCTCAGAAATGTATATGTATAAAAATCCACAAACATTTCTGTGTTTGAAAAGTGAATCACTTTTGACTTGGGAATTTTCAGAGTTTCAAAAGCTGAACGTTTTCAGCTTGTTAAACTAAATGTAAAAAAAAAAGATGAGTTTAACCTCAGAATTTCTGAGTTTTCCCCAGAAAATCTTCAACTTTTCAAACTCATAAATTTCCTAGTTTTGCCCCAGAAAATTTCTGAGATTGATCCCAAAAAATTTCCTGAGTGCTTTGGTGGAAAAAATAGTCTTAAATTTTTTTCTATCAACAGTCGTAAGACAGATATATTTTGTAACGGTCATGCAAAAGTACTTGCTTCACCTGAATGTCCTTGAGGCCACAGCCCCCAGTGATTACATTTTTCACTCGCCGGATCAAAGGTCCTTTATGGCTTTGTAGCTGGAGTTTGCCCAGACACCAGTCAGTGAGAGGCAGGCGGACTGCGAACACTGCACAACGTTCCCTCCACGCCTGAACACCAAAATCCGAGCGTTATGGATCATATCTACGAGCACGTCGAGCCCGACGGACAGCCCAGGTATGAGAACATAGGTGAGGGATTGAACCATGAGTACAGCGAGGTGCAGGTCCACGCCTCAGAGGGGGGCGAGCGCAGCTCCCCGGAGTACATGGAGATCAAGGACGGTGACAAACACAGCAACTCCTCCTCGTCGTCCTCCTCTTCCTCGTCCTCCAGCGATGATGAAGGAGATGGAGGAGACCTGACGGATCAGCAACAGGCTGTGGTGACGATGGACCTACCGCCTGAGCCAGAAGTGGAAGGGGTGAACGACGAGGAGCATGACAGCTCCCGGCGCTCATCAGCCTCCTCTCACTCTTCCTCATCCTCCTCCTCCTCCCAACAAGGGGACCCCTGCGACGACCCTCCGATTGAAAGCAACATCCAGGACGAGGATAATGCCGTGGACGGGTTGCTGATGTCTTACACCCATCCCAACACCATCCCGGAGACGAAGGAGTCTGTGGACTACAGCCTGAAAACTCTGGAGAACGTCACTCTGGATGGCAGCAGCGCGGCCCTGGATGACCCCAACGAGCCCAAGGTCTCCCTATTTGTCAAGGTAAGAATTGGACTCTATAAGCGACCTGGGAGTTAGTCAGGTCACTAACTCCCAGGGAGTCCATTCTTTCACTTTAAGTAACTCTTTGCCAGAGGCGAACCTAAGTTGTGTGAGGCCCTGGGTAAAAATCTGATTAGTGACCCACTTCCAGTTCACTTCACCTTCAGACTCTCTTAGCACTTTTATTCAGCATGAGAAACGTTTCCTCAAGGCTCAAGCTGCCAATCTGTCCAAGATTTCTACAATCTTAAACAACATTTTTATTTAACAAAAAGAGCAGCAATTACTCACCTCTTTCAATGTTAGTATTTTATAAATCTCTTGTCTAGTTTCTGACAATGACTGATATTCAACAGAAACTAATGGAGGGGGTCTGTTACTTGTGACCCTCAATTTGAAAGGTAGCATAGATGGAAAGCATGGAAAAATTAGGCATTTAGCATTCACCATAACATTATCTTATTTACGCACTGATTTACTGTCAACTGTATTTATAATTATCAGATGTGTCAGCCCATGCAGCCTCGTATTCTGCTTCCACTTAAGCTCGGTGGTAAATTTTGGGACATTTAGACCGGTAGCTCATAAAAAGCAGTCTGCATTTTAAATGCTCTCTTCTACCAGGTTTTGAACAAATTGTAACAAGAACTGCCTTCCATGAAACTAAATGCTCCTGATACGGGTCTTACGTCTTTTAAACGGGCAAAGTTTAACTTCACGGTATACATTTTACAGTCTGATGGCTATATAGCCCTAACGTTGCAAGTTTTCATTTATGATTTTGACATTAACATGGCCAAAGGTCTTTTGGAAAAGGCATGTGCTGCATGTGTGTCCAAATCATCGCAGGTTGACGTCGCATAAAGTAATGAAATGCCTAGCTAGCAGTGAATTCCTACAAAGTAGTGGGAAACTTATTTTTAGCTACACTTTTAAGAGCCCGACTAATAAAAGCCTACTGCAAGAGATAATATAATTATACATGTATAATTAAAAGCATTTATCAGATTGAATGTGCAGGGATACTTTCAGAACATGTTATGTAAGCTGTGGCTTTTCCAACAGGATCTTTTAAGTCATGTAATACTTCACTCATTCACAGTAAAACACCACAGCAACCAAAGGTGAACTCCAGCCCAGCTCAGATCGTCTTCGTTGATTCAGTGATAGCTGTGGAGCTACTGCAGGACTGAAAACTGCAGTAGCACCAATAGGAAACATTGAAGTCACTGTTATATGCCAGTATGGGTCTTGGCAACAATGAGCAAAAGTATATTCACACGTCTTGAACTTCTTTATTATGGACGACCACTGCCAGCTTCGATGTACTTCGTTGGGATTGCAGATGGCCGAATGCTGAAATGACATAAATATTGGAAGAATGTTGCGTAAATGTGTATTCAGCCCTCTTGAATCAAGTCGCACATTGACATACAGAAATTTTTGCCCACTGTCCCTTCTGAAACGACTCAGTCTCATTCAGATTGACTGGACAGCGACTGTGACCATGAATGTTTAAGTCCTGGTACGGATTCTCAGCCGGACTCAACTCTGGACTTTTACTAGGCCGTTCTGACACATAAATACTCTTTGTGCTAGACCAGTTCACTGCAGCTATGGTTGCACATTTAGGTCTGGCTTCAAGCAACTTCTCTGCTGAAGAAGCACATCTCCACAGGGTCACGCTGCTCACCCCGTGTTTCACCGTGAAAACCACAGAAAGTTGCAATAACATGGAAGTATGTGTTCACCTTAAAGGGTAAACACTTTCTATCAATTCAGCAAATATTTCCCGATTAGGTTTTTTTGTGGGCATACCAGATCTATTGCCAATACTTTAGAAGCACCATCTGACCTTGGTTTTGTCAGCATTTTGAATGAGCAAACATCCCGGCACCCACACTGACCTAGAGGTGTGCAGGGTTCAGGGTTCATACCTTCGTTTCATTGGGGAAGGTCTAACTTCCGGCGTGAACACCGGCATCCCTGGACCAAGTCTTTCTCAGTTCTAGTGCACCTGGTGTAACGTTGCATAAAACCAACTCTAATCTTGGTTTATCGTCTGTTTGCTATTTAGTGCCTATAAAAATAAAGATGCCTCATAAAAATGTGAAGTGTTTCAGATAAAAATGTTGAAAGGGGCCCAAAAGAGCATGCCGAAAGCTCACTTTGACGGGCTGAGTTGGAAGCAGGTCGAGTTGTACGTGCCTTCAGCTGGTTCACATGCACAGCGCTGTCGAGCTGGGTTGGCCTTTCTGCGACAGCTAACTGCAGTCTGAGCACATTTACAGGGACGGCTGATAAAGGCACGAACTGACATCGAATCAGAATCCCACGTTATCTCCGAATCATGATAAACGATGACCGTAGTTCGCCATGGCGGTGACCCCACCCATCTGAGTAGATCAACACCAAACGTTTAGATAAAAGCCAGTAAATGTTATGTGTTGGTGCTGTTATATCACAATTATGATAATCGCCGGTCAATAAATCGTCATGGAGATTGCTGAGATCCACTGCGCCTTGGCCTCCCGTCTGAGAAACTCCAAGACGTGTGTGTGGATTTTCCAGCGGTTTAATCATCAACGGCTGCTATAAATTAACCCCAGCTCCCGCTATAAAACTAGGGAGGAGTGTTAGGACATTGCCTGTTTTTTTCGTGGTTTTTTTTTGCTGACAAGCCACGACTCATCCCCCCTTCAACGGAGGTCATCTGAGAGGCATTTCCACAGCAGCCGTTGTATTTTGAAACCCAGTAACTTCTCTTGATCGTAGCGAGAAGATGGTTCTCCGGCGAACACTTCCGGGCTTCACGGCGTGTCATTTCCACCAGGTTTCTATGAAACTTGAAAGAGCAGCGCTGCAAAGGAGCGGCGGGGTTGAGAGAGAACACTGAGCCGTCTCCTTCACCTTGGCTCCGGAAAGACACCAACACCTGTTACTGTTTGATTGTGCTGGTGAATGATTAGCCCGACAAGTGAGGCTTTGAGCTTCCCTTCGTCTGAAGAACGTTCACAATAACGACAGTGTCTGAGGAAAGACTTCAGCAGAAACTCATCACTTTAGAATCAAGTGTTAGCTTTGTGAAAAGTAATTTCAACTAATCAGTTGGATATCAGCTTAGAGAAGCAAAAACGGCTGCAGTCAGTCTGAGAAAGATGGTGATTGACCATAAATATTTAACCGTTGCCACTCTTAGGAGCGGGCATCCAAGAGCATCAGTCACAGTTCAGAAAAAGACAGAAGAAATATGCTGCTATGGAAGACTTTCTGGAAGACTCTGTTTTTTCCCCCCACAATAAAATCCAGCATAACTTGAGTTCCAAATGTTTGGAACAATTCCCTTCAAAAAATGTGAGACCAAAGTACAGACGCCAGACAAGGGTTGACGATCCTGGCTTGTGTTTAGGCACCAAGCTTTTTTGAACTGCTCTTCCGTCGAATATGAGACCAAACGTCCAACAGTCAAAACTGTGACAAATTTGGATCATAGAACAGGACGAGGCTCCCAAACCCAAAGCAGACCTACTGCAGAGTTGCTGACAAAGAGAGAACCAAGGTTTTGCAAAGTGGCAGTCAAAGTCCAGACCCCACCCTGATTAAATTCTCTCCTCGGATGAATCCCTGAAAGTGAAGACGTGAGACTATGATGAAGGGTTGAAGGAGACAACAGTTTCTTTCTACTGCTCTGGTTTTCCAACATACAGAAATATTGACGCTTTCAGCAACACAATTTTACAACTCTGTAAAGTTACAGTGGGTTTATTAAGTACTGACATCTAGGTCACTAGTCAGTTCTCGGAAAGATTATTATTATTATTATTATTATTATTATCAGAATTGTAAATCTATGTTCAGCAAACGTTGCTTGATAGTTGTCAGATTGCATGCAACTACCTGTAAAAAGAACATAAACCTAAATGCTGTTATACTTTCTATCAACTAAGACTTAATTTGGATCATTAAAAAAAACAAAAAAACTTTTTTGTATCATGTTCAGCACATATAAGTTTTCATTTGGGGACCTTTTAATCTTTCCCTTCTGAAATGATCCCCTTTCAGAGTTTCAGACCTTCCTGTTCCTAGAAACTGGGTGGCACTGCGTTCATTCGTCTCAGCCAGGAGAGGGAGCTGTGCTATAAATAGAGGGCTCAGATTCCGCTTCCTTCACATCTGTCTTGCGTTTTATGCTCTCCAAGGTGACGGGACTGTTTTCTTCCGACTCGGACAGATCTGTCAGAACCCTGTGAGCCAGGCTCAGCCCGGTTCCTTTCGCAGCGCCATTATGGTTTGCATGCAAATGATCCCTCCCTACCTTCCTCCCGCCTTCAGAGACCAAATCAGACATCAGTGAGCCACTGAGGAGTTGTCTCCACTGCTGCTGGTGATCACACAGAACCTGCTGGAGCAGACGCATGCGGACCATGAATTAAATGTGAACGCTGCCGCTCCTCTGCTCCAGGAATAAAAACAAAAAAGTAAAAATAACCAACAGAGCGACAGGCATGAGAATTCAAAGTGGCATAAGTACGACTGTATTTTTTTGAGGGGGAAAAAATGACTTTGCCTGAATCTGTAGAAATCAAAACCCTTCAAACTAAATCATTAAAATAGAAATAGGAAATGGAGGTTTTTATACAGATGGATTCTGAATATAGGAGATAAGATGTGCTTTATATGTGGGGGGCTAGCTGGGGGGAGGTTGGTTTGCTGGTGAGGATGGAAGTGAGAGATGGGGCTCCACCCCCTGGTATGGTCAGGCCTGACACCTGTTCAGCACTCTGTGTCTGTGAGCCGTGCCTCTGCTCCTGATCCGAGTCCAAATCAGGGCTGTATACAACCCAGCACCCAGACTGTCACGACGAGGAGGGAAATTCACTTTCAGAGGGACCAAAACCGAGGTGGAGGGTCTGGGATTAAAGAGCTGCTCAAGTTGAGAGAAGAAGAAAAGAAGAAGAAGAGAGAGTGAGAGAGAGAGAGATCACTGCCTGGAGTAAAGGAATCCTTCCAGAGAGGATGCCCTCCATGGAGGATGTGAACCTCAGATGACCAGACAAACTTAAAGGACGCAAAACAAACCAAGAGCGAGACAGCATGTCCACAAACAGCCAGGACAGAGAACCTGACATAGAACTTTTTGTGAAGGTAAGACAGAGGAACGGGGGGATGGGGATTTTCTGACGTTTCGATGAAGTTTGGGTGAGCGCAGCAGCAGAATTTCAGCCGTCGCGCCGCGACCCGGGTGTGAGGTGGAAAGCTGAGGTAACCCAATAGTGGAGGTTGAGTTTCAGCAGCAGCGGGATCACCGTGACAGTGTCTCTGGGGCTCATGCTGGCCTCTGGATTGGTTCCCAATACCGACGGAGAACTTTGGCTTCAGGGGGGAAATGTGTTACATAACTTGCTACTCTAAAGCATTACAGAATGTTAATGTTGTCTGCAGTAATATTGGAAATAGAAGAAGTCGGTGTATCATTCAGCTCTTCTTCTCTGTAGACAACAATCTCCTGATGCCGCATAAAATTGGAGAAAATATTGTTTCAGGGAACTAAATGTGTCAATAGAAAGCCAAACTTTGCAACTTATTGTCCTTTTTGTCCCGCGTTGGCTCACGTCAAACAGCCATCGTCCACAACTTCTGATCTGCTGAAGGATAATGGAAAATCTTATGTATAAACCTGTTTAGAGAAAAGAGTTTCCATAGCAGCTGTCATTCTAATATTAGTCGCATCATCATGTGCCTCTGAGAGGTGACCCAGATGGACAGGGGGCTGTCCCGGGACGTCCTGGTTATGCATCTGAAAACCGAGACACAAGCACCCCTGGAGAGGCAGGTTCTGTGGGGTTTTTGACAGCGGTTGATAACCTGGGGGGGGAAAGAAATGGATTGTGGAAATTGAATCACAGTCGAATAAAGTGATTTCACGAATAAAGGTCTCGGTTGTGTCTCTAACCAAAGGAAGAAGAAGGTTAGTAGTGTCTGAAGAACACCAAGGAAGCACTTGCATACTGCTATCAACATAACATGATACGTATTGCACTGATGCCTGTTGAGGGATTGCAAACAAGCACCAATGAATGAATGGGGAGCACTTTGCTGCCACCTTGTGGTCAGGTTTATGTCTAATTTAATGAATTTTTTGTAGCATGTTCTGCATTATTTTTAAGAAGTTCTACTGAATTTATAATCTGCTTAACAGTTAAAAAACATAAAATGATCTGTTTTTTTATGTAATTGCAATTCAATTCAGGTAAAAGGTCAAAAAAATATATGAAACTAAGTTTAATAATCGCATATTCTGAAAATCTATTGAAAAGACTAATCTTTTAACTTTTATGATAATTATGACAAAGGCAATGGATATGTCATTATGATAATTAGGATATATTTAGAACAATCACAGATGACAAGCTGAAAAGATACTTTTTTTGTTATTTAAAACAAAAATATTAAAAATATTAAATAAAAGTCTAATAATATTTTATTGTTGCCCATCTTCTTTTGGTGCAAATGCAACTCAACAGGACAAACTTATATTTGCATTATCAAACAGAAACATTTTTGAAATCTCACCATTTTACTTTTATTTGTGTGGAAGAGTCTCTGTAAAGTCAGAGCGTTGCACAGCTGGAAAACAATGAGACTTTTTTCTCTCGAGCCAAACAAACTGGATCGTGACTCAATGTTGGGTTAAAACTCAGTGTTGGGTTACAGCCATCACTCAGCAGTCATTTTGCGTGCAACGACTAAATAAAGTCCAGGAATTAATGAGTGTCATGTTGGAAGGGTTTGGAGGAATTAGGGTCCACCGAGCTAAGTTCATAAAACCTTCAGTGAAGTTTTGTTTTCGAAAAAAGAAGAAAAAAAAAAAGCTGCTGCATTTATGAGCTTCAAATAAGCTGACAGCTCACTGGCTCCATGCATTCCTCGGACTACCAGGTCTTCCCACATGACGGCTTTTTTCCGCCACTTTCTCGATGTTGGTTGACTATTATCTGTTGCATGTGTATTGTGTTGCCTCCATGCACGCGAGGCCGGCCATAACAATACTCAGAGGCAGCCCTGAGAGCATCAATGGCTGCCGAGCATCCAGTTGACTCAGCTGCTTTTAGCCTGGGGCTTCAGTTTTCTGGTCCCGGTGCCGTGCAGACATGAACACACGGATGGCATGTAAACACTCTTTCTTCTGAATGGCTTGCTGATGTTTTCCCTCATTTTCTTTCCTCAGGCTTGTATTTTTGTTGGAGATTTGATCCAATAAACGAGAACAACGCTGACTTATTGCAAAATAAAATAAAATAAAATAAAGGTCAGGTCAGGTCAGGACAAATGTCAAAAACATTAATGGTTCAGTCAGAAGGATTCCAGTGTGGAATAATTGTGAGGTGTGATTTTCACTCTTAAATAATAAAAGTCATACAAACAAATACAATAATGTTTGGCGATTTAACCCGGAGGTGCAATCAATATGTTTCTTTATGAGTTTGCCACAGCTGGAGATAGGTTTTCAAAAAAATATACAGGAATATGAATGGATGGATATTCTGCTGCTGTGATTTTGATTCTTCATAACAAGGCGAAGGTATAATAATCTTTTTCAGTCGACACTTTGTTCTTGCCATTGACAGGAAATTATATCTAATGCATCTCATTTCGCCTTGTGTTTCTTACAGTATTTTCATATTTTTGACTTATGCATGAAAAAGTTGAGAAATAAGCTGCAAGATTTTTCTTCCAAGGCGCTGTAAACAAACCACGCTCTTTTCGGTTAAAAACAAAGGTCCAAGAAACTTCAATTGCGGAATTAATAATGCGCTGAATGACGGGGACCGGCTCCCTAACGCTACCCCAGGGGTCATTGCTCCCATTCTCTGCACGGCGGCGGGTCAGATCCCGCTCCACGCGCCCCAGCGGCCGGTGAACCCGGAGGTGCAATCGATATGTTCAATTCAACCGATCCGCCGGATCAGGTGTCAGTGATGGGGCTCCGCATGCCGACACAGGATATCTCAGCATGTACACACATGGAAGATGAAGAGGAAATGTCTCTGTGTTGCTCTGAAAAAGACAACGGGCGACAGGCTCTGTCCTCATTTGACTGGTCAGGAATAATAAGATAAACATCTATGAAAAGTTTTTCATGTTTTCCTCTCACAGCTGGAGTACAAGGTGATGTTCTGCAGGTTTTATGCATTTTAATCTCTTGAACATAATAAAAAGACCTCATATTAACTAATATATGTTTACTATTTGATTCTTTCTATATGAGCAGTTTAAATGTAGATAGCTTGTCATAGTATTATTGTTTACATGCATTTCTTTAGTATTTGGTCGTATTGCTGGTTTTCTGACTTTCCCCAAAGGCTTTGGGCCTCCTTCCACTGGCTTCTGTCAATTTTTTTTATTATTATGGCCCATTCCTCTACAGACCTGTTGTTACAGAGTAAGACCTGTAGGACTCTTTGCTCACACAACCTTTTCCACCCTCAAATTTCCTATGGGACCAAGATCAGAACTATGTGATGGCCCCTCCGAAACACTGAGTTTAAATTCTTTAAAGCGGAAGTCAAAGTCGATTTGGAGGACCTCTTTGTACCCAAGTTTCAACCACCTGGCTGATGTCTTGAAGAACTTGTTTCACGTTAGATAATGAAACTTTTTTTTACCAACTTAGATCGTCTCAGGGTATTCTACTTAAGTTCTGGAGTAGAAGCTGTACATAGTTCATGTTGGTACAAACATACTTCAGAAGTCTATTTTGAGAGACTTGGGGGCCACAATCAAAAACGTTCGACCCAGGTCGCAAAGTGTTGAAGCCATTGTAACCAACTAGAAAAGTGGAAATAATTTTAAACAACTTCAAATGTGATTCGCCAGCCTGTCTGACCTTACTGTACATTGTGTGTGTGCAGGCAGGAAGTGATGGAGAAAGCATCGGCAACTGTCCTTTTTCCCAGCGTCTCTTCATGATCCTCTGGCTCAAAGGCGTGGTCTTCAACGTCACGACTGTTGACCTCAAGAGGTGAGGGCAGAGGTGTTCACTGCGCCCTTCGCGTCGCCACAGGTTTTTAAGTGATGGCTTGTTGTGCCCGTGTCCTCTGCAGAAAGCCAGAAGACCTGCAGAAGCTGGCCCCGGGGACGCACCCCCCTTTCCTGACCTTCGACGGCGACGTCAGGACCGACATCAACAAGATCGAGGAGTTCCTCGAGGAGGTTCTCTGCCCTCCAAAGTAATTCACGTGGAAAGCTTTACAACACCATGTGTGTTTTATCAGACTGCACACCGCCTGCTTTTGGTTGGATTTATGGCAGCTTCGTGTTGTTTTTGAAGGAGCAGGAAGCCGTTTAGTCGAGTAAAGGATGGCTGGCTTTGATGAAAGCTGACATTTTCTGATAAAACTGTTATATCGGGGTGATTGCTGATGTTTATATGCCATAGATACCATTAAATCCAGTTAAAAGAAATCTAAACTATCCATATTTAAAGTCTTATCCCACATGTTTAATGATATTTAACCAAAGCTAAGATGGGTTTATTGGGTTCTATTAATGTCTCTTAAAATGTCTTCAAAGTCCGACTGAGAAAGCCAGATTACCTAATTCTTCTTTTATTGCCTGTAAAGTTTTTTACGTTTTAAATGGACCCTGGTGTGCGAACGCCAAGCGAGGTGGGACGCCAGTTCAGTGCGGTTCTGTAACTTGTTCTAAATTCGGGGCCAAGCTTCAGTCCAGGTGTTAATTCCATCCAGATGCTCTGGTCTGACTGTGCCTTCCGGCCCCCTCCCCATGCCCGCTTCAGGTATCCCAAACTGGCTGCCAGGCACAGAGAGTCCAATACAGCTGGAAACGACATCTTCGCCAAGTTCTCAGCCTTCATCAAGAACACCAAAGCCGAGGCCAATGCCGGTAGGGAGCTCATTTTCTGCCATATACCTGTACACATGCATTTCCATTTGCAGCTTTCATGCAGTAAAAAAACAACAGTTTTTCATTATGTTTCGCCGCTAGATGGCAGCAAAGTTCAACTCTTCAGGCGTCAACTGAGATCCTCTCGTTTGCTTTGCTGCCATCTAGTGAGGGATTTTTGTCACACAGACTCAACAACCCTTGAGGTGCATTAACTGACCAGCCCGTGTGACAATAAACTTTTTTTGATTTGTGCATTTTTCAGCTCTCGAGAAAGGCCTAACCAAAGCCCTGAAGAAACTTGATGATTACCTCACAAGCCCCCTGCCCGAAGAGATCGACGCAAACAGCATGGAGGAAGAAAAGGCCTCCAAACGACTGTTCCTGGACGGAAACGATCTCACCCTGGCAGACTGCAACCTGCTGCCCAAGCTGCACATCATGAAGGTGGGTTAAGGTTCCTAAATGTCCTGGAACTGAGGCAGAAGATGGGAACAGCTGAAGTATCAATTTTTCCTGTGTGCACAGCTAGTGCTAGTGCACACAGGAAATTTGTGAAATTAGGACAATATTCTTCTGATGAATTTAAATCTGAACACATATTACACACTTCACACTTCTTGGCAATAACAAATGAAGCCTATTTGAGTGGTGTGATCTCACATTAACGTAATAAAAATAAAAATAAAAGCAATTTTGTTCTCACTCGGTTAAGAATGTAGTTTCACAAGATTGGAGCATGTGAAGGTCTATTTCTGGCAGATAATCTCTTTTGAATACTGGCCACTTTATTAGGGACGCTGTACACCACAGGATAAAAGTGTGGAAGTGAAGTTTTTTCCGGTCTCCACTCAGGATGCCGTTCCTTTCGATAAACCTCGATGTAAACCAGATGACCGGTGCATAAAATCCTCACAGAGGAAAAGAAGGGCTCAGTTGTAGGGTGGAGACCATTACCAAGTCATAACTTGTAAAGCAAAAATGTAACATAAAAAATTATAACTTTTTCAGTGTTAAGGACAAAACATGCTTTTTGCATTTCTGCCATTCTGGGAGAAGAGTTTACGTTGACAAAAGCAACAACTGTTTTAATATCACTGGAGGACAAAACCCTTAAAAAGATGTCCAGCGGTCTGATTAAATTAAAATCAAAGTTGACTCTTAGTCAACTAATTCTTCAATAAGAGGTCAAGCATAAGCTGACCTCTTATTGTTCTTATACTTGAAGAATAAGAGGGAAGCAAAACGGATGGCATGACGAGAAAAGGAGATTGATAAAAAAAAAACAACAACAATGAAATAAAAATAATTGGACGTGCGCCCGTTACGGCCTTGACTGATCAAGCTCATGCTGTTTGCATCATGTTGTTTATGTGAACATTTGGTGTCAACTGCGCATGCTCAATAACGAGAGGACTAAAGAAACGACCAGCGACTAACAGCGCTTTGTTTTCGTCCCAGGTCGTCGCGAAGAAGTACCGCAACTACGAGATCCCGTCGGACATGACGGGCGTGTGGCGGTACCTGGAAAACGCCTACTCGCGCGAGGAGTTCACCGGCACCTGCGCCGCAGACGCCGAGATCGAGAACGCCTACAGGGACGTGGCGAAGAGGCTGGCCAAATAGCCCTCCGACCCCCCCCATCCTGAGCGCCAACGCAATAAACCAGCGACACACACAAACATCCACAAGAGAAAAAAAAAAAACAAAACATAAAATTACACTGCTCAGCATATTCTTCGTGCGACACTCTGCAGAAACATAAGATCTTTTGTCTTTTCCAGCTCCGGGCGTGATGGATTGCAATAATTCAGCGCTCCCTGTACTTAAACGGTATTTCAATCACATCGGCAGACATGGCAAAACAGAAGCGGAGCAGAAGATAAATCGAACCCTGTTTAGCTTGACCCGGAGCCAGCCTTCAGCCGGCTCCGCTGCGAAACTTCTGACAAAACTCTTTTCACTCAAACGCGATTGTGTCTGTCCGTGTGCGTTCACTCGTGAGACAAAGCCCTCTTTCATAACGTCCTCCGCAGCGCGGCCAAAACATTTCACTAGCTGCCGATGTCAAGGTTTGTTGGCTTTATTTATTCCCCGGGCCCACAGAAGTCTAGCCCGACTCTCTGTGTTTATTATCGAGCTCCGGCTCCCGGGGAGAGACACCTTGTTTCATCTGTGATGGATGATTTACGCCCAGAGTTCTCCGAACACGACGGCTCTGATTCTCAGCTTTCAATCGCCCGCCATTCCTTTTCGTCGGCGTTGCTGCATTAATTCTTTGGGGTTGGTTTTTATTTTAGCTTGCGAGTGTCTCATAGAGATTCCCCGTCCGGCTCTTGAGAGACTCAATGGGCATCCAAATGAACAAACTTGCCCACGTCGGGGGGGCTTTTGGAGAACAAAGTTCAAAAATGTCGTGCCTTTTGTTGAGTAGAAAAAAATAAATAAATAAAAAGAAGAGAAAAAAAAAAACAAAACAATGTCAAGCCATTGTGATTGATGGACTCGTTGGGATTAAATGCGTTGCAACAAGGAGTTACAGCTTGTAGCTTCCCTTCCCCAACTTGTGAAAAATCCACTTCAGGTATTGATTTTGTCTCCAGTTACCTCACGATATTATAAATGGAGGTACTATTTATTCAGCGGCCCAATCAGGTCTGATTAGGCAGAGCCATTAGTGGCGTGATGAAAACCATCTTCCAGACCAGTTCCATACTGGTCAGAGAGCCCTGCCCTGCAGCTCCGCACTCTGATGAGTCCATCAACATCCCACTGCTTAGAAAGTCCAGGTTTAGGAGTCTCAGTGTCCACATGGAGGAGAGAGGAAACTTGTCTTGAGGGGAGTGGGGGGGGGGGTTGCTGTTTTTGGCTTGCTGCAACGTTTGCGACTATAGCGAGACTTCCTCGAAGAGCCATAAGGCTTTTGTATGGTTTGGACAAACACATGATGTTGAAACCGGAGCTTGATGACTGAGAGAGTTGCTCACAGCGAAGCTCTGCAAATAAATCAATATTTTCACAGATCTGCTTCTTCCGTTTCTTTTTCTCTTTTCCCGCGTGGTGATCGCCAAGGTTGCCGCCGAGCCGAGAGGGTCTCCCGGGGCGATCGCGAACGCACGCAAAGGGTTAAAGCCCGACCGACCGACCGAGCTGATCAAATCCAGCGGTGCAGGTTTGTTTCTCCATCCATAACAGAGAGAGAGTGATGACCGCTGACAGGCTTAAATAGAGGCTTCCATGCCAGGGATCAAACGCCATCCTTCTTCTCCACTCTCTCATTAAGACGGAAAAGCCGAGCGCCGCCATCCGATCCGTCTCCATTTTTCCTCAAAGGAGTCTAAAACTTGAAAGATCCGCGCCTGTCGGATTTACAATGGTGGGCGAGCGGTGTTTACCGAGACGCCGGCGTGCCAGAAACAACAGTCAAAGAAAATAAATGGAGCCCGCCGAGTGTTTCCACAGGGGTAAGGAAATATGGAGCAGGACTTGTGCCTTGCTGTTTGGTAATTAGTACCTAAACATCGCTGTCCTTGGATCCCATCGCTCACATTCAACATTTCTCCGGGCTGGATAATATACAGTGGAGCATTAACGTCAAACACGTCTGGTCGTTGGGGCCTGGCGAGCCACATTAATCTGTTATTACGCTCCCAAGTGGATCGACTAGTTGCTGGCCTTGGCTTGGCCACCGTACGGGCTGACAGGGAGTCACACACTGCACTTTTTATGGCTACATTTAGTAAACCTTTTCAACTCGGGCATAAATTGTGTAAACGGACTCCCGCTTTGAGACCTCTGCTGATTAAAACAAACTGGCGCGCCTGACATTTGAAGACCCACCAGAAACAACCCTGTGATCCAATTAAAGGCCAGACTTATAGCTGCAGGAGTGCAGCTGGCCCGACCCGCCAGGAGACCGGCGAGTGGCATGAGACCAGGAGACTGGTCGTGTCAGCTGTTGCACCTGGAGCAGATGTTTGTTACGCTCGTTCAATGGAGTTTACACGCACTACAAAACATTGTTGTGCCATGCAGAGAAGGATTATTTCTTTTTTAATCTCTTAGGTATTCACTCCCCCTGAAATGGTTCACGTTTTCTAACCCTAACCCCTAACCCTAATCACCTTATTATTATTAATATTATCATTAACCTTTATTTCACCAGGGGAATCCCGCTGAGGTTAAAAATCGCTTTTGCAAGGAAATACTTTCCAAGCACACAAAGTTTACTAAGCATTTAAAAGCAAGACTGTACAAGCTGGCACCGCCGCGAATAAATTAGCTGAAAAGATTCCTTCGTTGAAACATCGGGGTTGGAAACGTTTAGTGACAAACAGCAACTTTGGGTCCACAACTGGTTCCGAGAAGACGGAGCAGAAAACCGAAGGGGTGCATTTCCAAGTTCGGTTCGGACTTTCGGGCACCCGAGAGTCAGAGCAAGTTCCCACAGAGAAGAGAATATCCTGCGGTGGACTTTCTGTTTATGCAGGCCAACAAACACAAAGAGGGAAGGTACAGTACGGCCTCGTCACTAAAACAAACAAATAAAAACGAGCCACAAACGTCTGTTGGAGTTTAGGCGATAGAGCAGAATTCGGCCTGGCAACTTTGGTTTCGCACAACTGCAGTTAAAAGTTGGCACCAGACGCCTCCTCTGAAGGTCAATGTGATCGACCAATCAGAAAACAGCGTGTCGTTTGTCAGACATTTGCTCTCCTGCTTGTTTCATTTCAGCCACCTGACTCCGAGATCACTTCACTATTAACTACAGCCACCTGGAGCTCGACATTCTCTCAACGAGACGGTTGCACAACTAAAGAGTGTCTTCTGTCAGAGGCTTCTTCAGCGTGGCTGTAGCACTGTCCGCTACAGGAGACTCTTCCTGTCCACAGCCATCAGCATCTACCACAACGTTTTGAAGGAAATTACATGACACGAGAATCAATATTTGACTTTCCTAGCTACAAAAGGTACGAGTCAGGATAGTGACCAGAAATCCAATAGAACGGTTTAGATCAAAGCAGATGCATATGCTGCGATGGCCCAGTCAAAGTCCAGACCAACATCTCATTCCTCTGGCAGATTTAAGTTCATGATGATTTACTCCAACTGGAATCTGACAATTAATCTGTGGAGTGAGATAATGATTAGGGTGATGGTACGGAGACTCTCAAACGCTCCTCGCCAGAGATTTGGATCTTCATAAATACGAGTGGAGACAAGAAAGAGTCGGTCAGTAAACATAAAGAAGAGCGTCACTGATAAAATGCCAGTTCAGTTTAACTTCAGTCCGTTAGTCTGAATCGAGTTCACTCAATTCAATGCAATCGTGTTCGCTTCTACTCAAATGACCCTGAACGTTTTCTTTCAAAAGGTTTGCTTTTCATTGACACTTACTATATCAGTTCATAAAAAAACAAAAATAATTTTCTTGAAAGGAGTCTTTTGGAAGGGTGAATGGTTAAAAATTATATATATATACAATAAATAAATAAATAAATAAATAAATATATATATATATATATATATATATATATATATATATATATATATATATATATATATATATATATATATATATATATATATATATATATATATATATATATAGGCCTATATATATTATTATTATTTTTTATGTTATTTGAAAAATACTGGCTTGTGTTTTTTTTTTTTTTAAATAAATGAGCTCAGAATTATGAAATAAAACCTCAGGTTCAGAAAAAAGAAGAACACAACGAGACTATTAAAGCGAGCACAGAGTCGAGTCAGTTTTTCCTTCCTGAGTTTCCGGTTCGTTCCCCCGACCGGTTCTCCGGTTCTTCCTCTAATAAGACCGTCTGTCTGTCCTCTGACGTCCCACCAATGGCCAGCACGAGCTCCCTGGGACCAACCTCGACGTCGCGCGCGGGAGGAGGAAGAGTCCAATCAGGACGCGGGACGTTTGAAACGGAAAGACCCGGGCAGCACAGGACGGGTTCGGTCTGAGACGGAGAGCGTCTGAGAGAGTATCGGGTTCTCGGTGAGTCCTCCGCCTCCTCCGCCCTCAGACGTTTGAGCGGCTTTGTGGTGAAGCTTGATGGGGATTATTGATCTGCCCGGCGCGCGCCTGCGGTTTCTGCTAAAGACTGACGACTAAACCAGAGGGGAGCTTTTTTTTTTTTTTTTTTTTTTGGCAGCTGAGAAAAAAAAAAGGCCCGCTGAAGTTTGAGCTTAAGCCAGGTGTTCCTTTCATTGGCATAATTAAAAAAAAAATTAAATATTAAAAAATTTAAATACTAAAAAAATGAAATGCTAAAACAATTTAAATACTAATAAAAAATGAAATACTAAAAAATTCTAAATACTAAAAAGATTTCAATACAAAATATTTAAATACTAAAAGAATTAAATACTAAAAAATGTAAATACTACAAAATTGAAAACCTGAAAGAATAAAATACTAATAAAAAATTAAATACTAAAAAAATTTTAATACTAAAAATATCAAATACTAAAAAAATTTAAATACTGGAAACTGTAAATACAAAAAAAATTATGCTAAAAAACCCCCAAAGAAATCACAATAAACATATCAGAGTGCTCTCTTGAGAATAATCATATCTTGCAGACTAGCAGAGTCCAGATGTAGATCAATAATAATATTAATAATAATAATAAAAAGTTCTGCTTGGATTTACTGGCTTCAGTTCCAGCTGTGAACCACATGAAATAATAACTGGTCACCAGAGAAGGATGTGGACACTGTGCTAATTATGTGAGAGGATGATGTCAAGTCCTGATACCAGCCAGGACGGGCTTTTTTCTCCTCCTCCTCTTCCTCCCTCTGTGCTGCCTTCCATCATTCATAACCTCTTTGCGGTATATGATGGTTTTTTTCCCCCTAAAATGAAAGAAGAAGAAGAAGAAAAAGCCCCGGTGTCAGTCATGGTTGCGTGTCATTACATTACAGTAAATCCATTGCTTCTGTAATGAACTCAATGATAAAATTAAAAAGAAAAAGAAAATAATGTAAAAATAAATGAGGCTCCTAGGCAATTTTTTTGTTGTTGCATCGCCTGGCTGAAATGCCTTGCATAAAGAATGTTGCATAAACATCTGGAGTTGAGTTGCAGCTTATTCAGTCTCATGCTCTGAGTTTGCTGTGTTTGACATGCAGTTTGAAATGCTGACATAAAGCGAAGGGTTTGGACAAAGAAGCCTTTTGTTTATGTGTTTGGTTGCTGTCCATGGTCCTGACAGTCAAATTTTCATATTAATTCATTTTTTCCTCTCTTTTTTTTAAGGTATTGTGGCCAGTTTTATGTTAACATAACTTGGACTGGCGGCTCTCGTTAAATGTAGACATTGTCAGTTTTGTAAAAGCGTTCTCATAAACTTGCTTGTCGCTAGGTGACGATATGGAGCCGCCGGCTGCTTTCATCGTGCGACATTAATTACGGCCACAACTTGAACGTCATGTAAATGTAAATATAACCTATTTCAGATCAACAGTCGTTTTCTGCCTGATGCAGATGCTTCAGCATGCCCACCTGAGGAAAAGAGAAAAAAAAAAAAAGAAAAATCAACTCAAAACAACGATGGATCTAGAAGACATTTTCAACAGACCAGATAACACAACAAATAAAACAAATCGCGAGGCCTTCATCGTCCCTCAAAAACAAGACCAACGCACCAGACTGAAGACTTTGGCCTCCAGTTTTCAGTGGAAAAACAGAGAGAGAGAGAAAAGAGAAAATCTGTCAGTGTGTTTGTGTGAGAGTGCGAGTGGTGCATCTCTTCCAGCGAGGATCTTGGTGGGGAACCTGGGCAGGTGGAGCTCATCGGCCTCATTGGAGAATAAAAGAGCGGCAGAGCCTCCACCCAGTGCTGGATGATTAATGTCAACAACCTGTTGACTGGTGATGGGTCAGTGAGGCGCCATGAAGCGTTTCGACCCAAAGCAAAACTGTGTCGATACCGTGTCACTGAATACTGACACCTGCTGGACATTAAAAATCCCTACAGGCAACTTAGTTGACGGGCTGATTTGATGACCTAGTCTATACAATAAGATTTAACTCATTGTACTTTTATTGAGTATAATGTCATATCTTCAGTTAAATATTTGAATATTTGATATTCTTAGATACAGTCAATAAATAATGTGAAGATGTACCATAAAGTAAAAATTTAAGTGATGGTTTGGAATGAGGATGCTTTTTTGACCCAACTTTTTCTGCTGTAGGCAAAAAATGAAGCAAACAATGCATTTAAATGAAATAATTTATGAAAAGCAACAGAGTAATATGTGGAATAGCTGCGTTTATCCTCGGTGTATCTGGGATTCATCCTGATGCCCTATGATGCCTCTGCACTGAGGAGGTGGATTTATTGAAATAAGACAGTTCTGTCAAACATATGCAACACTAAACCTGCAGAACATCAGATGGAAAGTGAACCAAGAGTCAATTTCAGCTGAATTTGGATTCAGAGAGATCAAGTAGAAACTGAAAAGAATCGAATGAACAACAACCAATTGATAATCAATGCCTTATTTTCTGATGTAAAATCAAAATGGTCCCAAACTATGAAACCATTCATAGTTTGAAAGGCTCCATATTGACCCTGTACCATAAAAGATTAAGAATTCTTTTGGCAAATGCATCCCGTTGACAGATTTGCTTCCTTATAAACGCAGTTTGGTGCTCCAGTGTCATTTTGAAACAGTTCCTGTATCGATTATGTGACTTGCTGAAAGCAATATGCGCACCGACGCATCGGCGTTGCCAGATCCATCACTACTCGTTCCGGACGCCACTGATCTCGTCACTCTTTCCATCCTCCGGAAGGATCAAGATCTGTCAGTTGTTTATTTCTCTGAAAATAAAACCAATTCCTTATTTGGACTCTGTTGATTCTGCATGTGGGTCAGAAGATTAAATCCAAACATGTCAGAATCAGCCAATTATGGAAGTATAAATTAGCTCATTTTGATTTGTCATGCAATTCATTGATTTGTCGCCGACAGTGACAGGCTGAAGCAACCGATCTGTGTCCAGCTCACCCCGTCGGAAGATGAACACAAGAAAATCGAGGAGGAAAACCTGTGAAAGGCTCTGAAAGACTCAAGACCTAAACAGAGGTTCACTACCAACAGAAACATATTGTCAGAGCAGCCTAGTCAAAGTCCAGACCTAGATCTATCTGACAGTCTAAGACTTGAAAGATTACTTTGTTATTAATGAACCATTTGTCCTTCCACTGCGATGACACTTTGTGTAAATCCGTCACATAAGATCCTGATGGAAGAAACGGGATTCAAGCTGCTCCCTTTGGAGTTCTGTTTTTTTTCCCAAACGCCACTAGAGAGCGCCACAGCATGCAAATACACCGGCTGCCACGGTTTGAAACCCAGGGATGCTGCAGTTATCTTGACCAAAAACGAAAAGCTTCTCACCGCGAGAGTCGATGAGCGGTCTGAGGCGCCGTTAAGATCGGGACAACAGGGGTCAAAAAAGGTCAAGGATTAGCGACGAGGTCTGAACTCGGAGAGCAGTGGGACCAAATGAGAAACCAAGATGCACAGACTCCCCCCCTTCTTAAACTCACACACACACACACACACACACCACCACACACACACACACACACACACACACACCACACACACACACACACACACACACACACACACACACACACACACACACTCAGTCTTGTTAGCAGAAACGGAAACATAGGAAGAGATATACTGCCCCCTGAGTGGTATGAGGCCCTTGAGAATCACTTCCCGCCTGAACAGCTCTTCTAAAAAGTTTGCAGAGGTCAAGTAAACAGTTTGTACTGAGCTGTCAAATCTGTCTCTCTCTCTCTCTCTCTCTCCCTATATGTGTGTGTTTTCTGTCTTTAAACAAAACAAAAAAAAAGAAATCTCAAACTGGCACCATCGTCTCACACAGTGCGGTTTTGCCCACTCGTAAAGACTTATCATCGCATGTCAGAAAACGATGTCTGCTTGTAAAGCTGGCCGCGGGACTCGACATAAGAAAACAAAATTAAAAAAAATTGGTCGAGCACACCGCGGCTGCCGGAGTTCCACTTTTGACAGACGGGGTCCACGTCGACCCCTTCCGTCCGTCCTCCGAATGAGCCGCGGGCCGCGTGTTGACGCTCCTCTCCAGCGCGTGGTGGAACGTCATGCTAATTTCCCCGGGTGTCTGGGTTCCTCCGCTCCTCCGGAGTTCATTATTTGTAATTGCGGGACATGGCTGAGAACGCGGAGAATACGAACCTGAAACCGAGCGCCGAGCCTCTTTTCCACGCAATCCATATTCAGGAAAATCCAGAGAATGTTCCCAATCCCCCCGGCCTTAGCAAAACATATGGAGATGGTGTAGATCTCCCGTTTCAGCATGTGTACACACACACACACACGCACACACGCACGCACGCACGCACACACACACACACACACACACACTCTCTTAGATTGGCTCTATTATGTCTTGGAATAATGTAAAACAGCTTTGCCTGGTTTTGCCCTGCTCTCTGCTCCTGTCTCCATCTCTTTGGTTTCACAGTGCACCGCTGACATGCAGCAGCAGCAGCAGCTGCAGCAGCAGCTGCAGCAACAGCAGCAGCAGCAGCAGCAGCAGCAGCAGCAGCAGCAGCAGCAGCAGCAGCAGCAGCAGCAGCAGCAGCAGCAGCAGCAGCAGCAACAGCAGCAGCAGCAGCAGCAGCAGCAGCAGCAGCAGCAGCAGCAGTGTGACCCCTACACCCCAAAACCCCCACAATCCCCAGCCTGTTGGATCCTCACCACCCAAAAACAACTCTGGTGCAGACAGAAGGGTGGAGGAGATGTAAAGGCCCTTATTTTCTTTTTTTTTAAATGTATGATTTTAAATATATGACTTTAAAAAAAATAAAAATTGTGATACTGGACCGCTGGTTATCTTGTTCTGGTTGCCATGATGTCTAATTGGTTGGGACATGCTCCTTCCAGGTGTTTATTTCACTGATTTTGCTCCTGTTTTAACATTTAAGGTCACTTTTTAAAAGTTTGTCCATGTTTCACACCTTCGAGTTGGGAAACATTGAGTAAATAAATCCATTTTGGTGACCATTTAGAAAATTAGATAAAATAAACTCTAAGAACAAGGAGAAAATCAGTTGAAATTACATTCAGGTGAACATAAATTAAATGTTATTTGATAAATGTTTTTTTTTTATATGAACCAAAAAAAATTAAGGAATTTCTGGTAAACATAACTTTACCCGAAAAGTTATGTTATAAAATAAAACTGGATAATGATAATCAATTAAACAAGATTTACAAAAAAAAAAAAAAAAAAAAAAAAGTAAACGCATACCAAAAAAACATACATAAAAAAGCAAATAAACATGCAGAAAATTCTACTAACTGAGAACAGAGAAAACAATATATGACGTGTCGGATGAGGGAAAAATCTGACAGGGAAGAGTTAAGTTACAAAATACCGGCTTTATTTATTTTTTAAAATAAACAAACATGTACAATCACAATGCCAATTTCACTCACTGTTGTCAGATCTGTTTGTCCCTTCTTATAAAAAAATAATAATAAAATAAAAAAATTAAAATAAAAAAATCCCCTTTATGAAACGTACCAGCAGAATCTAACCGCATCGCTTTAGATTTCAGTTCCTGACAAGTGTTCATGAGAAGGAGCGTAACAATGGAGAGTAACACGTAAACTTTACATAGGAGCAACACAAAGTACAAGTATACACACTGATTGTTAAATAATACAGGCTTTTCTTCTCTCCGTGACAGTTATTGCCCCCCTTAAAAAACAAAACAAAAAAAGGAATAACCTTTTTTTGTGAGGTGGGAGAAGAAGAAGAAGAAAAAAAGCGGATGAAGACAGTATTGGGTGTCAGTGCTGCGTTCATTTCCTGTTAGGTTGTCAAAAGTTAAAAAAAAAAACAAACAAATCAGACTACAAGACAAGGGGTGGCAAATGTTGACAAGGCAGTGTTTTCAAATCTGTTGGAAATATTTCCCTTCTGATTTTTCTTTTTCAGATATTTTATGGGCCGTGCGAGCCGAGGCAAATGATGGGGGGGACGTGACATTTTCCAATATCGAGAAGCGAGTTTGGAAGCATCTTTGGCCGAGGTCAGAGGTCGCGTGCAAACCTTCAGTGAAAAGCTTGAACCCACTGATCCCGTGTTTCGCTCTACTTTTTTTTGTTTGTTTTTTTACACACACAAGCAGGGGCTACATTACCTGCAAACATTAAATAGCAAAAAGGCACAAAATAATAAAATAATCTTAATTTTTTTTCTTTGCTTCAAATAAACACAGAGTGTCTTGGTGGGATCAGATGTATTTGGCCAAGTGTTACCCGTTCAGGACCCAAAACCACGAGTTCTGCTGGCAGCCTGCCGCGACTGCTGCTAGAAATAAAACAAGCAATAAGTGCTTTTATCAAACAAACATACAAGTCTCCCATATTTTCTTTCTTTCTGTTTTTTTTTTTTTTTGGTCACCAGTTTGCTGCCAGCAGCTGAATCCAATCACCTCGCTTTTTTTTTTTTTGCACTTTTTCCCTGAACCCCAGCACTTTTTTGGGTTCGACGCAGACGTGCTCCTTATAGTGCTGCAAGAGAATGTTGTTTTAGGCCGGGACGTCAGATATTAAATCTAAGAAACTGTAGATAAATAAATGTCTGAAGGAATGTCATGGTTTCAATTTTTTTTTTTTTTTTACTTTCCCTGTTTTCTCTCTCTTTCTCGCTCTGAGTGTGTGTGTCACGCACTGACCCAGACTTTTTCAAAGTCATCTTCTGCACATGATATGAGAGCTGTAATAAACTTGGCGTGTGCAAGCTATAATCTCTAGTGAGCTTTCAGCCGGGCTGGATATAAAAAACAAAAACAAAAAAACAAAGAGAGAGAAAGAGAAGCAGATATAGATAATTTCATTCGGGGATTATTCCAGTCCTGAGGAGTTTATGTATCACAAAAAACAACTGAGCCTTAAAACAAAAAAAAACAAAAAAAATGTCTGACCTGACGCTGTAACTTGTACCACCAGGCGCATCCGTCTTTGGACTCGCTTCAATTGTTCTCATATTGTCAGGAAAAGCAGTTTGTAAGTGCACGCCAGATGAGACGAAATAAAATAAAAAAATAAAAAAAAGGAAAAAAAAAAAAAAAAGAAAAAGAAAATTTCCATAAACGGATAATTATTTTCTTCCCCACCGAAGCTGGCTTTAATGCCGCGTTGCCGAGAGGCACGATGCGAGTTATTGCTCAATAAATACCAAAAGGTTTAATTCCGAGCCAAATGTGTGTCGACGCCTACCGAAGATGTTGGCCTCCTTATGTGTCGAGCAGCTACACTGAATTTATTTATTTATTTTAGTCTCTTTTTTTTTTTTAACACACCAGAAGAAAACGTGTTGCAATACTCTCTGGAAATTAGATTTTGTATTCTGAGCGATTATCATCATTATTATGAAATCTTTTTTCGGGGGGGGGGGGGGGGGGGGGGGGGGGGGACAGGAGGGGGGTGCAGCTACAGCAATGACAACAACAACAACAAAAAAAAGAAAACTCTTAAATTACCTATCAAAGATAAAATTAACTTAGTCATATAGATGCATCAAAAATATTCAGATTACACTTCTTCGACTCAAGTTTCAAATACAATACATAATTTATGGCTTTTATAAGTTAAAACTAGAGAAAAAACTAACAAAAGAAAAAAACAAAACAAAACAACAAAAACAAAACGTTTCAATCTACATCAACCCACAATGTACAAGTTAAATTAATTGGTTTAGAGCAAAATGAATGTCCACGCCGCTTTTTTGGTAACACACGCTTCTCATCTGCTACTCAGTGCTTAGGTTGCATCTCGATATTGTACAAAAACATGCTCTGCAAAAAAAACAAACAAAAAAAAAAGGCTTAATAAAGTACAAACACGTTACAAAAAAGAAAAACAGAGGGGCAGTCTTTTACAAATGTCGACGCAGCATCCCTTAGCTGGAGGGGCCGCCCTAAAAATTGAAACAACGTCCCGTCTGCGTAGGCTTGGAAATCAAAAATAGTTTGTTTTTTTTAAATGTCTTTTCTTCTCATTATTGCAGTGAGAATGGCTCCCTTTGTAGTGCCTCGGTCCAAACACATTCCAGGAAGACAAGTCGGTGCATGTATGTTCTTTTATTTCATTTTCCCAACTCCTCCCTGCCCTTCCCCCATCATCATCATCATCATCATCATCTCTGTTTTAATTTCCAAGCGGAAGGTGGAGACAGCTGAGGATGTGAAATAAAAATTAAAAAAAAGAAAAAAGAAAGAAATCCCCCCTTATTATGATATGAGAAAACAAAAGGGGGTTTTGTGCTTGTAAACCGTGACATCACTTGACTTGTCATCCGCATGTCCTCCTGGTCTTTCCTCAGTACGGCCTCCACACCGCTTCGTCCATGCGCCCGCCGGGGTTCAGCACGGTCGGCGAGTTGCTGTGACTCCCGTCGCCGTCCACGCCCCCCTCCGTCTGGCTGGGCAGGTTGGGGTTCACCAGCGAGGTGCCCGTGGAGGCGCTAGTGCAAGGCGGCACCATCCGAGACGGCGAGCGGTCGCCGCCGGGCACCATGGAGAACTGGTACGAGTTGGAGGAGGCGCCGTAGTACAGGTACGGCGTGCTGCTGGTCTGGAAGGGCCCGCTCTGGCTCTGGGTGGAGCCCGGGTACGGCGGGGGGAGGTAGGTGTGGTAGTGGGCGCTGCCGAGCGTCATGGCCGAGGTGACGGGCGGGGTGTAGGTGAAGGTGGCCGGGTAGTGCATGCGCGGGCTGGAGAAGCGGCTGTCCGTGATGGAGGAGAGGCTCGGGAACTGGCGCTCGAACTGGCCGGGGAACGGACTCAGGTCAGAAGACCCTGGAAAAACACGGAGGAAAGAAAAACATCGTTATCAACGTGGGGATCTTATACATGTGGCCGACTTTAGGATGTTCTAGGAACATTACGGCAATCGGTCGGTGTATTTAATGAAGTGGCACGTGCTAAGCTAACAAGAACCCCCCCCCTCACAGAACAATGAGCCAGTTACTTTAACAACACAAAGTCGTAGAACGTTTTTTTGGTTTAGTTTCTTAGTACTCCAGAAGTCAACAAAACTAACACATAAGTAACATTTCTGCAAGAAATTATTAACTTATTTTAAGTAAATAATTTCTTAATACAGGTAAAAAGTACCAGTTGAATTGGCATGTTATTTCTCTCAAGTCATTTTTCCCATGTTATAAGTGAAATAATCTGCCAATAGTGGCTCCATTGTTAGATTTCGGGCTTTTGCAAAAATCAAAGTTCTGTTGAACATGTTTGGGTTTGTTTGTTTTTGTGACTTCTTCTTCTACAGGCAAACTAAATAAGTTTATTGGGATTATTTTTTATTTATTGTTTTTCTGGATAGACCAACACAAAGTAGGACGTAACTGTGAAGTGAGAGGAAACTACACATGGCTTTAGAAAATAAACAAACAACAATAACTGCGGCGTCCTGGGAATTATTTGCACAAGCAGCTTTCCCTGCACATTACAGCTGCAAGTCTTTTGCGGTGTGTCTCTGCTAGCTTTGCACACAAGTTTTTCCGTCGACCCTCGAAGGTAACTGACACTTAACCAGAGGGGATATAAAAGAGGCAGCGCTTCGTATTTTACGGGCACGTTGTTTCCAATTTTGACAAAAACGCTCGAAAGAAATCTGACGCTCTGAAATTGGCGCCTGTCTCTTTAAGAAGCAAAAGCTCTTTTCCGACACTCATCACAGCGACCTTCCTTGTTTGCAACCGCTTTGAGGAGAGTTGGGCTGAGAAGCAGTTGGTACGACCAGATGTTTGCTGATAGCTGCTGCCGCTAGTCTGGAGGAGCCGAGTGGGAGCAAGTATTTAGACGATACCAAATGGTTGGCATGGGAGATTTAAGGAATCCTCAAAGATACATGGAAGAATCAATGCTCCAGCTAGGTTTTTCACGGGGGAACAAAATGACATAAAGCTAAAGAAAAAATACATTTGAAATAATTTATAAGGGTCTTACAGGTTTTCTGACTCAATGACCCAACATATAGCTCGTCCATATTCTCATCGCCTTTGCCTCTCCCTAATGAAGAAGTAAAGTTCGACACACTTTCAATTTCTTTTGGGGGGGAAAATAAAACCAAGCTTGAAAACCACTTAAAAAAAAAAAAAAACGTTAATAAATTTTGATTTACTTTGTGCCTTTCTCGCACATAAAATCCTAATAAAATAGTTTGCGGTTGTCACGTGGCGAAATGTGAAAAAGGCCCAGCAGCTCGTTGCACGGCACTGTAATTACACATCTTTTCTTTTTTTTTTTTCTAAGCGTGTCAGCTTTAAAACCTCTTGTAGAATAATTGAATTTAATAAATTCGTCTCTTGGGGAATTTCAAAAACAAAAACAAAACAAAAAAACCAACCCTGCTGTAAATTTAACAGTCATTTATGTGTATTCCGATATGTGTATTCACCAATTTGCAAAATTAACGTTGCGGTTTATGGAATAGCACTTATCTATAAATACTATCTGAATCACCGTTCCTGAGTTTTGATAACCTCTGCCGAGCCGCACATGACCCAATGTATTTCCACATCAGCGCTCCTCTGTGTGTGTGTGTGTTGGCGCATGTTTACGTGTGTCTAAATGATTGTTTATATGCGTGTGGAGTCGGTTTGTGTGTGCGTGTGCCGGGAGTGGATGTGTGTGAATACTGTATGCACATAAAAAAAAATAAAACGAAAGAAAAAAAAAAAAAAGAGGCAAGTTGGGATGAATCAGGAGCTGCACATGTGGAAACACTTTGTGCAGAAACAGTTTCCATGAGATCCATAATGAGGCAGGGCTGAGCTCTGATGTGGCTCCTCTCCTCGCCTCCCATCGGCTCCAGTGTGTGCGCGCGTGTGCGTGCGTATCTGTGTGTGAGTGCGCGCACGGGCGTGTTTGTGTGCGACGGAGAGAGCCGAGCGGGAGCTGCTCCATCTCACCCTTCGTTCCTCTTTTCGCTTCATCCCTTAAAAAATACCCAAAAACCACTAACTGGCTGTGGCGAGCTTCGCGCTGGGCGAAGAGTTGAAGGAGAATAGGAGGTCCTCCTCCTCCTCTTCTCTTCCCCTCCATCCGTCTCCTCTCGGTGGTTTAGTCCAGCCATGGCGCTCTTATCATAAATCACAAGGCGTCTTCCGTGTCACCATGTCTGCTCCGAGAGGACAGGGGGGCTGGGTTGGTGGAGAGGAGGGCTGCGGTGTTTATGTGCAGGGAGGGATTGCGAAGCCGGGGTTTGTCGCTAGCGTCAGATAGCATATGCTGCCAATTAGGGCCCTTAAACTTCCTCTTTCCACCAGATTTGTTTGATTCGAATAGCAATAGTGGGCGACTGTCTCTGTTGTGGGGCAGAAGTGTGATCTCAGTGCTGTTCAATAAAATACCGACTCTTGTTTTTTAGCGTGTTTTTTCTGGCCTACCCCGATGCTCAGTGGGGCCCTGTGATGATGAGCCAGATCAAACTTTATTAGCTGAGAGGAAACCAGAGTGTAACAGTGTCTAAATGTTTGGAGGGCCTTTTCAAACAGCGCGGCGTCATTTCCGAATTAGGTGTTATGACTCGGTTTGATGAACTTTTGCTCAGCACCTGGGCTGGGTTGCTAAAAGGGGCGATATTAAATATTTTCCAGGAACAAGGTGCCATTTTACAGCACCATCGAGCAACTATGTCTTCAGTCGGTATAAAATAAATGCTAAGCATAACTTTGAATATTTGTGCCGCTGTCTCTTTAAGGAGCTCCAGGTCTTAAAGGAACAGTGCTTCTGATTATGCATCATCATTATATTTACAACCGTTCTTAGCAGCTTTGGACCTAGAAGTAGTTTGCATGATGAGTTATGAGGACTCGCAGTTCCACCAGATGTTTGCTGCCGCTAGTCTGGAGGAGCTGAGTGGGGCAAAAGCTCGGCTCCATTCTGCATTGTTCTCTTAAGGCGCGGTGTCATTAAGAACAGGAGCTTCTTAATGAGACACACGACCAACTTCAAGGCGTTAAATTGTGAAGTAAAATATATATTTTTAGTGGTGTTTGATATATACAGCTCTATATACCATAGTTACTTGATTGTGATATAAGATGACATACTGTGTAGAAAGTACATAATCAAAACATTCAGGCTACGGAGATTATATTTTATTTTAAATAAGACACAGAGAAGCTGGTGAAGTGGCAGAAAATTGATTAATATGAATAGAAAAAACAAAGAAAGACACATTTTGAAGACTTTTCATTAAACTACCTTAGCTTGTCTTACATCATGTTAGAAATACATAAACAATAGCAAATAATTCAACTACCTTTCGAAACAAACATTTTCTAGCCTAAAATTATATAACGTCACTCATTTAGTGTGCATTTAATCATTTGTGGCAAAGGATGCATCTGCAGCTAAAAAAACTGTTATCAACAAGTGAAAAGCTCCGTCCCTGACTGACATCAACACAGTGCAACTACATAATAATAATACTAATAATAATAATAATAATTTGATTATTAACGGTACAGCAAACGGTGTTTAATAAGAGATTTTGTTTTATTTCACTGAATCTGAAGGAGGTGAAGCTAAAACAGCCACATCATGCTTTGGGTTAGAACATATTTACAGATCGTATTTTTTTTAATCTTAAATGCAAAATGTTGATATTTTTTATTACTGCTCTGAGTGTGTTTTTCTTTTAGCAAATTTGAGCCTGTATATTCCAGTTAATGATTAACCAGTGACTAAATTACGTTTATTTTACTAGTCGATTCATATCGATTAATGAAAATTCAAGCCCTGCTTAGAATGGCCTAGTCAAAGGCCAAAACTAAGTCCAGCTAAAAATTTTTCCATTATTCTTTGCAAGTGGCAAAGAAGAATTGAAAAAGAAACAATAAAAGCAGAGACATACCTCAAGGAAGGGTGGCTCTACAAAGTATTAACATTTTATTTTCCTTCCACTTTCCAATTATCCAGTGCAGCTCACCTGTCAATCGCATCACATACAACTGAAACAGCAGTTGAAAAGTGACAAATTGTGAAAAGCTTAAAGGTGCGTATCAGTTTCTGTTCGCATGGTCTGCGGCACAGATAATGTTACGGAGCCTCCTGACAAGGTGTCAACATGATCTCTGGAAATCAGCGAGCCTCGGGCGCATCACCTCGCGCAGGTGTGCGAGGGGGCGGTTGGGGTTCGAAGGGGCAGAGGCCAGGCTGTGGAACGTGTGCGCATGCTCTCTCGTGCACATCTGTCACTCGGAGAACAAAAGCCCCGGCGCTCGCGAGATGAAAGGCCGAGGGGGGAAAGACCGAGCTAATCAGAGCTGACGGGGCAGCTGGCTGGGTTTTAAACCTTTCTGATGCAGAGTCACACGGCTGCAGCGCTTAATCACTCGCCCTCGCTCGGGGCACATAAACATACTCACATACACCCACGCACATGGAGAGGAGGGTGAAGTGTGCTGGAACAAGGAAACAGAGAGAGACAGAGAGAGAGAGACGTACACATGGCAGCAAGTCAAACAGGTGTACGGGGGGAGAAACTTGTTTGGCGGCATGTGAGAGTTTTCATCCACATCGGAGATAAACCGGGACATGGACGCCGCCCTCGGCGCGAAGGAATCGGCTAATGCAATTACCCAGGATGCTTTGAGAGAGCGGCGTATCGCTGTAAAGACACTTTATTTGTCAGCCACGACCCTGTTATTATCCCGAGGCCTGTTATTACCCATGCTCCTCTGGGATCAAAGGCGCAGGGCGAAAGAGGAAACAACCTCTTTTTCTCTCCTCCGTTAGCGAGGCGACCAGACTCATGCTAACAGCAGCTTCCTGATAAATGCTGTTTTTTTTTTTTTTTTGGGGGGGGGGGGGGTTTGGGTTGGGGACCTTTTTATTAGCAACAGTGTGTAAAAGTGTGAAATCGGAAATCATATTTTTACACGTATTACTGTACATTCAGGCCCAGTTAGGATTATCAGATTTTTTTCAGTTTGCCATCAGGGAACTTTATTTTATTTATTTTATTTTTTTAAGCTTTCTTCTAATGCAGAAATTTCCATCCAGATAATTGGCCCAGTGTTTGGTAGCGTTGCCTTTTAGTTTGGGTGCCGTAGAACTCTTTTTCATTTTGGGTCATGTCAAAAATCTAAATGTTCTTAAACTATTTACACTGTTAAAATATAAATAAAAAGCTGCTCCTCCAGGACTTTGTGATTGTTTTAGTGTTTTTTTTGCTGTCAAAAATGTAGATTTAGTGGTGATAATTTGGAAATATTTGCAAGAAATTTTTACAATATTTGCGCCAATGCACAACATTAAATGTGACTTTTTATTTCTCGCCGTATGAATTGCGTGCTGTAACTTCACATAAATAAAGTATGGCTGTGGCGGCAGTAGCTTAAACTCTGTTTTGGATCAATTTTGAGAAACTTTTGCAGTAAAATAAGAAAAACGTGGCAATTTGTTGATTTTGTGTGAATTTTGCAGATTTGTGAAAGACCGGAGGGACTTATTGATGTAATTTGAAGTCTAGAGGGCCACATAAAAAGCGACGGCGGGCCAGATTTGGCCCCCGCGCCTTGAGATTGACGCAGATGAAATATGTCGGATACTCTTCCAACACGAGCTTGCTGGAATCTTGGCTCATTCCTCATTCCATAGACGAGTGTGTCAGCGGTTTAATTCGTCTTTCTGATGAACACCTTTTTAGTTCTGACCAAGAAAATTTTCTGGAGGACTGAGATCATTCTGAAACACTGACTTTGTTGTTTTTAGGCCACTTTGTGGCCAGCTTGGCTCTTTGCTTAGGGTTGTTGTCCATTTGGAAGTCGTGAACTTCCTGGCTGAAGTCTGAAAGTGATGACAATATTTCCTCAAAATGTTCTTTCCTCAAAATGTCACCATTTTCTTTTAAAGGTGTACAGCAAAACACCCAAACAGCATGATCCCATCACTACTGCACTTCATACTGCATTTATATCCCATTTTTTCCTCCCAAAGTAGCAATAAGCATTGTCATCAAACATTTCAACTCTAGTAACCTCAAATCAAACACAAGTCTCTGAAAATTTACGTCCTTATTCCAGAGTTGATTTGTAAACTGTAAACTGCTTTTTTATGTTTGTCTTGGAGAACTGATTCCTTGCTTACTGAGATAATGTTGGTAAATCCTTTTTTCACTCTGGACAATAACTCTCTGTTTCCTGCTTTGGCTCTGCCTCTGTTCTGTAGTTAATTCTCACACTTGACAGCAAAGACGCAGGCGTCTTTGGGACAGGATAAATGGTCATTTTGACCAAATATTTTCCATCTTTGACCAGCTTTTCTAAAATGCTGATGGCAACGAATGACCTTCCACCGAAGCAAAGCCTCGCGGGATCAGGAAACCCCTCGTTCACTTCAGTCTGAGAAACGTTCCCCGTTTTCAAAACTTTGGTTGAAGCTTTGCTTGTAATGCATGACTCCATTGTTGAATCAAAGCGCAGATTCAGCATCCAGATCAGCATCAAAAGAGCCGTGAGAAGATATTCTGTCCGAAGCAAAAATCCAAACCCTCGCAACAGCCTCTGCAACTGGACTACAGACATTTGATTACTCACAAGTGGATGAAAAGGTTACATGTGTTCATCTAATTTCTGGGCGATGTCGCGATGCAGATTCTCTGTTAACAGCGTTGCCTCGTCTTGCGAGAGAAAGAAGCCACAAACTGGAGACAATTTCAAAGTGGTTTTCTAGCGCATGACCCTGCGTCACTGCAAACTACACGCCATTAGTGTTTTGATTAATTGTGGGTAGCTTGACATAATCTTTTTTTCAGAAATAAAGTCAAGTTTGGACTGATTATTAATTAGACTGAATAAAAAATAGCCCTGCGACAAACTGGCGACCTGTTCAAGCAGAACCTCGCCTCTGTCCCGAAAGGGAAATAACCACAAATGAATATGTCACGATTATCAATGTACAAGGACATTATGACAGGATTTTATTTTTTAACCTCGTCAGTCACAATGACCGGAAACGAAAGAGTCTAGCGCAACCTCTGCACAGAACCGCTTCATGACGGCTGGACATTCCAATGAGTTGTCTGTAGTTATGTGTCAAGATGAATAGTTCAATTCATTCAGAGACACAGAGTTGTGTCTCTGTCTAACTCAAGTGTTGTTAATCAGCCAATCAGGAGCTTACAAAGCCAGGACATTAACGTTTTTTGAGTAAATGTGAATTTTCTCTCTCATTAGTTTGGCATTTAGAACTAAAGCAGTTGACGATTCAAACTGTCTGCTAACAGGAAACCTTCTGTCTGATTTAATGCTCCGCAGGGAGAGGACCTGCGTTTATGCGCTTTCGTGATGCCTTGAGATATCAGAGGTTTAGCTTTCCCTAGAGAGTAATGGCTCTACCTGGCAATCGTCTAGGCACGTCACTGATGGCAGGCAGGCCCGTGCCTCGGCTGGAGGAGAGGGGGGTGGTGGAGTGGACAGAGGGGGACGCCATGGGACTCAGGTAGGACGGGTACGGCTGTTCGTACGACCACGGAGGAGAGGACTGGGACTGACGAGGGTCTGATGGGAAGAAAAGAAGCAAGGAAAGGAAGGAAAAAAAAGGAAGCGAGAAAAAAAAAAGGGAGAATAATTACAAGAGCCCCAACATGCACATTCAAACACTCCAATCAGTTTGGCTAAAGTCAGTCAGACATTTACAGCAGCTTTAAACTTTGTTTGCCCCCCTTGTCTCTTTTCATCAGTAGTTTTATTTAGGATTGCAGATATCACTCGTGTGTATTCTGGAAAAGGTCTCGCCGGTGACACAACCAATGTTTACCTCTGAAGAGAAGATCTTCCTGTTTGCCTTATAAAACTTTGCGCTCGCAGCTGAGAAGCAGAAAAGCCTCGCTGGCCCTGGTCCAGGATGTAAACACGCCACGCTAAATACCACAGCGTGCTAGACTCTGTTATTGTGTCTGTGCAACGACACAACAGACCGTGAAGGCTTTTCCTTTTTTCCTTCAGAAACACTGTGAGCTGTAGGTTGTTCTTCTCAAGGCTACTGGAAGAACAGACTTTGTATTTAGTTGTATAAGTGATGCCAAAGTTGGGCTTGAGTGGGGGTGTGAAAGAAAAACACATCAGCAAGCAGGAGGAAAGTTGATACACAGTGCCAAGAGAAGCTTTTACACTTTTTATCACATTACAAAAGTGGAATCCATGTAAACTTCAATGCAGTTTACAGGGATTTTATGTAAAACAAAGCGCTGCATTAATGCAACATGGAAGGAAGAAGATGCTTTTGGAATATTTAGCTACAAAAAAATAAAAATAAGGAAACAGATTCTCAATTGGATTTTGGTTTAATCTTTCTCCGCCTTGTTCAACACAAAGAACCCCAACAGCACCACCCTGCCACCACCATGTTACACAACAGGGATGCAATGTTATTTTTGTTATTTTTTTAACCTTCCACAGTTAAGCACAACTTTGTGTTGGTCTCCCAATGAAATGCATTGCGGTTTAGCGGTTGCTATGTGGAAAAAAAAAAAAGTAAAAGTAAATACTTTAGCCATGGCACTGTTTTGCCTTAAAAACAAAGGACAAAAAGTGCAAGCAGATGAAAATGTACAGCTAAAAAAGTTTACGGGGAAAAAAACAAAAGAGGTTGAGTGAAAATGGAAATTTTACTCTTACTTTACGATTTCAAAAACTAAAAAGATTTGAATATCATTCGGTAAAACGAGTCGGCGTCTTAAGCCAGAGTGTGTAACACACGCTGTTCAACCATGCCTCTAACGATCCCCTTAGAAGCACCACAATGCCCGGCTCCAAAAATAACTGAGACTTGAATAACCACGTGCGATTTGGGAGCGATCGGGTGGCGGCCGTGCCCAACCGTGAGAGATGGTGTTACCGCCTAAGCTGGAGATTGATTGAGCGATGGGGCAGAGAGGGACAGACAATCTCAGACGCAACATAAGACTCTCGTGCCGTCAGGCCGTGGCTCCAGTTGGGGTTTGATGTTTTACAGCGGACCTCCAAGTGGTTCGGCCGGACAATGCTTGGCAAACGCTCAGCGGTCATAAAGCTTGTGGTGCGAGTTAGAGCTTAGTCTCGAGCATCTTCGGTGTCGCATTTCCAACGGATTGTTAAAAAGGACAAAATGTTTCAAATGCCTTGTCTTGACATAAAACATGAGTTGTAAGACGGGTATGTGTGTCATGTGTGCAGTCATAACTTTTTATGCAGCTTTAGGCCATGTTGATGTTTACGTTGTAAAAAGCTGGATTGCACTCAGAGATGGGTGGAGTACACAGCAAATGTACCCAAGTAAGAGTAGCATTACTTCACCATATTTTTACTCAAGTAAAAATTGGACACATCCAAGAGAATAAGAAAGTATTTGGTGAAAAGTCGACTACTTCCATTAAAATGACATCATGACACAGACCAAAATATGAAGTTAAGTGAAAATTTTGGTCTTTTGAGGATCAAAATGACTTTAATTCACATCCATAACAAAAATAATGCTCTCAAATCAGTTTTTTAAAATATAAAACTTATGAAAATTGAACAAAAACTACAGGTGTGTATAAAGTTTTGGGTTAAAACATGTTCAGTCTTCATTCAGTGAGTAGAGAATCCAGAAGCTGTACTCAAGTCAGAGCAGAAATACTTCATAATAAAAGTACTCAAGCAAAAGTAGAAAGGAGAACGTAGTACAAATACTCCTAAAAGTAAATGCAGTTGAGTGAATGTAACTTGTTGCTTCCTAACTCTACTTACACCAAACACCTTGTTATCTCCATCCTTCAAACACCAGCTGGATGTTTAACACTTGAACTACTCGACAGAAACTAACCGTAGTAGCTCACCTGTTATCTGTGTCTGACCCTGCGGGTTGAAGGTGTTGGCTGCGGTGTTGAGAGCTGGTCGGGGCGTTTGCGTGGGAACCGTGACCCTCACCCTCATCCTCTCAAGCTCACTAAGGCGGTCTGAGAACAGGCCAGCTTTGGGCGGGTCCTCAAGTTTCTGACGATGCCCTGAACAAAAGAAAGAAAGCGAGAAGAAGAAGGAGGGGCTACATCAGTTATGTTCACGTGACAATGGCAGGATTTTGGCAAAGGTAAGACAACTTGAGACAACTACTGTTACAGGTTGTTGCAACCGTTAGTGCTATGACTCTAAGTTTGCTTTTCCAAGTCAGTGGGATGGTTTAGGCTACTTTATAGCACCTAATTCACAAAAGGCTATGCTAATATCTAGCATTGTCATCCATGTGCATGTTCCGAGACTTTGAAGATGAACGTGTTTTGTTTGAACCTAAAGAGAAATATTGAAATGAACAAAATTTCTTTTCTATTCTCATAAAGGCCAGGTAATCAGACATGTCTTATCATTTCTATGCTGATGATATTCAGCAATATTGTTCTTTACTTTGTCTCTTCGGCTGGATGCAAGAGGCAGACGCAGAGATTTAGTGCTACTGGAGACCGAGCTTTTCCGCGTTGTGATTGTTTTGAGTTAATAATTAGCACCACAGTGGCTAATTGTTTTTATAGGCCAGGTTTTGTGTGACGGGTTACCCTTGTAGTGCTTGTTCGTGTTTTTACAGGTCCACCCCGTGGATATGCAGGAAATCTGCCCAACTGCAGCGAAGGAGAGCAGAGACGGTATTTGAAACGGCGTAGTCGGAGGCATCGTGACGCACCATAAACGACGACGTTCCAGTTCCAGCGTGACAGTTCCTCCAAAGACTAAACCACCGACTCACTAATCCTGGAGCCCACCGGGACGGTCCCCCGGTCATTCCATCAGCCAGTCCACCCACCAATAATATGAGATATGCAACTGTAGCTAGTAGCAAACAATTAAAAATCATGAACTTAGATAACCCACGTGCGGTAAGCCACAACATACCAGACCAAGTACACTTTCTTCTTCTGAGCCCAACCCTTTTCCATCCCTATCAAGCTTGCAGTGGGAACCCAATCAAAACCTTCCCAGGCCAAGGGCCAGGTGTGGACTGCTGTTCAGTAAAGGTGGGGTACTATAAGAGGCCTGCACACATGCACACACACGCACACACACACACACATAGTTCTTTTCAGCACCGACACAGCACTGTGTCAGTATGTCTGTCTGGTCTTGCACTAGTTCCCCTGTAAAAGCGGTAAAGTAAATATCAAACAGTGGAGAGCAGAAACTCCTGCTGTGTTTGGCCGCGCTCCAGCTGGCTTGGGCAGAAACAGTGAGCTACTTCAGAATCCTGCCCAACCTGCCTGCAGTCAGAGCTGGGAACAAAGGCCTGGCACTACACCTACAACTCAGGGTGGGTGTTGAGACGAGCAGACAGGAGGATAAACAAAAAATAAAAACAAAAAAGGGCATTCGATTCTCAAAGACAGTCATCATTTGTATTTCTAAAGCATCACACAGAAGGGGAAAAAAAAAAGAAAAATAAGAATGGTTTACCAAATGTATCACTGACATCCTGGCTGGAGGAGCTTTGCTGCGTATTGTATTCAGCTTTCCAAGCTTCTGCAAGACTTTTTACCCTTTAATGGGTAAATAAATGCAAAATGACAAGAGTGGATTCTTTCAGAGCCGCCCATTACAGCTTGGCACCTTTCCACCTCTGCAACTCCGCTTTACTTCGACCTCAGATATGCAATTAAAAACCATCCTGCTCTTCACAACAAATTATTTCACTGTGGAACAACATCTTGGAACCAAAACACCAAATATCTTGCTGCAATCAATCAGACCTGAGAGGGGCGAGGGGAAGGAGTCATTGATTGGTCAGACATGCTGTAATTATATCATAATCATTGTAGTGTGATCTCTGTGATTGCCTTGACGGAGACAAGATATATTGTTTGTAAGATCATCAGAAAATAAGAGTCTTTATTGTACATAGAAGCTCACGATTCTGTATTGGACATGTTGTCTTATTAGTCTGATGTCATATTCTAATTTTTAAAGTCATGTTTTATTAGCTTAGCATGAATGAAACAGTGTGTCTGATTAATCTATACAATGTGTTGCACTTAGTGAAGTGAGTTACTGAAATAACTGAACTTTTCACTAATGTTGTAACTTCTTGAGGAAGGACAGATTAACAGTCTGTTATTATTATTATAATTTTTTTTTTTTTTACTAAAACAAGATACGTCTCTAGAAATGAAGGTTTTGTCTCTGAGCACTTTAACAAACTAACCATGCATTTTGTGCTGCTTTTGAAGAAGCGGCTGTTCAGCGGACTCCGGCCTCGTCGGCCATCTCCACGATGCCCTCAGCTGTTGTGGTGTTTTTCAGACTCCACAGGAAAGGCTAAGTCTGATTTAATGTTGCACGGAGAGAGAGAAAAATATCTGGTGTCGACAGTAACTCACTTCCATACTTCGTTATTAGTGCGTCTCCATCATTCCGGCGGGTAATTTATTCATGTCGAGGCATTCCTCGTTCCTCCGTGTAAGCCGTGCCCAGTCAATCATAGCGTTTCCATTTTAAAACAGGCAGCGTTTCTGTCCTAAAAAAGCCCCGGGACACAGTGAGGGCTTTGTGCTCTGCCTGTCTCCTGGTGATGGAAATAAATAGCTAAAGGAGTTCCAAGTGAGATGAGGGGGACAGACACAAGTAGGAGGAGGACAGGGTGAGGAAGAGACCCCCGATGACCAGTAAATTAAGAGCTCTGAACCAGTCAGGCGACACAGCCCCCATTAGATGGGCCGACTGCAGCAAATGGTGAAACAGTTAAGAGAGGGTTTTGGATCGCAACGTCTTTCAGGAGGATCCCGAAACACAAAGGTGGTATTTGGACAGCGCGACGTCCGAGCTGCACAGGTTAAATTTACTGTTACTGTAAATATTTACAGTTAAGTGAGAAGTCAGCTCGGTGACTCAACTGTAAATCATTCATAGAGAAAAAAGGTCGGGCGGGATACGGTTGCTTCCTTAAACCCTAAACCCCAAAATTAAAGGCCACAGGATCCTTAAACTACTCGACACGCTCCAAATTAAAATACTCACTAATTCAAAGAAGAACAAGAAAGTCCACAAAAAAAAAACAAAAACAAAAAAAGTGTTTCAAGATGGATTTTGAAAAACAACTATGTGAAACTGCTTGCATGCTTAAAATAAAGCAACACATTAAAACAGTTTTAGACACCAAAAGTCCCATGTGGAAATGTTACAAGACTCAGCAGTCATGGTAAGCTGTTCTACTCTACAGCCACACCTGAACAAATATACACCAACTTTTATGACTCATGAGAAATAAGAGAAGAAGAAGAAAAAAAGAAAGGTCCATTGGATCCAATGAATCATAAGGTACAAAATGAACTGAAAAACAGAGTTTATGCCTTCTGGAAACAAGCTTCAAATAATTTTACTTCAAAATTGAGTTCTAACGAGCTCGGCTATATTTGGTGGGAAGCAGGATGGCATTTTTTGTCAAACAAAACAGTTTTTTTATAACAATGAGGTGAGCTGATAATGATTTGGGTTTTGTGCTAAAATGAATCACAATTATCTATTTGAATAAATACCGATATGTTGTGGAATGGGTGCACTGTTGTAGTTTGGATACAAAAAAACTTAATGTGTTGTAAATTGGTACCCATTACAGATAGCTAATGGTTTAATTAATAAGGTAGTTTTCATATTTTACTCATACCGTATCGTAAGGAAATGTGGTGCAGATCAAGTTTGCTTTTGCAAATGTAAGGAATTTAATGTAAAAATATACACCACGTACTGTACCCTTAGTCTGGTTACTGCCAGAAATTAAGTTTTTATTTATTTATTTGAAACCGCTTGGTAAAATATTAATATGTAGATTGGTTTAGTTTATATAGGAGATATAAAAAAACTTCAGGGAGTTGAAAAACTGTTGGTTCATTCTGGCTGGGAATAGTACGATCTGAGCAAAACGAATGCAGTGGCAGAGCATCATAAGTTTGATTATGGAGCCAGACAGAACAGTAATGGTCACCAGACAGAGAGGATTTACATTATGCATTCAGAACCACAGTACTAAGATTGATAAGGGTTAGATTTTGTGTACAAATGTTTCATTGGACTGATTTCTGGACCAACTTGTCCATGAGTGTATTGCGATGTCTTTCACTCTGTAACAAAATGCACTAATTTGGCAGACAACTGCTGGACATAACCCAGCTTCCCATTGAACTATGAAGTCCTGGTATTGCCTGTTATTGAATGGGTCTACATCCTCTGTGTATAATGATTGTCTCTAACTCTTTTAGCAAAGTGTTAACACTGAACCTATGATGCTAACGCTTAGTCTACATGGGAACCAAATTACATCCAGGTTAGAGAAATTCTTCTAGGCGTTCAGTTTATTTTCTTTTCGTTTTGCTAATTTGCTTCCTGGTCTATCAGGTTCCAATGTTCTATATTTGGGCACAGACTACCAGAAAAAAACCAAAACACTTCTTTCACAAACTGGAGGGATGGAAGATGTCAACAATAACATTTAGAGACCAATCTGCGCTCCCAACAGCCAGACCTCAAGCCCATTAGCTTAGCAAGCCTTGACGGTAAATACAGTTTTTCATGAGTTAATTACACCTTTTAGAGGACAACAGTTGCCAAACACAAGACAACTCAGCTGTTTTATCGGAACCCTCGCTGGGCGGAGGAATGAGCTGGGGGTATTTAAAGGAGCGGGAAAAACGGATGATTTCACTGCCTTAGGGAAAGTCCCTGAGATTCCCATCATCCCTGTGAAAACAGCGGAGATTTTCGATAGCGCCTGCCACTTCCCTGCCCAGCCAGCGGCCGGAAACACGGACAGATTCAGACCAGATGTGAGCGACTTTAACACACACAGAAACACACTCTTGTGAAGTAAAAAAAAAATAAAAAATGAGAGAGAGAGAGAGAGAGAGAGAGAGAGAGAGGAAGGGGGTATGGAAACGTCTGGACATACGATCACGAACATTTGCACAAGCGCATCATTGCACACTGACACTGGCACCACTGGGTCAGGCACACACAAACACAACCAGAAATAATA